GTGGCGGTGCTGGCGCTGCTGCGCTGGGCGCGGGCGGACACGTTCACGTCCATGCTGAGCATCCGGCAGGCGCTGGCCACCGAGGCGCAGCTCCTGCGCAGCCTGCGCGCCTACCTGGAGGACGAGGCGCGGCGCCTCGACGACCTGCGACGGTAGGACGCGCGGGCGCGGCGGGGCCGGGCGGGATCGGGGCCGCGGCGCGGCGCTTTGCACCGGCGTCGCCTCGGGGCAGGGACCCTGCAGGGCCTCTCTGCGCGTTGCAGGGAGCCCTGCGCGTTGCGCGGGCAGGGCGGGACCCGGGCGGCTTGGAGCCGGACCTGATGCGTGTTGAGAGACGGAGGGGACGGGAGACCCAGTTTCCAGCACGTGGGAACTGTAGGCCCTTTTCCTGCCTGAACTTGGCCAGGATTGCGCTCTGAGTGACGGCAGGGTGATGCTGCTTCTGTGCCGCGGCACAGCCGTGCCCAGAGGATGCATCATCCTCCGGAGCGCTTCATCGCCCCCTTGCCCTACCCTCCCTCCCTCCCTTCCTTCCGTGGCCCTCAACTTTTCTGCCCTGGCCCTGAGGGTTCCTTTGGACTCCCAGCTGTGTCACTGAAGAAAGCAGGGGGTGGGCTGGATGACCTCCAGGGACCCTTCTGACTCAAATCATCAGTGATTCGAAGGCAGAAGCTGGCACATTTAACCAAGCCCAGCAGTGCAGAACCTGGGGTCTTCTGGATGTGTTGGACTCCAGCTCCCATCAGAGCTGGGGATGCTGGAACTGCAGCCCAGTGCAGAGTGGGGAAGACTGTTGTCCTGGGGAGATACTTTTTTAACAGGCCATTAACAAACAACGATTAGCTTATGGGTTGCATTTGGGGGTGGTCCCAACTTTTGCCAGAGACCCTGCTATCTGACAGAACGGGGGGCAGGGCTTTTTCCGTGGCCGCCGCATTCACAGACCCCTCTAGGGAGGTGGGAACAGCCCATCATTGCTCAGCTCCTGGTGGGCAGTAAAGACAGTCTGCTTTTTGTCATCACCCCGTGATTTTTACGAAGGCGTTGACAGCCGCTGGTGCAGTTTTGCCAGTTGCAGGGTGTGGGTTTTTCACTGTTACCGATTCAGCTGCTCTCCATGCTGCCTTGGGGGCCGTCGGGTTGGAAGGCAGTCGGTGAATACTCAAACAGCCAAAGGAATGATTTCCACATGTGTGTTTTTGCACGGCGAGTGTGCATGTGGATTTGCATGGCTCCTGCCGTAGAGCAGCAGCAGGCATTCCCAGATCCACGTTTCTCTGGAATGCGTCAAGCTTGGCTGGAAGAAGCCAGTTAGTAGCACAGTTGGGGTGGCGGGGACAGAATGGGGGAAGCAAACAGATCTCGACTGCCTCGCCAGAAGGCGGGGGTAGAGCCGGGATCCTGGTGCGTGCGAGGCTGCCGCCCGCTCCCAGTGCGAGGGGAGCATGGAGCGCATTGGTGGTGGCAGCGCCAGCTGGCACAGGCGCATGGGACGGCCGACTGCAGAGCTCCCTCCGTCGTGGTTTTGCAGCGGCTGCCCAGGGCCGGCCCTGCCCTTGGCCGAGGGGAGCAGCCGCCTCAGGCCGAAGATGCTGGCGGGGGGCATGGTGGGAGACTCCTGCATGCCCGATGCCTGCTCTGGGCCCCCTCGGTCAGCCTCCGGTGCAGTGGGGCGTTTGTGCCCCAATACCATGCGGGAAGGCAGATGTGTCCACTCACCCCTCTGGCCACCATGCGTGGCCCTTTCCCCAACCTGTCGCCATCCAGGTGTGCTGCCGTGTGGGCCCCTTTGTCCCCCGCCCACATGGCCAGGGGCCAGTTTGGAGGGGGTCCCGGAGGAGAGAGAGCTGGGTCGGAGGACTCATCCGCGATTCCGCCCTGCCTCAGTGGGGGTTGGCCTCTTCACCTGTATGGGGCTGCCCCAACTCGATCCTTGCCTGAGGGGCGCTGGATACCGAGCTCGGCAGTTCACAGATTGCGTGGTGATGTGCCCTCACGTTGTCCCTGACTTATGGCGACCCTGTGAACGGTGGCCCCCGAAACGGCCTGTTCACGACGGACATGCTCAGCTCTTGGGAAGGCAGAGTCTGTGGCTTCCTGCGTGGGGCCAGTCCATCCCTACCGGGTCTTCCTTTTCTTCCTTTGCCACTGACTTTCTCTAGCACGATTGTCTTCTCCAGGGAGTCTCGACTTCTGATATACCCAAAGTACAACCGTCACGGTTTTATCATGTTTGCTTCCGGGAAAAGCCCAGAGAGGCCATTCCCACGAAATGCAGGAGATTCCATTCAGACAAAGGGAAGTTGCCTATGGACTTCTCCTCCACAAGACCTGGAGATGCCCAACAATTTGGATGCCTTCAAAAGTGATCCATGGTCATCCATGTGCCACCTTGACTCTCAAAGGCAGTATGTTTATGTACACCAGTTGCTGGGGAACATGGGCAGGGGGTGCCCTTGCATTCCTGTCTTGCTTGCGGCTCTCCCATGGGAAGCTGGTTGGCCACCGCGGGACCGGAATGCTGGCCAAGAGGGCCCTTTGGGCTCCTCCGGCAGGGGTCTTCCTATGCTCTCAAGTGTGTTACAGCCAAAGAAGGCATCTATGAGGGAGCCAGGTTCACCTGCAAAATGAAGCTAGTGGCGGTTGAGTATCACACATCCTCATGCTAGAACTGGGCACAAACATTTCCTGTTTCAAAGGGTCCCACCTCTTTTAATGGCCGTGCCATTTCCACAGTCCTTCTCTGAAAAACCTGCATTTCTGGATTGTGACATCTGACAAAGGGAAGTTGCAACATGAAACATGTTTCTGGCGAATGTTCACCTGTCCTTTCATGGGTTAATTTATGGGCAGTAAAATGCATAATGCAAACCACAAGACGGGTTTGAAAGAGAAACTGAATACAAAGCCAGAAGCAAAGAAAAAGAAAAAGTCCACATAGACTCAACTGGGCTTTCTGAAGGAAAACATGACTCAATTTCTGTTTCCATTGTGGAGGAAGCTCTGTAGGAGAAGCCCAGAACAGACATGCGGGGGGGGGGGGGGGAGAGAAGATAAAAAACAGAATGAACAACTTTGAGCTAAATTTCCAGAATGTCAAATGCAAGGAAACAATGGATTTCAGTGAGAAAATTGTGTGTGTGGGAGCAAAGAAATATTGACAGGTTTTGAAGTTCTTGAGCCCGTGGAGAAGGGAGAAAGAAACTGCATTCATTAGATTCAACATGAAGCGCCCAGTCCGGCAGAGTAGATGGGAACTGAACTCGGTAAACCGACCCGAGACTTTTAAGTATGGGATGGTATAGAAAAATTTAAATAAATCGCAGCAGGTTTCTCCAGCTTGGCTTTCTCCCGATACATTGACCTGCCACCATTCCCAGCTGACCAATGGCCGGGCTGTGTCTGGGGGCGGGGGGGGGGGGGGCCGGGTTGGGAAAGGCTGGCGTGGAGACTCCTCAGATGATGCCACGGTGCCCAGAAATAGGGCGACCCGGGCCATCCAACAAAGCTGCGTGGAGGGAGGTTCCGGACAGACAAAAGGAAGGAATCATCATGCAGCGGATTGCTGAATTGTTGCAGGAGGAGCCCCCATGGGGTCCGTGGCCCCCTGGCCTTTTTAACACCCCCCTCCATTTTGTGGCACACATTAGCTGTTAGTGCGGCAAAGTAGGGTGAGGAGGAGCTGCTTGCAAATTTGGGGCTGGGACGATGCTTGCTGAAGTTTGCAGGCACACAAGTCCCTTCGTAAAGAAGGGGTGCACTTTTTTCGCCGCCACAGATTTGGCCGCTCCAGCAGCAAATTCACTGCATGCTCCCTCTTGTGGGCTTTGAGGGGGTCGGCATGCCCCCCACCCACTGGACGTCGCCCGTCCCCGACCCATGGAATGAGCTGTCACAACTGTCAAAGCTTAAGTCCTTTATTGGCCCCTCCCACCTAGCCATCTTGGTGGAATGAAACCTCCACCTTCAGGGTCAGTCTATCTGCCTGATGGCAGCTGGGAAGCAGCAGCCAGGGTGGGGTACGGCTGGGAACGTCGGAGAAATCTTTGGCTTCAACCCTGTCCTGCCAAGCCGCAGAGATTCTTTTGCAGCTTTGCGGAGCTTTTGGAAAAACGTTGGGACGATGCGTGCAAATTTGCCTTTGCGAAACTGGAACAAAATTCTCTTGCATCCCCTAAAAGTCTGGTTCCATTAATGAGCAGATGGTGGAATGAAGCCTGCCCGGCAATGCACAAAGCGTGGGCAGAATGGATATAGCAAAACCCATACTCCCCCGTTCCAGATGTGGGGCGACCCTTCTGTTCTTCTAACTTCCTGTCCTTTCAGGTCGGATGCCACAAAATGGAGCGAGGCCGTTTCCGCTTTCGGCAACCCAGAGCAGTGGCTCAGAGCTTTTACCCACAATCCTCCGTGGTCTCCCACCCACCCCTTGCCTTTTCTAGATTCTACAGCAAGATCCAGGCCCTGCACCAAGGAGCGGGCAGCACGGTGGCCAACCCCCTACTGGCCTACGCCCTCATCAAGAGGCTGCAGTCCGACTGGATGAATGTGGTCCACAGCAAGGAGGCCAGCGAGAACACCCAAGGTACGCCCGAGAAAGCACGGCCCAGGTGGCAAGAACGAGCGCTCCGCTGGCTCCAGCCACGGGCATGCCCAGGCTGCCAGAGGGGTCGCCCAGCTGGCCCAGAGATGGCCAGCCCAGCTGTGAAGAACTGCCTTCTGCAAGATCCCAGCTCTGTGCGTCCCTGACCAGCTCACTCATTCCCGCTGCGTTTTGTGGTCACTCTTTTTCAAAGCAGACTCATCTTGCAGTTACGTCCGAGTTGTTCGAATCCACCTAAATGTTTAGGCAAAGGATCCCCACAGGCAAAATGCTTGCCTGTTTTGCTAGCCTTCGCTGCCCGGCCCGGCCCGGCCCTGTCCTGAGGCCGGCGGAGGCCACTGCCTTGGGTGGCAGGTGGTGGGAGAGCTTTCTCCTGGGAGGTGGAGGACAGAGGTCTGCGTCGAATATCTCTACACTGCTCTGCTGCCCCCCCATAAAATCAATCTCTCAGGCCTATTTGCTTCTGCATGCAGAACTGGGAAATGAGTTGCCCCTTAGCTGAAGCAGCAAAAAGGTAAACACAAGCAACCCCAAAACACAAAATATTTGTTGCAAACCTTGCAGACAAATTCTGCCACGGGGCACAATCCATAATATTAATATGAATTCATATTGATAATCTCTTTTCAAAAAGTTTATTTTCTATCAGACTGAATAAGCATGGTGAAAAACGTGAGAGAATTGGCACAGTACTAGTTGGGGCACAGAAGGCTTGGGTCTGTTCCAGAGTAAGCCATGCTTTGCCTATCGGCTCTTTTAAAAAGACCGCTGGCATTCCTTCTCCCTCCTCACCCCCATTCCTTTCATGTCGTGCCTTCTAAATTCTCAGTCTGTGGGCAGGAGCAGCTTTATTTTTGACCTCTGAGGGCCGTTCTCAGCTAAAGGGTGAGCGAAAATGCAGCTCACGGAGTGAACCACAGTTGTGCTGTGACTGGTTTTTCAGCGCTGAAGAGCAGCTACCAGAAACTGGAGGGGCGCCTGCCCCTCTTTGAGGACCTGGAAGGGGCCGCCCAGGCCGTGATGCGCCTGCAGGACGTCTACGCCCTGAGCGTGACGGCGCTGGCCAAGGGAAGGTTCCAGAGGGCCGGCCAGCCCCACCTTCCCGACATTTACAGCCCCGGGCACGACTTCTCCCTGTCGGCCGACGACTGCTTCCACATTGGCAAGGTGGGTGCGGACCCTGGGCCCGGGGGAGGGTCCGGTGTGCCGGCGGACGGGCTGGCCTCGGGGAGCTGGAGGGGCAGGGATGGTGGCTCACGTGGCCGGGCCGGAGGGGTGCCGTCTGTGGGGATGGCCCCTTCCCAGGATTTCCCAGCTGCGGGTGGCACTATTGAGCAGAGGGGGCGAGGGGGTCTCCCCCTATTTCTCAGCACATTAGAGGCTGTCTTGTCCTGAGTCAGCTCCTGGGCCCACCTAGGCCAGCAGTGCCAGCACGGGCGGGCAGCAGCGGCTCACCATCTTCCAGCCCTCCCTGGAGACGCCGGGGCACGAACCCTGGACCTTCTGCATGGGAAGCTTGCGCTCTGCCAGCCCCTCCCCGGGGTAACTCCACGTCGTCGGGGATTGCCATTCCTTTTGTAGTGGGGCAGGGGCAGGCCCAGAGGGGCCCCCCAGAGCAAAGGGTTGACTGCTGCCTGTGCTAGGAGACCCTGCTGGGCTTTTCAGGATGTCATGGGGGGCACCCCACAGCCCTGGACCCTGGCTTAGCCCCCTTTCAGTTCCTGCAGAGCAACTCCAGGTCAGGGGGCTGCAGCCATTGAAAAAAGAGACTGGACAGGCTGATGGGTGTTTTGGCGTGCCAGAGCAGGAAAAAATAATTCTGGGGAATTCGGGGAAGGCTGTAGCACAGGGTCCTGCTAAGGCCCTGGGGCCCTGGCGGCTGCCCAAGGATTCCAGGTGTGGGCCCTGGCACAGAGGATGAGCATCCCACAGAGTCCCTTTCTGCACCTTTCTTACATCCCAGAGAGTCTCGTGCCCCCACCCCCCCAGGGCAGTAATGCTGACGCTGCAGTCCCTTTAGACGCCTTCCTGCCACTTGGACGGAGGAGACCTCCCGGGGCACAAGGTTCCACCCCCTTCCCTCCGTCGGTAGCGGGAAAGCTCTTGGACTGCAGGGCTGAGGCCCTGGCGAGCTGCGGCTATTTGGAGTGGACTCGACTAGCTCGCTGGGCCAGTGGCCTGACTCCGTGGCCTTGCAGCTCCGTCTCTCCCGCTCCATCAGACCAGGGAATCCCCTCCCGTGGTTGCTTGCCATGAACATCCCGACTGGGATCTCTGGCTCGTTCTTCCCCTAGCAAGCCAGACTCGTAGGCCAAGATTTGGTCTTGGCTTAGGATTCTGGCTTGTTCGGAGCAGTGGCAAATGTCCCTTCATGACAGCCTTTGTTTGGTGATCTTGGCTTCCAGTGGTATTTTTGGTGAGGCTTGGCCAGGACCCCTTTGTGACTCCTGCAGATCATGGGATGCACAACCGTCGTCTCTGGCACCACAATTTGAAAGCATCCTCCCTTCTTCTACTGCCTTTTTCAGTGTCCGAGTTTCACAGCCATACGTGGCAGTTGGAAAAATTATTTTGTTGACTAATCTGCATTTGGTAGAGAGGCTGATCGCTTACCCTTCCAGATGTTATTCATGCCGGACGTTGCATTTCTGCCAATGTTCTGCTCCTTCTGATCTCAAGACTGTGGTCACCGCGCCGGTCAGTTTTAGACCCCAGGAAGTTGTACTCCGTTACCGTTTTTATGGTCTCCTTGTCAATCTACGCTCTGACCTGTGTGTTCTCTGCAGTTGTCGTTGTCTTGGCTTTCTTGATTTGAAGGTGCAATCCACATTTTTCACTTCCATCTTTGAGGACCTGCCTCTCTGGTTCTTTTTTGCTTTCTGAAGCAAAGTCGTATCCTCTGCATGTCGGAGGGTGTTGATATTCTTGCCATTGATTTTGAGTCCAATGCTCCCAAATGCGCATTTTTATATGCATAGCTATTTCTTTGTACACGGTGAATAATGTTGGTAAACAGGATGCAACCTTGCTGAGGGCCCAGCCACGAGCTGCCAGCCACGAGTCACGAAACTAAGACTCTCGAGAGGCGGTGGGGGAGAGACCACAACCCTGGCTCTGGAGATCCAGCGGCTCCCTCCAAAATAAGTGGGGGTGCTCTCGCTCCCCGAGGGCCCTGCTTAGAAGGCAGCGAGCCAGAGGCCCCAGTGTGTTCGTGGTAAGCCTGAATTGCGGCAACTCCACCTCGCTACGCCTTGCAACTTGGCCTGATGCAGGGAGAGGAGCTACCCATGAATGGTGTGCCCAGAACTTCGGAGTGGGTCTCCTGTTTCGCCTGCCAGAGACCCCAGACTTGATCCCCAGCTTCTCCGGTTAGCAAGTGGGTGGGGAACGGTCTCGCTGGGCCAGGAAACGCCTGGCAGTCGGAGCGAGCGATAATGGGCCAGGGGGAGCAATTCAAGGAGCAGGTCTCCTAGGACCTTAGACCCAGTGGGCAGGCTGACTGGCGGAGCGGGTGGCCGGCTGGCCCCGTGCTCTCCCTCAGTGGCCGCGTGCGTGAGCCAGAACGGCCGAGGGTCCTGGCCCGCTGGCGCCCTCCCTGCAGCTCTGATCTCTCCCGGGTTCCCACAGCTGGCCTATGACATGGAGGACTACTACCACTCCATCCTGTGGCTGGAGGAAGCGGTCGGCCTCTTCCGCCTCTCCTACGGCGACTGGAACACCGAGGACGAGGGGAGTCTCGAGGATGCGTTGGACCACCTGGCGTTCGCCTATTTCAAGGTGAGCCGGGAGGCACCGCCTCGGAGGCTTCGCGCGGCTTTCGATTCTCGGGCTTTGCTTCCCTGCGCATGTTTTCAAAAGGGGAAACAGCCCAAGAGGCAGAACCCTGGAATGGGCCGGTGCTGAGCAGGAGGCACTGCAGCTGCCAGAGTCGGCCGGAAAAGGAGAGCAGACAAGCTTGGAGCGGGGAGACGGAGGTTAAGAGCTCTGCTGAAGGACGTCGCTCGCCGGGTGTCCTCGGGCTGGACAGAGACACAGCAGCCCGACTGGCTGCCATCGAGGTGGCCTGGGTCTTTGGGTCCCTGCAGAGACGCCCCTGTGGACCAATATTCTTGGTGCTGGATCAAGTCCCTCCCTCTGTTTAATCCCTTTTTCAGAATAGCCAGCCTGGTTGGACTGACAGCTCTCTTGCCATGGGAATCCCTACCCACAAGGGAGGTGGAGCTACTCTATAAGTAAATTCCTGAATGTTTCCTGACACTTATCATGCTATCAGTCTTCCCTGGGCCCAGAAATCCTGTGCCTCTGATCATGTGCAGAGTGCAGTTCCCCCTCCCCCATTGTTGAGTAAAGACAGCATTGTCCTCACACATGAGTATACAATGAGTTTTGTTGGCAGACTTTACACTTTCAGGTACTTTTGAAACCTACACTTCTTTATTTTTTCCAAAAAGTTGTTATTATTCTTATCATTTAATTAATTTCTAGGCCACCCCATAGTCAAAGCTCTGGGGGTTTGCAACAATCTATAAAACAAAACAATGAAATACAATAGAAAAAACATAAGAACAGCAATGTTAAGATGAATTTTAGAAGTTAACCATTTCTCTCTTTCTCTCTCTCCCCAACTCTCTCCAAATCTTCTCTTTTAAAGGCAGGAAACATTTCTCATGCCTTAAGCCTTTCGCAAGAATTTCTTCACTACGGTATGTACTTCTGGAAGGGCAGCATTCACGTCTGTCTGGTCAGTTTGAAAAATACCTGTTTGTCTCCCTGCACACCCAGTGGTTTGGGGTGCTCCTGGTACCTCCTGCTGGACTCCTCCAGCAGTGAAACAGCTGCAGGGCAAGCCATGCTGCAGATCCACGGTTTTCCATGGATCATTCCTGGACTTGGGAAAAGCAAGCACCGAAAGTGCTTCCCTTTCTTTCTCAAATGGACACTTTTATTCTGCGTGAGCTAATCTGAAAATTGCATCAAGCCCTTTGGCTTTAATATATTTTAAGGTGGACCTGGATGCATTTTGTTCATTGGATTCTTTGCTGGACTGTTTTTATTTATTTTTCCATTTATTTATTTTTCGATTTATATCCTGCCTTTTTCCTACAAAGGGCTCAAGGCAGCTTACATCATTCTCCTCCTCCATCTTATCCCCACAACAACAACCCTATGAGGTAGGTTGGGCTGAGAGTCTGTGACTGGCCCAAAGTCACCCAGCTGGCTCCGTGGCTGAGCGGGGACTCGAACCCGGATCTCCTAAGTCCCAGTCCCATGCTCTTAACCACTACGCCACCCTGGCTCTCCAGTGTTTTCAAATGCAGCAGTAGCAGCAGCGATCTTGGCCTAGAAGACGGGTTCTTCCCTGCCTGGGAAAGTGGACCTGGAGACTAATTTTTACACACACCCAGAGCACACCAACCATGCTGTAATCCTTGGCACCGTGTACCTTCCATGTGGTGGCCCTGGAGGAGCCGGAAAAAGTGTCAGTCCTTGGGCTCTCTTTTATTCTCTTCTTTCCACAAAGACCTGGGCTGTCTTCTTCGACAGCAGAGCATCCATATGGTAAAGCTGGCAAAAGACCTGATGTTCAAGGTCGCCCATGTTTGACCAAAGCATACAGTTTAAGCACAGTAGTTCTGGCCAAAGGTAAAGGGATTCTAGACAGCCTCCAAGTACGCCGAAAATTAAATAAACAGGGCAGGGTAATTTTATATATTAACTTAATCTCTCTCTTCCGGGTAGAACCTCAAACCACTCAGTAGCATCCGCCACCTATAGATGATCGTCTTCGAGGCTAGCAGCACTTGATCTGGTCACTGTGAATCTCCATTAAGAAAGTGTTTGATCTGCGGCAATTCACAAATGATCCTGTTTTGTTCCATACCATGAAAACATTGCTTGTTGCTGGCCCCATCTGCACATGAGCACGCTAGAGCATTTTTCTGGTCAGTTGGCAACTGACTTGCCTTCACACAAAGTGGAGAAGGTATTGGGACCCTGAGAAGAAGGAGCTTTCCCTTCACCTTTGCATGTTCAAAATGTCGCATTTCTTCCTCACCACACTTTAGTATTGATTGTGGTGCCGTACTAACATAAATAAGCATTCATGCAAGTGATTATTGTCCCTAAAGATCCAACTTTAGGACACCCCCCTTAAAGGTGTATGATCGGCACAAATTTTGTTTTCCTTCCAGCGCCTTTTCTCTGAGCATTTTAATATTTTAGAACTGAATGTGCCACATTGGATATATTCTGAAAGCGAATTGGTTATGGTGTGTGCTTGCCTTCTGGCTTGCTTGCTGCCAGATTCGTCTTCTCATGTGTGATTGTATGGCTTTTGCATTGAATTTGCTTGCTTTTGATGTTTTGGACACAGCCCAGGAATGCCTTGAAGATGAAGTGGCATTTACCAGTTTTAGAAATACATCAGTACGTTCTATAAAGCAGTACGTGTCGATCTTTCCCAGATCCAAGCAACAAGAGGGTTGCACGGAACATCCTGAAGTATAAAAAGCTTTTGATGGCAAATCCGGAGGGGGGCAACGAAGCAGGGGCACTGAAGAGACCCAGCGTGACTCACCTGCAGACCAGAGACACTTACGAGGCTTTGTGCCAGACCCTCGGCTGTCAGGTGAGCGAGAGACGCAGGTGCCAGACCAGTGCCTCCCAGAAGAGGAGAGGACACATTCCGGGGGGGGGGGGGGGGGTGGCCGGGCATTGCAAAAAAACCCCGGAATGGCGGGGGGGAAACCCCCGCGTGGCCCCGGGGGGGGGGGGGGGTGCATGCTGGGAGCTGCAAAGCTGGTTTTGCTGTCTGGACATTCATAGGACTGCACCGTCAGTGACTCACAAACTGGTTATAGAAGAAACATTTATTTATTTATTTATTTATTTTCCGATTTATATCCTGCCTTTTTCCTACAAAGGGCTCAAGGCAGCTTACATCATTCTCCTCCTCCATCTTATCCCCACAACAACAACCCTGTGAGGTAGGTTGGGCTGAGAGTCTGACTGGCCCAAAGTCACCCAGTTGGCTCCCTGGCCGAGTGGGGACTAGAACCCAGATCGTCTGAGTCCCAGTCCCAGGCTCTTAACCACTACACCACACTGCCATCTTGCAGTGCGGCACTGGGGTCGGGCCAGAATAGGGCCGCGACACTGAGCACGCTGTCCTAGGAGGCGGCACCACTGGACGCAGCAAGGCTAACTCTGAACAGACACGCGCAGGATTGTGCCGTGGGCCTGTTAATTTCTAAAATGCTTTCGAACCCTGGTAGGATGCCACCTTGTGAACTCCAGCATGCTCGGAATGGAAAACATCCACCAGTGCAAATCAAAGTGATTTTGAAAGGGCTCATGGCCACTTTGGAAGATGATCTTGGGATAGAGGGGGAAGGTTTAAACACCCCTATGCTTGACTTTCCCCCAAGTTGTTTCGCCCCTGCTCTTGCTCTTAAATATTCTTGAAAAAACAAAACAGATCTGGTTTGAATGAGGTGTTCATGGCGTACCTGTCTTGGCCCTCTTCCTGTGGCCACACCTCCTTCCCTCCAGCTGGGGCTCCTGGGGTGGTTTCTTGGCTTCTGTGCGCCTTTCCCCCGTTCTCAGGCTCAGCGAAGGACAGAGGCAGGCTGCAGCGAGAGCAGGCTGGCCCCTGGCCCCGCCCACCACTGGGCCGCAGCCCCCAGAGCATGTCAAGAAGGCTTCCTCACCTCTGCTCTCCTGCAACTGGTCCCCTTTCAGCCCACCCGCTACCAGCTGCTTCACCTCTCCTGCTCGTACGAGACAAACAGGGACCCGTTCCTGATCCTGCAGCCCCTGAAAAGGGAGATCATGCACCGGCAACCGTACATCGCCCTCTACCACGACTTCATCAGCGATGCCGAAGCGGAGCAGCTCAAGGGGCTGGCTGCGCCCTGGGTAAGCAGGGTGGGTGAGTGGATCGGGGAGGCGGAGCTTCTCTGGGTCAGAGGTAGAAACACAGGGGCAAAGTGAGCCAGAAGGGGCCTCCTGGGCCATCTAGTCTGACCCCCAGCTCCAGCCGGCTCCGCTCACGACATGCCCACCATGTGCACGTCCAGCCTGTCCTTGAACACGCGCACCGATGGGGCCTCAACCACCTCCGTGGAAGCCCCTTCCACACCCTCGGGGTCCTGACTGCCAGGAAGTGCTTCCTGGCATCCAATTGAACCTTGGCTCCCTGAGCTTGGCTCCGTTGGAGCGCGCCCTGCCTTCCTCTGCAGGGGAGAACAGGTCTCTGCCCACCTCCATGTGACACCCCCTCACGTACCTGCATGTCGCCAACAGATCCCCTCTGAGTCTCCTCTTCTCCAGGCTGAAGAGACCCAGTTCCCTCAGCCTTGCCTCATACGGCTTCCCCTGCAAACCGGCCACCAACCTTGTGGCCCGACGCTGCACCGATTCCAACCTGGCTATATCCCTCCTGTAATGAGGGACCCAGAATCCAGTAAGCCAGTCCGAGTCTCCGCGGCAGATCCAACGTGCAAAACCGGCCCTGGAGTCAGGCCCGTGCGAGTTTAGGCAGGCTGGGGCAGGCAGGAGCTGCAGGACTTCCTCCTGTCTGAGCTTGCACAAGATGGTGCCCTGAAGAACTCGTGCAAAAATTGTTCGGGGGCCCTTTTTATTGTACTGATGCCCCCCCCCCACTCCACTGCTGTGTCATCTTCAGACACAAATAGAACAGAGCTCACATGGTCAGAAAGGGATTGCCTGAGAGCAGAGGTGTAGCAATACAATATTTTTGTAATTAATGCGACTCATATTAATCTCTTTCTCAAAAAAAGACAAAGACTTTCATCTTATAACTGAAATGGGATAAGCGGCTTAAAAACACTTTGCCAAGAAAGAACTGATGTGACCCCTACTTTATTTTGAGCAGAATTAAACTGAATAAGTTGCCACTAGAAACAAGGGCAAGCAGCAGGAAAGAATCTCGCTTCCAGGTCCCCCACCCTGGGCCAAGACGCGTTTCTTCTCCGGCACATTCCCACCCCTGCCCAGTTGCCTCGGTAACCACACAAACGGACCATGTGGAGGTTATTAGCTTAATCCCTCGCACAGGCGAGAGGCATTCTGCGGTTCCGGGTGCAGCCGACCTGCCTCTCGCCGTCGCTTGGTCACCGCTGCATCCCTGGGCCACGTGGCTTCTTTCCACGGACTGAGCCTGGGCGTGACCTCTCCCAGGATGGAGCTACACCAGGCCCATTTCCGCCCAGTGGGCTGCGCATAAGGACTCCAATTGCCAGAGAAATATCCAGGACCTGCCCAGTTCTCTGTTGAAACGCACTAGCTTCTTAAGGGAACGGAGAGCGTTTTGCTTCCCGCAGGCCGCACATCACGTGCAGGATCTCACTGTCGGATGGGGACCGTCACCTCTTATCAAAAGGATACTGTGGAGTTTTGAAGCAAAGCAGAGCCGGGGCAATATAGAAAAGATAGATATGGAAAAGATCTGGGATTCAAGCTCATGGGACAGAAACAATGCACATATTTGTATATGTTCATTTCCATATGCTCTACAGTCCCTCTGAGCATGTGCCTTTGAGGGACACCATCGTGCTTGCTGCTGGTAAGATGGGATGCAGAGACATAAGAGCCTAAGAACAGCGGTGCTGGATGAGGCCCAAGGTCCAGCTAGTCCGGCACTCCGCACACAGCATGCAAACCAGCTGCCCACGGTGTCCCTCCAGCAGGAGGGGTGCAAGACCGCGCCCGGCCCAGCTCCTCAGCGACCAGTGTGTGCAGGCATGGTGTCTCTGGGGAAGCGGGGCGCACCTGGCCAGCAAGGCTAGTAGCCACGGATAGCTGCCGCCTCCAGGAATCTGCCTTCGAGAGCCACCCAGATTGGCAGCCATCCCCACTTCCCACTGTGAATTCCACAGTTTAACTGGAAGCATAGCAACAGAGCGAGTCAGAAGGGGTCTCGCGGGCCATCTAGTCTGACCCCTGGCTTCAGCCGGCTCCGCTCACAACGTGCCCACCATGTGCATGTCCAGCCTGTCCTTGAACACCCGCACCGATGGGGCCTCGACCACCTCCCATGGAAGCCCATTCCACCCCCTCGGGGTCCTGACTGTCAGGAAGTGCTTCCTGGCATCCAAATTGAACCTCAGTTCCTTGTCTTCATTGGAGCGCGTCCTGCCTTCCTCTGCAGGGGAGAACAGGTCTCTACCCACCTCCGTGTGACACCCCCTCACATACCTGTATGTCACCAACAGATCCCCTCTGAGTCTCCTCTTCTCCAGGCTGAAGAGACCCAGTTCCCTCAGTCTCGCCTCATACGGCATCCCCTGCAAACCGGCCAGCAACCATGTGGCCCTTTGCTGCACTGACTAGATGCTGAGTGAAGAAGGTCTTCCTTTGATCGGTTCTGAGTGTCCCACAAATCAGCTTCATTTGATGACCCAGGATTATGGGAGAGGGAGAATAATGTCCCCCTCTCTGCTTTCTCCACGCTGTGCATTATTTTAAACATTTTTAAGACAGGAGAGAGGGGGGCACTTGGTTTCCAAAAAAGAACCTCAGAGGGAAAGATCCAGGGGTTGGGGGCTGCAGAAGGTGAAGCGGATGCAGGAGATGGGAGGCGAGCAAGATCAGCAGGGCCCTGGCGGCTTTATTTACGCAACGGCCCGGGCAGCAGAGTGGAGGGGCAGGTGGCCCCCAGGATTCTGGCCCCAGCCCTAGGGCTCTGCCCCAGTGTGTTGCCTCTGCCGCAAGGCCTGTTTGTTCACTGGTGAAAGCAAACTGCACATGTGGCTTTCAAACTGCGCGCTTTCAGGTCTCTTAATGGGCTTGGCAGAGGGCTTACTTCAACGGGCGCAAGTCTAGCGAGCTGCATCCTACGTGGTATTTCATATCCTGCCCCCCCCCCCCCCCCGTGCAGGCTTAAATTTCGCCTTCCAAACTCAGATCTCAGGCTTGCTCCCTTGCAAGCCAGGCACGCCACATCTTGTGTCTCCACCGGGCTTGGCCTGCGCTCCCCGCCTCTGCCCCAGCCTTCGCCAGGAGCGTGTGCCTTGCTAAGTGTCTCTCTGCTCCAGTTGCAGCGGTCGGTGGTGGCCTCGGGAGAAAAGCAACAGAAAGCCGACTACCGGATCAGCAAGAGGTAACCGCTAGCCCTGTACCTGCTGGAGAACGGGGGGGGGGGCACCCTTCATTGCCCCCACAGTTATGCGAGGAGTTGGCAAGCTTGAGTCTTCTTGCAGCGCAAAGTGGCTCAGGGGAACGGAAATCTCAGCTCAGGCCCTGAAGACGGGCAGGGGAAAGAATGGCAAAACTCACCTGGCAAGGTCGTGTGGCTTCACTAACAAGCACATAGCAGGCAGAAATTCAACAGGTCGACTTTTCAAATTCAACAGATTGACTTTTCAAATTCGACAGTTTGTTTTACAGTGAGGCACATGGGTATATCATAGCTGGGAAGCTTCAGCTATTGGCCAGTATAGAAATATAATGAATATACATACACATAAATGTCAGCCCTTCCTGGAGATGCAAACCAGGGACCTTAATGCATGCAAATCAGGGGTCCTATTGCTGAGCTAGAGCCATTCCACCAAAAAGCAAATAAGGATTCTAGTCCTCATGGTTCTAGTAATGCTTTAAAGCAGATCATAGGAAGCCGCTCAGCACGCATGGACATAGTGGTCCATCTAGCCCAGGACTGTTGGTCCTGCCTGGCCACAAGGACTCTCCAGGGTTTCAGGCCATCTCCTGCCAGGAAATGGCGGGGATCGAACCGGACCTGGGCAACTGCGGATCCCCAGAGAGCCCTTCAGCGGTTCCCTCACGGGCCAATTCAGCCACCTTCCTCCTCACAGGAGAGCAATTCCATGTGTTGGGGCCCCAAGGAGGGGGTCTGTTGGGTGTGAGCCCCTAATCTTGAGAGCAGGCCGCATTCGGGGCCGACTGTCCAGCTGCCATACAGGAGGGGCTTTTGCACGGGCGCCCTCCTGTGGCGACTGAGGGGCTCGTGGCGACGTGCCGTGCAAGGCCGCCTCGGGGCAGGGTGAGAAGCGGGGGCGAAGTGCACACTGACACAACCGGGTGCAGAAGCAGCCCAAGTTCCTGCTTTTCGTGTGTCCTCACCATGCTTTGGGCAGGAAGGGGGAGAAAGACCCGGCATGTCCCCACCTCCCCTCGCCACCTCCAGCGGCATCCAGCCACGTCCCGCTTGCCCGCTTGGCTACCAGAGGTGGGTCAGGATCAGGGCAAGATCGCAGGAAGGGCCCCTGGGGGAACCTGGCGGACTCTGGTTTACACCGCTTCGCTTTTCCACACGCTCAACCGATAAGCAAAAGCAACCTCGCTTTGATAGCCAGACTGGTTTGCATGTGTTTTATATTTAAATCATTTGATCTCTTTTATTTCCATGCCATCCAATAACCAAAACTCTCTGGCAGCTCAGAGAGATCCACAGAGCCAGGGGCCACAACCTAATAGAAATAGCCCAATGTTTTCCCCACGTACAACATGTGAAAACATCGGAACAGCCAGAGCGATTTCAGCGCAAACGAGACTGGTTTAAAGCAGCTGGCTTAAATGCCCCCCCCCCCCCCGCCACGAAATGGCACGGCAGTCGGGGGCCCTGCTTCCTTGTGGCCACCGTCCAACCTCGCCAGAGGTGACCCTTGCAGGCCGGGCTCAGGCGTGGGCTGCCATATCGAGGTAGATTCAGGTTGGCAGAGGCATTGCATTAGCTACGGCAGTCCCAAACCATTTATCGATTAAAGCTGGCACCCTGAACTGGGCTCCGGAACCCAAAAGCAGCCGCTGCAAGCAGGCCAGAATCGGGGTACACTCCCAGACCTCCTAGCCCCAGTTCCTAGCTTGGCTGCAACATTTTGCAGAAGCTGCAGCTTCTGAACAATCGTCAAGGGCAACCCGACACGGATCAGACACACATGCACCTAGATTGACCCGAGGCCGTTCTTCCAAAACTTGGTACCCTCCAGATGAGTCCAGCCACACTTCAAATAAACTTCCAGCCAGCTTTTCCAAACATGAAGATCAAAACATGCCTTGATGACATGTTTCCCATTGTGATTCGTCCTGATTCATCCAGGGTAGGGCCCGGTAGAAAACTCCTCCTGTGGTGACTTAGTCATTCCTGGAAAGTTTTGTCCTATGTTCAGCCAAGTCAGCTTAGCAACCCCTGAGAAGATGGTAGCAAATTCTCTCTCCTTCTGACTTTTAAAGTGGGCTACCAGAACAACTGGCCGTCTTTTCTTACTTTCTATGTTTAATCACTTCCTGGACGTTTTCTCCGTTCTGTATCAGCATCTTGTCACTTCCAGTACATTGGTCTAAAATTCTGAACCTGGATATTGTCAACAGACGTGCAAGAAATTTGCAGCACCTTGCCAGAAATGTTGGGCTCCGACTGCCTGGTCACCAGCTGCCTCCGGCTGCGTTTGGACAAACGAGGCGGAGGCAGACGGGCTACAGTGGGGCAGCCCCCGACTCTGCATTCCCCCCACACATACTGCCAAGGGGCCGGATTTATGACCAACAGCTGCATTTCTCATTCCCCTCCCCAGAAGTCTCCCTGAGTCGGGGGAAATGCATTTAGCTGGCCTCTTGCAGTGAAAGCTGGTGGAGATCTGGAATGCACTGACACGGAAAACGATGGAATTGCTCTGGTTGCACCGCAGCCCAGCAAATATTTTCCTAGATGAGCTCACGGCTTGGTTTTGCAATCTCTATACCAGAGACCCTGTTTACCACTAGAACTGCAGAGGAGGGGGCTGTTAACTCTCTCCTCGCCCCAGGCTTGGGGGGAAATAGAAGGCACGTGGCCACAAAAAGCCAGGTGCCAGACGGCTCCTCTCCAAAAATTGCATAATTTGCAGTCAGGCAATAGTCTGCCTGCATCTCTTTATTCAGGGCGTTTTGAGCCTGCTTCTTAGCGGCAAAAGGGCTCCCGGAGCAACTTACAGTGATCCATATTGCAACAGCCCCTGTCCCCAGGCCCAGAACAGGATAGACGCGGCACAGAAGGCCCTGGCCCACGGGTCTCGAATCCGGTCTCTCGGGGGAACGAGGCTGAGTTGGGTCTGCCGCGGGCGGGCCTTGTTTCTTCCTTTGTGCCAGTTGCTGCACTTGCTTCCATGTGGTTTTAAATTTGGCGTTTAGCTGTTTCGGTGCAATTTCTCTCATGCTTTACTGTTGCTTGCGTCTTATATTGCGCTGTTGCATCTCACGCATGGCCATCAACTGCCAGGGGAGCTTCGGCTACTGGGCGGTATAGAAATACAGCGGTACCTCGGCTCATGGACGTAATCCGTTCCAGGACTGGTCGTGACCCAAGTTGGTCGTGAGCCAAGTCAAATTTCCCCATAAGGTTCAATGTAAATGAGGTTAGTCCGTTCTGTAACTATTTTTTTTTAATCAGAAGAATTTGAACAAAGTGACAAAGAACAACCAAGTACTGTGCAGTACAGTGAAGAGCACTAACCTGGGTGGAGGGGAGGTTCTTGTTTTGAGGGAGAGCCCCCTCCAGAAGGACACTGGGGGCATCTCTTTCAGGGGCTTCCTCTCTTCTTTGCCTCTTAGCTGCAGGGTCAATTCTGGTGAAAAATCTGTGTATAGTCACTTGTTTTTCCTGCGCTGCATAACCCTCCGGAAATGAGAGACCACGTTGTCGTTCATCAGATTCAAAACTCTGTTCGCTTCAGTTATGCTGGGGTGGTGCTTCTCAAAGAAATCCCGGCACTCGTTCCATTTTTCCATAATGGATTGTATCATCGCTCACCTCCTCCCCGCCTTCCTCTTCCTCGGTGGAACCCTCCTCAGCAAGTGCTTCTGTCGTCGGCTCCTCTGTGTCTTCCCTGCACGGACGCAACCGCCATCCTGGCCACCTCCCCACTCGGGCATGGGGGGGAGATGGCCGCGATCGCGCCGGTTGCGGGGGGAGACGGCCGCGATCGCGCCGGTTGCAGGGGGAGACGGCCACGATCGCGCCCGTCTTTCCTGCAGGAGCGCGCCCGTGATCGCGCACGTCGATCGTGGCCATCTCCCCACTCGGGGCAGGGGGAGATGGCTGTGATCTTGGTTCCCACCCAACGCGGAGTTCGCGGCCCAAGTCAACATCTTCAGGAGATTTTTGCCCGCAACCTGATTTGCTTGTGAGCCAAGGCCTTCGTGAGCTGAGGCACCATGGTAGCCTGCATGGCCGGCACGTGTGGGAAGGACATGCGTGCAGGAGAACAGCATGCGATGCGAAGGAGGATGCTGTTCGAAGCACGGCTTCTGCCCCACTGAACGGGGAGGACCTCCCAGGCAGACTGTGGGAGGCGATGCACACAGAAGGTCCAGAGAGCAAAGTGCCAAAAGCCAGCCGGCCATAAATGCAGCAAGGAATCCAAGGAAGTCTTGGGTTTTGGACGTTCCCTTTGCAGGAATTCCTTTGGGGGACATTCTCTGGGGTGTCCCCCACCCCGGTTGCAAAGCACTTCCCCTCATATGGGCAGCCCGGGACCTGCACTGCCAAATCGCTGCTCCGGCTTAAGCCTTCCCTCGGCTCGGAGGAGCTTCCAGTGTGTGGGAAGGTGTGAGTGGCTGCTACATTCTCCTTGCTTTGATTATGCATTCTGAGGGTTTTGATCTTTGTAAGTGGCCCAGAGAGCTTTGGCTGCTGGATGGTATAGAAAAGTAAAATATGAAATAAATATTCCTTTTGGCCATGTCAGGAAGCCTCAATGGCAGCCGTGAGATGGGATGCCCAGGGTCCATCAGGAAAGGCCCCTCTCGCCTTGAACCTCAGCAGTTTAACTGAAAGATCACCCAGGACCCCTGCAGTGACTCATTCCAGCATGCGACCGGGCAGTGGTCTCCCCCACCAACTATACGCTTTTAGAGCATACACAGAGTGTTTTATAGATTCTGAGCCACATGGACCCAGCAGCTAGGCCGTTGATGGCGAAATAAGGGGAGCGCAGTCAGAAGAAGGGGAGGGGTCTGCAGAGGGGCTCAGTACAATAGCCTTGATTACAAGAGATTAACACAAGGATCACTGAGGCACGGGGATTACTGTGGGCCTTGGCATGCAAATGAGGGTGCTTGCAATGCTGTTAACTGGCAGCCTGACCAGCTCTCACTGGTCAGCGAAAAGAACAGCCCTGGCAGCTTCTAGGCAAGCTCTGAGTTCCCACGTCTTAAACTAACAGCAAATGCCTGACCGTAACCTGGCTTGGAATTGGGGTGCTTTCTGAGAAAGGGGTGCAGCTACTTTTATAACACAAAGGCACCTATAAGCACCCCTGTTCTGCCAGGATTTATCTGCATTTTCCCAACGGCCAACACGCTGCCTCCGCTTTCTAAGAGGCCTCAGTGCTGAACCACCTGCTCTCGGACAACCCGCTGAGCTCACAGGTAGCTGCATCTGTTTCAGTGCCTGGCTGAAAGACACCTTGGATCCGGTTATTGTGGCACTCGATCGACGGATCGTGGCCCTGACTGGCTTGAACACACAGCCCCCTTACGCAGAATACCTGCAGGTGGTAAACTACGGACTCGGGGGGCACTACGAGCCCCATTTCGACCATGCTACTGTGAGTAAACCTGTTGCAAAGCCTTGGTAAGCCGGGAAAGCATCTCTAAATCATGCAGCATGCACAGATCCACATGGAGTCGTGGGCGAGCTGGAAGGGGCATCCGTGGCAAAGCAGTGGTGTAGCGGAGTGGGGCCCGCAGGGACGCAGTCCCCACAATCCCCGATCGGTGCGGATGCCGGCTCCATCTGCCACACCCTTCGGAATTCCTTGTCGCCACTGCTGCAGCACCTGGCAAGGAGCTCAGAGTTCTTAAAATGCAAATATGTTGTGTAAACACCCCGCCGGCCACATCCGGGGAGTCACTTTTTCCTGAAAACATGTAGGGGTCCCACTGTTTTTCCAGAGGTTCTTGACTTTTCTCATGGAAAAATTCAGTCTTAGGGATCCCTTCAACCTTGGCACCTTTATCTGCCACTGGCAAATCTTCTTGAGCATTCCCAAGTCATAAGAGGTCATGGTTGCCCTTCGAGGGTTTGAAGTCCTCTGTATTCCTCAAGGCACCATCATGTTTCTTGAAACATGAATTAATTCCCCTTTAAATCCGTTTAGTTTGGGCTCTCCTCCAAATCCAGGACTCTGGAAATTACCTGGACAACCCCTTCAAAGATGTCTCCCAACCCAGCAGAAAATACAAGTACGGAAATATTAAGGTTGTGGAGTTTTCATCTTCTTTCAACATGAGATCAGACTCGTTTCCCATTTCATAGCAAGCTCGTTCTTTGCAATCTTTGTTCAAGAAGTAAAGCATGCGATTTATTGCACGTTAAGCCTTGTGAGGGTAATTCCCTTCAATCGTAACACCAGGTTTTGGTAGCATCATATATTTCTTTTCATTGGAATGGCTTCTTGTAGCACTCATTTATTCCGCATTTCCAAGGATCAGTGCTATTAAGTCGGGTTCGGCATCCTTTGCTATTGCACAAAACACACTTATGGATGTCCTGGTACTTCCAGCTGAAAGGCATTTCAGGAAATATCCAGTAAGCTTTTTGCTTAATTGTGCAAGATTACTAAAGCTTCATGCCACTGACTCAGCCGCGACTCAACCATACATGGACTCTTAGTCACATCAGCCGTGAAGAGTGCAACCGCTTGATTTTCCCCAAATAAACAATTTTGTTCTTTTGGCAGTCAAGAAAAAGCCCCCTCTACAAGCTGAAATCCGGAAACCGAATCGCCACGTTGATGATTTATGTGAGTACTTTCTTTTCTTTGTCACTGCAGTGGAATTTCTTCTCGTCTGGGTTGCTTTTATTATTGGAGAATGTCCTGTGATTTCAGCAGCAAATGGCCACTTTTCCCCATCGTAGGAGCACTGATTCCGACTAGTGTAACAGGAGCAGCGCTTTCTCTGCAGCCCAGTGGATACGACCCTGGGAGCTGAACATGCATTCCAGCCGCTGAAGCAAGGGACTGTTGTCCAGAAAAAGGAAATGGCTTGATCTTTCCCAATTGCATGCGAAATGAGGGAATAAGTGATGTTTCCAGAAGGAGCGAGCAAGACTGGGGTTGTTAGTTAATCGCTCTTTGTTCTAAACGGCACTTGCGGTTCAGTTAGAGTTCAAGGAAGTACGAGGGCAGAGAAACGCCAGTTTACTGGACTCTCTGATCTAATGCACACGAGCTTGAAGCAATTAATTCTGCTCAGCAAGTTCTGCTCATCAGGCTGCCTTTCAGTGCCCAGAAAATTTAAGCAAAGCCTTTGCATGTTTTCTACAGTTTGCAGACCTTTGCCCTTCTTGGTTCCTGGGGTGCAGAATGGAAAGATTGGGGGGGGGGGGTCGTGCAAAGGTGATTCAACATACTGTCCCACAACGAAGGTAACCGACACGTACTGCCCTGTGTTTTTCGCCCCCGCCCAGCTGAGTTCGGTAGAAGCCGGAGGGGCCACTGCTTTCATCTACGCAAACGTCAGCATCCCTGCTGTCAAGGTGAGAGGTTTTTGTGCCTTGCTGTGCTTTGGCATCGTTCCTTTTCCCAGGCTGAGGACAGAGATCGATGACAAAACAATCCCAGACTCTTCTGGCTTGCAATCTAAAAGACACGATAGCCGGGGACTTCCGAGAGCCTGGGGAGATGTCGGTTCTGCTGGGGACTTACCGTCAGGAGCAGAGGGTTCTGACAGTGGCAAGCGGCAAGCTAGGAGGGCCACTGGCTGTCCCAGTCCCAAGGAAGAGACTTATGCCGCATCAGAGCCATCGATTGCACCCTGAGAGGCCCAAGAGTTTGGGGTCATGACGGACTGTCCGTTGCCCGCTATTTAAGGGAACTGGAGGAGACAGCAAGCCCAGTTACAAACGCCTAGTTCTCCCTCCCACCCGAGCGTGCGTGAGCTTCACTATGCCTTGCACCATTTAATCCAGGTGGGCCAGCAAACCAGTCGAGGAGGCTCACATGCAACTCACCTTGGCTGAGTTTAAGTCACCTGGGGCGCTGCGGTTTGAGGCAGCACCCAGAGAGCGACTGGGATGGCGGAGGTTGCAGAATGAGGGTGGGGGGTTCCCTTCCTGCTGGGACCCCCTGACTTCACCCCACTGCGGCTTGCCAGCTTTTGTACAGCCTCCTCCTCAACCTCAAGGCAGAAGTGCCTCCACTTAGACCTGGTCACGGGCACGAAGAAGTTTCCCCTAAAAAGCGCTGGTTCTTTGGACCCTGCCTGCCACTGGAATGTCACTCCCAAGAGCTTCCCCAAAATGCACCTTGGCATTTGAGACGGAAAGGATTACTTTTCTGCGGACGCATCTGAATAGCCCCATTTCTGGTTGGTTTTCTTTTCAGAACGCTGCTCTCTTTTGGTGGAACCTTCACAAGAACGGGGACGGGGATGAAGACACCCTCCACGCCGGCTGCCCAGTGCTTGCGGGGGACAAATGGGGTGAGGCCAGCCATCTCCCTGCTGAACACAGAGGGGAGGCCGTCCTTGCACCGAAGCCCGGAAGCAGGTCCCCGTGCCAGCAGGGCCCGCGAGGGGCCTGGCTGAGCATCCCGGTCAACTTCGTTTCCCCCTGCATCAAAGGCAGGAAAGCGAAATGGACGCGCTTGAGAAACAGGCCTGGGGTTGAGTGCTGCCTGCACGAAGGCATGTCCAGCCATCGGGGATCTGGCCTCCGCCCTGCCTTCCCTTCTCCCCTGCTCCAGAAAGGCCAACCCCCCCCCCTCCGCAGACATACCGGGGGGGGGCGCTTTTTTGTTCATGTGGTAGATGGCAGGGCGGGCAAATGTTTCTCTTCCCTAAGCTAAGCTCTAAAGTCCACACCGTGTGATTGGTGCATCTGGGGAGTGTTCTCTTCCTTCTGCATTTTCTAAAAAATGCTGTGCTTGCAGAAGATTCACAGGGATCCTTCTGTGCCCACGGCGAGCTCCAGCTCCGGCTCCGGGGATGGGGCAGCCCCATCCCGGAACAGCCCATTTCGGTGGGAGTGCCGAGCCGTACCGTTTCCGCAGAGACACGCCTGAGGCCCTGCAGTGCCTGAGCGGATCCCGGGAGCTTGGATCCGCAGCCTGGAAAGGCCTGCAGAGAGGGTGCCAATTCCAAGGATTTGCCAGCCTGCGGCCAGGGCGCCCCGAGGGGCTCTCTCCTTCAGGAGTCCGTGGCCACCGGCTGCTCTTGCTTGCAAGTTGGCAGCAGCACTGCCAGCCCCCCCTCATCGGCCCTGTTGCCTGGGCCAGCGAAAGGGCCAGGGGAACACACAGGTGGAGCCGCAAGCCCAGAGGGCTCTTGCCATTGGACCTGCTGGCCATGGGCCCTTGGCAGGTGCTGACCGGGCCGGCCCTTTCCCCTGAGACAGCATCCCCAGCAGCCAGCTAAACATGAGCCAACAGTGCGATGCAGCTGCCAAAAGGGCAAATGCTATTTTGGGAAGCATTAACAGAAGTGTTACTTCCGAGTAGCAGTTCCTCTATGCTCCTCATTAGTCAGACCTCACCTGGAAGACTGTGTCCAGTTCTGGGCACCAAGATTTAAGAAAGACGCAGGAAAATTAGAAAGGGTCCAGAGGAAGGCGACAAAAATGATCCAGGTTTGGAAATGCTGTCCAAAAGGAGAGACTGAGAGAACTGGGCATGTCCAGCCTTGAGAAGAGAAGACTGAGGGAGACATGAGATCCCTCTAGAAGTACCTCAAAGGCTGTCACAGAGAGGAAGATCATGATCTCTTCCTGCTGATGCCAGAGGGCAGGACACAGAAACATCTCAGAAAATAATCCAGTTTCGTTCAAAAAGAAACTGAAGAGCCACCTGAGTGGGTTGGTGTGACTTGGTGTCCTGCAACAGCAGGGGGTTGAACCGATGGCCTTCATGGCCCCTTCCAGCTCTGCTCTTCTGTGCTTCTATGAGGTCCTGCCTTCTGGCACTGCTCCAGTTTTTAGGGTAGCCAGCTCCTTTCCTGACGGAGGCGTTCGTGCCCTCAGAACCTCAGTGCAGGGTGTCCACAAGCCATGCATGCAGCCATCCCCGTTTTCATCCACTGGTGTTAAGCAGCGTTCGGGAAGCTCTGCCACGTTTGCACGGCTCCCCCTTCAACCGTTTCCTCCTCTTCTCCAACAGTGGCCAACAAGTGGTTCCATGAACACGGGCAGGAATTCCGGCGGCCGTGCGGCACCAACCCGGAGGACTAGCGAGCTCGGGGTTCAGGAGCAACCCAAGAGCCAAATCCGGCAGCCGGCAGGGAAAGCGCCCCTGGAAAAGTGCTCCTTCCCCTCCCGATGGTCCGGAAAGGCCACCTGGTCCGGAAAGGCCACCTGGGGAGCTGAGCCGGGACCAGCACGCATCTCAGCCCAGCTTTCTTGAGCATCAGTTTAGCCTGTGGACTGTCGGGTGGAGAAAAGGGAACACCGCGCCCTGCAGAGCAGGAGAGAAAGAGCAACTGGGTGACATGCGACAGATCCTCTTGGCCCTGTGTGACTCCAGAGGGACCCCCAGGAAATAGGCAGGCAGGCAGGTGGAGGTGCGGCAATTTCCAGAAAGCGGCACGCTCCCAGCCATCCTGCTTTTGCAGAAGCTTCTCAAACGTTCCGTTGATGGAGAAAGAAAGGGATGCTCAGCATCCGGACCACTGAGAAAAGAGCCAGGTGAGCCACACCTAGGCTGGGCCACGTTTCCCGCCAGGGCGGAATTCTCCGCAGGAACTCACCTGAGGTCCTTTGGTCCTCTTAGCTGGCCTGCAAGGCTAGAAACATCTCGCTGTAACGGATGCACAGGGGGTGGCATCTCTTGTGAGCACTCCAGCCTGGCCAGGCAGAGTCTCGTGCCCATAGGGGGAGGCGGCCCCCACCCTCCGACTGAGGCCTTGCAAGAGTGCCCATGACGTTTTCCAGGCTTGGAGAAGCCGTGATGGGGACAACTTTCCCTGTTGGATTTCTGTCTGCTACACAGCCATTAAATCACCGAGCCTTTGCCCTTTGCAATTGTAGGAGGCAGCCCCATTAATTCAGCAGGAGATGGGGAAAGAGGGCCGCTTTTGCCCAGGAAGCGGCTGTCTGCACGTCTCCTCCGTGGCCTGAGGCCAGCCAAGTCAATATTTGAAAAACTGAAATTGCGGTTAATTCAAGTAGGAGTGGGCCCTGCATCGTCTTGCGGAGGGGACCTTCTGGGAGACCAGGGGAGCGAGCAGGATCAAGACGCCTCGCTCTCTTTCCCTCTGGAGCTGCATCCCCCACATCCGGCCATTCAGGCCTCTACTGGCAGAAACAAAACATGCGCTCCCAGTAAGAGTTTGTCTCGTTAGTACCGGACTGGCTCTCGCAGCAAATGCTGATCAAAAGGTAAAAGCGGGCTTTCCAGGTCAGACCCAGGCCAGCCCTCTGTTCACACAAAGGACAACCAGGTGCCCCCCCTGGAAACCGTGCAATGGTGCCCTCCCGCCCATGTTCCCCAGCAGCTGGCCCACCCGGCCCACCCTTTGCCACCCGATGCCTGCCATCTGCGTCGCACTACAGCATCCCCCAGCCAGCACGGCCGTGTCCGTTCCTTGTAGGCCGTTCTTCAGCGAGCCCGAGTTAGTCCGGAAAGAGCTCAGCTGAGAGCAACTTTTGACCAGCCGTCGCGGTCACCGTTTGTGGCCCGCGGTTTAGGACTTGACCTGCTTGATGGCAGAGCTCCCTGATGGGAGGTTAGAACAAGGAGCGCTTGGCCCAGGGAGGAGAAGCTGCGCTTCGGCCGGAGCAGGGGGATTTGTGGAGTGAAGGATACAAGGCGGCATTCAGTGAAGAGCCGTGGCGAAGCAAGAGCACTTCAGAGCTCGCGTGTTCGGAGGATTCTCCAGAAACTCCGGCACGGGTGCTTCCACATACCTGCCTTGCAACAGAATCCCCTTTCATAAGCTGGCTGAAAACAGAGGCCCCTGTCTAGGAGAGGAAAACCAGCGAACGAAGGAACTGCACGTGCGCTTGAGAACGGGAGAGATCTGGAAGCGGGCGGCCAGGCGGGCAGCCGGCCGGTCCAGACGTCCCCGCCGCATGCCAGCCTCTGCTTCAGGGCACATCAGCTGCCTTCCCATCATCAGAGGGATACAGGAAGGGCGAGTGTGACAGTTCCCCCAAAGGGCATCACAACAGGAGGAGAGAACTGGATTTTCCTCAGTTTCCTGAATTTGCCTTGGAAATGCAGTGCATTGGAATTTGCATCGTGCGCTTGCCCAGATGCACTTGCAAAAAGTCACACTGGCACAAGCACCGTTTTCACGCTTTCATCTGGGGGAAATGCACCCTTTCGGTTAGTGTTCTTTTTTTAAAAAAAGCATTTTTACCCATTTGTGCATGACTGAATTTGTGCAGTTCCACAAAAAGAAGTCGGTCTGCTGCCAGGCTCCATGGGCCAGGCTCTCCGAAATCTAAACTCATGTAGAGTTACAGATTTCGCCAACTTCCTTCAGCAAAACCAGGGTGTTTCTCTCTCCTGGCACTTCAGCCAAATTAGTGTACACCTTCCTACTGTCTGAAATAACCCGGGGCAGACTCTTGCAGGGAAAATGAACAGGACTGATGGAAGAGAACTTCAGCTCTGTCGGCTGCGATTCTTGGTCTGAGGATCTGGGAGTCGATGGCTCTGCCGGTCGTTCCTCTACTGGAAGTTCCGAGGGGTTCAGCCGATAACACAGTGAAACCAGGACGGCCCGCGGAGCCTTGCGAGTTTGCGTGCTCGTTCTGGCCTAAGGCACGGAGCACACACGGCTTCCTCGCTTGTGGGTGGATCGTGGGTTTGCGTATTTCAGCGTTGCAGTCAATAAACCACACATCCTGTTGGGCACGTTTGCTTTCTTCCTGGTTCTCCTGACCCTTAAAATGAGGTGCCCTGGCCGGATCCACCAGCCTACTGTCCCATTTTGTGGTCCTCCGGGAAGCACCAGGGCATGGGCACACGCGCAATGCTGCAGAGCCACAAACGCCATCCCAAACCCTGCCCTGTTCCCCAGGTAGGATATGCAGCTACCTGTGTAAGGTCAGGCAAGCGTGACTGGCAGGTAGGGTGGCTGTTGCCACAGAGGAATTTAAAATAAAGGGTGTTCAAGGATAGGCTAGACATGCACATGGCAGGCATCTCATGGGCAGAGCCAGGGGTCAGACTAGATGGCCCAGAAGGTCCCTTCTGACTCGGGCTGTTTCCATCTTTCTAATTTTGGCTATCGTGTGGTATTGAAATATGGTCAGTCATCACGACTGACTTCACAGATCATCGCAAGCCAGGGATGAATATGGAACTATTTAAGGTGCTATTAAAATGCTCCATATTTAGGATTTCCATAGTGTGTAGAGGACAAACCTACTTGTAAGAAAACTGTACTACATGTTTTTAAAAATCTACGAGACAAAGCGGGGGCATCATCCCTTGGATGACGCATGATCAGGAAATGGAGGGGCACGGGGACCAACTAGCCATCCCTTAAAGCCAAGGGTGCAAGAGTAGGAAAACATTTTGGCAGGTCCGAGCCGCTGGAAAGTATTGCCACCAAGCGGCCTCTTCTGGTAGGGACCAGGGAAAGCGGAGAGGGAAGAAGGAAGGGGAGAGCCCTGTCCCTCCGCTGGAGAAAGTTGGAAGCCATGCGTCTTGCCTGGAAGCCGGCCACATGCGCTTTGCACGACGGGGTACCTGGCAAGGGTTGAGTTTGCACTAGTGGCTTACCCCAAGCACCAACCTGTCGAAACAATGACTTCCAAAGCATGGAGTGTTTCGTAGAAAATGTCACACCTGATTTAACCTGACGACAAGACGAATGTTTCATGGGGATGAGCAAGCGCTGTAGAACTCCCCAGCCCACCTGGTTTGGAACATGCTCACGGGAGATGCTGAGTTGCAGGCCCACCTGGCTGCAGAACCCCCCGGTTCGAGATCCTTAGCCCAAGCTCCGTTTACCTTGGACTTCCTGAAGCTGGCACCCTCCAAGGGTGTGGGGCTACACTCCCATCATCCCCAGCCCGCATAAATCTGGAGGGTGCCAGGTGGCCAGCTTAAACCATCACACTGCGCGTGAACCTTGAAGAGCATGAATTCCACGAAGCAGATCTGGGCTCTCCAAGACAACAGAAGAGCTGGCAACTTATCACAAAATGTGGGAGCCATTAGTCACTGGAACTGCTGGGCCTGGCGGGCGAAGGACAGGTGGCACCTCCCTCCACAGGGCTCTTGCTCGGCCGACACCACAACACACTCCAGCTCCTGTCGGTCGGGATTAAGGACGATGAATCGGGTGAGCCCTTGGGCGAAAGCAGGTGGCGCCCCTTGGCTGCGCTTGAGCACCTGCTGAGCCTGCAGGTTCCTGGGGGATTCCAGCGAAAAGGAACCATGGAGCAGGTGTTCCAAGACTCCACCGCCGCAGCAGGATCTGGTCCCAGATCTCCCAGGATCTGCTGCCGTGCCAAGCATCCAACAAGGTCCATGATGCTCTGAAGCCTGACCGTGGGACTGTTCCTTGCCCACCTGCACGTGCTTTGGACTTCAGCTCCCATCGGCCCCATCCTGCCAGGAACTCTGGGAACCACAGCCCAAAGCATCTGCAGGGGATCAGGCCAGGGGAAGGGGCTGCAGCCTGTCCTTCTCCATCCTGGCCTGCCCAGCCAGCACCCGCACGGCCAAGCAGGGGAGCACCAGTGTGCCCCCCCCCCGTGGTTAGGTGTGCAGGGCTGATCCGGGGTCTTATCTGGAGCTCCCTGGGTGGCCCCTGAGCCAGGCAGAGACTCAGCCCAGCCTACCTCACAGGGCTGCCATGTGGCTGAGGCTGAGGAGGATTATGTAAGCCGCCTTGAGTTCCTCGAAGGAAAAAAGGCAGGCTATAAATCAAATAAATAAATCACGGACAGCAGGTAGTGAAATATTTATTCTCATAAAACAAGGGTTGTCTTCAGCAGGGGCGCAAAACCAAACCAAATAAATCCCTCCCCCTCCCCCGAGAAGCCGACGATACAGGATGGGGGGAAACGGTGCACGGCAGGTGTTGATTATGTGGGTTCCCTCCTCTTTGCGGAACCAGCGAGAGGCAGCGCTCCTTGTTGGAGGAAATGAAGGCGTTATGCTGAAAATCGGCTGGAGGGCAGCAAGGGGGAGACCTAGGCAAGCTCCCGGCCCCAGACACAGCGACTCGCACCCAGACCGAGGGCCGAGGGAATGAGGACCACCGCTGGTCCCTTGGCTACCGGATCCCGGCAGCGTCCAGAAGTGCGGCGGGGCTGCGAGAGGGCTGCCGAAGGTTCGAGAGTTTCACTACATCTTCACACACAGACACAGTGGGGGTTTGGGGGGGGGGGAGAGGTGGTGGAAAAAAGGCAGCTTTGCTTTTCAAATGATGAACTCAGCTCAGTTCAAAGCAGCTCCGAACCAAAGACGGGCACCCCACTGTCTCCCCACCCCTTCCCAAGGCAGCCCAGAGTCCATCCTGCGAAGGCCCGGGAACCAGGGAAGCATCTCCATCACCCACAGAGGCACCAGCGGCCCACACATCTCCAGCCAGCCCTCTCCAGGCTGCTGGCCTACAACGCGGCATTGCCAGTGTGGGCTGGGGATGATGGGCATTGCAGTCCAGGGAACCAGAGAGCATGGGCTTGGGGTTGGCAGATTAAAGAAGAGGCGAGGAAGGAAGGAGATGCCCAGAACGATCTGCTTGAAACTGGAGAAAGCAGCTCATCCTCAGGACCGGGTTCCCCCCAGGTCAACTTCGGCCTGCCAGAGGCCCTTCCTTCTGGGAGGCTCCACTGCAAATGCAGACCTTCCTGCTGGGGGGGCCGGGGGGGGGGCATCGATGCTGCTGCCAGCATTTGCCGGCAGAGACAGGCATGACAACACAGGCCTGGGAATCTTGCTGGAAGAGCTGCCGAGCCCCGGAGGAGGCGGCAGCATCGATGGGCCGAGGGTCCCCTTCTTGAGACCACAGAACAGAGGGTGGTTATGGGGCCGAGGGGCTTCCTTCCCAGCTGCAGAGCCGTCGCTGGCCATGATGGCCCTCCAGAGGAAAGCCACCTGGCACCCCAACCAGATTTTGCAGGGAAGGGCCATAAACGCCCGCGCAGGTTCCTGGCCAGAGCCCGCGACGTCAAGTGCTCCGGCCTCAGTTTGCCTGCCTTCCTGCTTCCTCTACAGACAGGTAGGCCACAGGTGGCCCTCCAGGTATCCCGGCCCACCTTTCCCCTCAGCTCCAGCCAGCAGAGCCAGTGGGAGTGACTGTGGAAGCCACGGGCAAAAACATGGGGAGGGGCACTCATGGCCAGCCCCCTCTAGAGGGGTAATTCCAACTCTCAGTCCGTGGAAGGAGAAGTCCGAATCTTTTCCAAGCACGACAAACAGATGTGGCAACTCGCCCCCCCCCCCCAAAAAAAAGAAAAAAAAAGGCAAATGCTTCTGGCCCTCGACAGCATTCAGCATGCGGGGCTGCTCTCTTGTAAACACCCCATTGTGATGAATGGGGCCTGGGGCACGGAAAGGGCACACCCCAGGAGACCTGGCCCGGGACTGTGAGCCCTGTGCCCCATTTCCCCCAGAGGCTGCGGAAGGGCCCGACGGCAACTGCCCAGCCAAAGCTGCAGGGACCCACCGATGCCGGCACAGGCGACCGGGGAGGGTCTGCCAAATGTTCGAGGGAGAGCCCATGGCAGCCTGCCGGGGCGGATCGCTGCAGCCTGACAGCCAAGAGAGGGGCGCCGCTCGGGTCAGCAACCGGGACTCCCCTTTCCTTCCCTCTTCCTGCTGCTGCTGCTGGCCAGTGCGAGCGTTCATCGGCAAATGAAACGCAAGGGCCAAATCCAGCAGCCGCTTCCCCGCCAATGGGGGCTGCGGGCGCTAGGACAGGGCCGTCTTCACGCGTGGGCCTGATGGGCACTTGCCTGTGGGCCCCGTACTCATCTGTGCATGTTAACCCTTGGAAAATTGGAAAACTTCCCAAATTAACAGCAGTGGTAGTTGTCGTCGGGGCCCCGGGACACTGCTTTGCCCGGGGCCCCTCATGCTGTTCAGGCGGCCCTGCGCTAGGAAGCCCTGGGCAACCTGTGCAAGCTGCGACGTGGCCACCTGGCTGGGAAGGCGCCGGCACCTTCACCAACAAGACCCGGTTCCCAGATCTTCTCAGATGGGACGAACTCTGGCACGGCCTGTGCAACCACCGAGCTGCAAGCCACGCGGCAGAGCGCCACGGTCTTTTGGCCGTTCCCACTGGTGAACATGTGGACAGATGCGTCCGGCGACTGGCTCTGAGCCGCCGCAAACCCATTTTCCTTCTTACAAGAGAAGGAGGGCGGCCGGGGAGAGCTCGCCGATCCAAACTCTGCCTTCCCTCAACACGCAAGGAACAAACGAAACGCAGGTCGTCCGAACTGGGCCATGCAACATATTTAAGGAGAACGAAAAGAAACACAGGCCAGCGGGAGCTTCGGCAGTTTTTTCCCCAGAGAGTGACAACTTTCCAGCTTCGCTGCCGGAGCCTCGCGGTTGTCCGTGATTTCACAAAGAGCCACTTGGAATTCTACAGCTTACTTCCTTGGGACAACGGAAAGAATCAATTCCTGGCACCCCCATTCAGACAACAGAAAAGGCTGCATCCGGACAAGGGTGGGGGAGGCGAGAAAGACCTAGCCATGGACTGAGCTTTCAAGACGAGTCTTGCACCTCTTGGCCAGAGTCGGAAACCGAACCGGGTAGATGAGAGGGACAGAGAAGACGCCATGGTGGCCTTGGGTGCAGTTTTATTTACAATGGGACGATCCTCAGGCTATTAACAGGCGGGAAAAACACTGCCGAGAGAGAAGGGAAGAAGGGAAAAAGAAGAGGGCGCTCAGGAAACGCTCCAGAGACTGCTTTGCTGGCAGACCCCGCTCCCCTTGCCCTGCTGAGCTGCCTGGCTGGGAATGCTCCTCAGGGCTCTCCCTGCACTGCAGCGCTGCCTTGCCCAACCTGGCGCCCTCCAGATGGGCCGCATGCCTTAGGGAACCGTCTTAAAGCACAGGAGCTCCAGGTCAGCACTCCTTTCCAGGGGGCCTTGCCGTGAGATGGCAGGTGGTGGGAGGGGCCTTTTCCTCCCTCTCCTATAATGCCAGAGCCTGGGGGGGTCACCTGGGTGGGGGGAGCCGTGCCTGAGTTGCACCTGGGCTTCCCCGCTGGCTGCCCCCTTGCCCCCAACCACCGACTGTCTTGCGGAGTCTTGGCATTGGCGGATCTCTTCCTGCTTCTAGGAGGCTGAAATACATCTAAGACCTAAATGCTGTCACGAAATGATGTACGTGAAAATTGGCGGGTGTTTGGGGCATTTCTGCCCCCCTCCATGAGGCAGCCCCTGAAGTGCAATTGCGCCCTTGGCTGAAAGGAGTTCTGTGCTGAAGTGGGGGGGGGGTGCCCAGCAGGTCAGCCCCCCCGCGAGACACAGAAAATGCTGCTCCGCATGCCATGCATCTGGCGGCCCTTGCTACCCCGCTGGCAGCCCCCTCCGTGATGCCCAAGGCCGCGAGCAGAACGCTCCCTTCCACTGGGGGGGATCAGTTGCCCCCCCGCAGCTCCTCATGCACCCCCAAATCTGCTCCAGAAGCTTTGCTGCCCTGTCCTGGGCAAGCTCAGGACACACACCAGGCGCTGCGCAGCAGAGTCCCGTCATGCCAGCAAACGCCTCGGTGCAGCCCACGGGCAGGGCAACGCCCCCCCTTTCCATGCGCCTGCTTCTCTCGCCGTGCCCCCCCCATGGCGGCTCTTGCACCCCCCCGTGGCTCCCACTTGCCTCCCGGGCTTGCAGAGAGCCAGGCAAGCAGCCAGCCGGGAGCAGAACCTGCTCCCCCCACCCCACCTCTGCGATCTGGGCAGAGGGAAGGCGGAGGAACAAGTGGGGGCATGGCCGAGGGGGGGTGCAGCTCCGGGGGCTCTTCCCAACCGGCCCCTGGCGGGAACCCAGCCGAGCTCGGCCTCGGCACCGGCCGGAAGGTCCGCTCAGGCACGGACCGGTCCCTGCTGCCCGCCTGGGCTCACCACTGGAATCCTCCGATGGGCTCTGTAAACCGGTGACGGATCAAGAACGTCGCGACGGCCTCCGCCACCTGGGAGACGGAAAAGCAGCGGGGGGTAAAGGGAGGCCCCCCTCCAGGCCTGCACAGCCGCGAGAAGCCCCATCTTCCCCCTCACGGGCAGGCCTTCCCCAGCCCGGGGCCCCCAGGGGTGCTGGTTTGTCCCGCCAGCAGGGAGCGATGGCGGCTGCCCAGGCAGGGGAAGGGTGGATTCCCGGCCACCCGCCCGCTGGGTGCAGCATCTTCCACAGCTCCTCTTCCTCACAACTCTCAGCAAAGGGGGACGCGCACATTACAACCGCCTGAACGGACAGAGCCAGCCACGTGCGTGAGGCTGAGGCCTGCGGTGCGGATGTGGTACGGCCAGCTCCGAGAGGACTCCACCACCACTCACTTTGTCTGGGGCATCCTCGTGGACCGCGTGGCCGCACTGCGGAAGGACTTGCATCTGGAATTTCCCTGCGGGTGGGAGAGAGGGGGCCGTGAGGCTGCAAATCTTTGCTCTGGCCCTTTTTGGACCCCGTAGTCCAGACAGGGGGAAAAAACCCTTCGGGGACACTCGAAAGCCGCAGCTGGGATGGATGAGGCAAGCTGCGGGAATCTGAAAGGTTTTTCGGACTCTGCTCTAGCTGTGCTAGCCAAAGTGAAGTCAGCGCAGCCGAGGATCTGTTTAATTCAGGCTCCTCCCAGGCTTTGGAAATTCGGTGCGCTAGCCTCATTCTGGAACCCAGGGCTGGGCATGGGCGATGGGAGTTGTGATTCAGCACATCTGGAGTCCCCCAGGTTGGGGGAAGCTGCAGTAAGCACTGCTTCTTAAGAGTGCAGTCAAGAGAACTAGGAACTTTCAGCACAATACAATCCACTTCTGTCTCACCCAGTCGCCAGAATTCTCTGAGTGGTTCATGAAAACCAAAACCTTAAAATACGACACAATAAAATATAATTTAAGCCAGTTAAGTGGCGCGGTGGGAAGACTGTGAGCTGAGCCTCAGGAGAGGCGGGTTCTAGTCCATACTCAACCACGGGCTGACCCTGGGCCCATGGCTCACGCTCAGCCCAACCCACCTCACAGGGTCGTTGTGAGGATGAAACGGAGAAGGGGAGGACCTCTAACCCACCATGGGTTCCTTGGGATGTACAAGTGATAGATAAATAAATAAGTTGGACACAGAATAAACCAGAGTATGAGCATCTCACTGGTTTTTAGATATTAAACAGCAATGTGGAAGGACAAACGAGGTAACAAGAGAGCCAGTGTGGCGTGGTGGTTAAGAGCGCAGGACTGGCACTCAGGCGATCCGGGTTCAAGTCCCCGCTCGGCCATGGAGCCAGCTGGGGGACTTTGGGCCAGTCACAGGCTCTCAGCCCAGCCTGCCTCACAGGGTTGTTGTTGTGGGGAGAAGATGGAGGAGGAGAATGATGTAAGCTGCCTTGAGCCCTTTGTAGGAAAAAGGCAGGATATAAATCGAAATAAAATAAAATATAGGAGTCCAACATGGAAAGGACTTCCCCGGCGCTGAAAGGGCAAGCCTTCCTGGGGAAGACGGGGTGCCACCACTGCGAAGTCCCCTCCTTAGCGGGAACACTTCGGAGGCGCTCTCTGAGCCTGGGCAAGGGCACAGGACCTGCCTGGCCGCTGGGCATGCTGGGAACGGGGCGCCCCTGTTTCTCTGCACTTGCCCAGGACTGGAAGCATGTAAAAGGCTCACTGGCCAGAGGGCGCTGGGAAGCGGAAGGGCCCAGGACCAAGTCCGGCTGCCAGGCTCCCCTTAACGCTGCACTGCAGCCCAGAATGCAAACCGGTTTTACCTTGCATTTGGCCGATGGTCAGATCCTTGTCCAGTCTGTCAACACCTGAGAGGAACGATTGGAGGGTGGGGAGAAAGGAGGAGAAAAAGCAGATGGGGGAAACACATGATTAGACTCAGTTTCCTGCCCTGCTGGCGCACCCCAGAACCATCCAGAACGTCCTGGAATTGCTATTTTAATAAGTAAGGAGGACAGTGGAGGGACCGACTGCCAGGGCACTGGATTTCTTCTGTCCTTCAACTCAGGTGATGGCCTTCCCCTTAGAACAGACGGGCTGTTTCTACAAGAAGCAGGAGAGCCAGATGTGGGTGTACCAGAAGCACAGTGAGATATCCAGGACACAAGCTGCCATCCTGACCCCGCTCCACGCTCCCCTCTAGAGAAAGGCCGGCATGTCCGGGAGCTGCATCCCGATGCCTAGCCTCTTCTCTGGCACGCTAAGCACATGCGTGGTGCCAGGCTGGACTGGACCGGGTCCTGCCTGGTCTGGCTCTCCGCTCACACAGTGGCCGCCCTGTTGCACAGTATAGCGCTTCGTCAGGCGGCCACCCATCACAAGGATCCGGCCGGCTTGGTCCCAGTTTGGCGGCACACAAACGGGGAGTCTCGCTTTGCAGGAGCGGCTGCAGCTCCCGAGCACAGCACAGCGCGTTCCCCAGAATGAACCTGGAAGAGGCTGACGGAAGGGACCTCTCTCCGTCAGACGCCCTTGGCAGCTGCTGCCGATTCCACGCAGGCACGTGCCGGGCTGGGGAAGACATGGCAGTCCTGCCCACCAGAGCCTCGCTGGCTGAATTTGGGCCAGCCACTGATGCTCAGGAGGACCACCTGGCCGGAAAAACGGTGGGATATAAATGTGAACAGAAAAAGGGACAAATGTGCTGGCCTGAAGCAGCTTCTGAAGCTTTCAAGGGACCCAGTGAGAGGCACAAGGGAAGTGGCCGAGGATCTTGGTACGTTAAAATAGCCCGGTGCCTTTCAATGGGCCTGCATGATCAAACTGGTGCCTTTCAATGGGCTTGCATGATCAAACTTAAAAAGCAGTGACACATGTTGCTCGAGGGGGGTCCATCAGGGTTTCTCAATGTGGAATCTCATAAAAATGACCCGAATGACCTGGACGCAGGTCCCCCCTCCTCTACCAGATCCTTTTTGGTGCAGATCTTGGGGCTTGGATCCAGATCACTTGAGCCTGATTACTTCCCAAGCCTGATGTCCTCCAGATGCTCTGCATCTGATGCCCATCGTCCCCACCCAGCATGACCAGCAGTGAGGAATGATGTGAGCTCTAGTCCAAAACCTCAGGCTAGGGAAGGCTGGCCCAACCTACCTCACAAGGCTGTTGGGAAGAGGGAGTGGGCTGGGAAGGAAGCCGGACGCGAGTTGCGCCCACTGCTTCCTGGGAGTAAAGGCAGCATAAAAATTCTAGAACTGCGATGGAGCTGGAGTTTGTTATTCTACTCGCACAGAACTCTGATATTTAAAGTTTTTTAGGATTCAAGGAGGGGATCAAGGTTTGGGGTCCTAGCTATATATTATGGCTCAGCACCAGCTGCACCAGCTCAGTCATACAGAAACTGATTGTGTGGAAGATGTGCCAAGCACGGACCCGAACAATCCCTTCCTCTCCCCAACAAGCGGAGAGATTCTCAGTTTCAGAAATCAACCTTTACAAACTCCATTCCTCCCTCGACAGGCAAGCAGGGAAACTTGACCCAAACAGCAGCGGAGAGAGACAAGCTCTCACTAGGAGCAAGACAGGGAGACAGGCCTACCAGCCAGAAGCAGGAGTTTGGGGATGGGGCAATTGAGGAAGAGGTTGGAAAGGCCCCGGAACCAGCCGTCCCAGTATTTCTCAGTCTTTGCCAGTTCAATCCGCCACGTGTACGCCGCCTCTTTCTTGGTCTGCAAAGGAAGAAAAAGACTCCTGCTTGCACGGCAGCGACCCGAAGAGCTGCCGAAAGGCATCGCTGCTGGGCTGCAGCGGTCACAAGCCGGTGCAGAAATACTGGGCTGGATCCCAGGAAAGGAAGAAGGAAAAACCCGCAGGAACCCAACAAAAATGGTGCACGATTCACAGGCTAATCAGGACCTAAACCTCAATGGAAACTGCATGTATTTCTCAGACAAAGCTGCATAAAGCCGTCACAAACTCTTGGCTACTGAAGGAAAAAAGAACAACACCCAGGAAATGACATTCTCACGTCAGGGAAGCCGTTCTCTTGCCGCCACCCAGAGACTCACGCCGCGGGGCTAGAAAGCTACGGCAGCTCCCTCAACCACACGCTGGACCGCGGACCGCACAGCTTGGACATCCCGTGAGACGACAGGCCGCCGATGACTCTGCGCCTCAACACTCCTTCCAGCATTTGCTCAACCCGCCTCCACTAGGTGAATGATGTGGAACAGGAACTTTGTATATGTTGGTACGTGTGAGTGTGCGCATATGTATATGTACCTATTTATTAGTAATACTCTCAAGATCAGGTTAATACACCTCCGGCCAGCGCTGTACGTTTTCGCTTTCCTTTTCGCTTTCTGTATATCATATGAAAATTAGAAATAAAAAGTAGGTAGTGAGCTCTGAGGAAGACTCGTGTTGGCCTGTCATAAACAGTGATGCGTTTTGGGTGCGTTTATTTATTATGAAGCTTTCCTTATGTTCTTGTTTGCTTTGATCTAAGGCAACTGCTGGAAAAGGTGCAGGGGAAGCTGCTTCAGGTCAATAAAGCAACTTTCTCACAAGAACACACGGAAAGCCCCGCCGGATCAGACCCAAGGTCCAGCCACTCCAGCACTCAGCGCGCACGGTGGCAAACCAGCTCCTCCGGAGCAAGCGCCTCAGCAACTGGTCTCGGCAGGCACGCCACTTCCGGTAAAGGGAGGGACACACAGCCAGCAAGGCTGGTAGCCATGGATCGATTCCTCTCTCGGGCATCTGTCCAGTCCCCTTTTAAAGCCATCCAGACTGGCAGCCATCGCCTCTTCCCAGAACTGCGGTGAATCCCACAGTTTAGGCCTAACCATGGCGGACAGCACTGGGGCACTCCAGAAGCTTTGGCTGGCTAGTTCTCCCTACTCAGACTGGCAGCTGCCACACAAGACCAGGCCCCCACCTCGGCATCATCGTCTTTCTTCCTTTTGTTCACCGTCTCTCCGTTCTCATCTTCCTCCTCCTCCTCCTCCTCCTCTATAATCCCTTCCACGATGGTTTTCGGGCCGCCCGGACTTGCAGCTCCTTCACACCTGATTGAAAATCAGAAAACATGGATTCCTTTCCCGTTTCGGATGTTCTAAATTAGCCTCAAGGGTGAGGGGATACATGGCACAATACAAATAAAAGAAAAAAAAATAGCATGTCATATTATTTTTACTTATTTCGTTTCTATACCACCCCGTAGCTGAAGCTCTCTGGGCTATTTACAGCAATGCATAAAAACGTAACAGTAAAATACAATATAAATGCAGCCTTAAAATGGATTTTAAAAAGCTACAAAATGCAGTTAAATGGCTCTTCATACTGGAGGTTCTCCGTGCACATTTTCTCTCAGCAATACAGAAAGGGAGCCTTGCTCTATTGCTGGGGGAGAAAACAACCCGTTTTCTCCAAACCACGATCAGGGATAAGAGCGGGTTTCTCTCTACTGGAAAAGGCAGCCTTTCAACCTCCACAAGCTGGACTGGGCCTGGCGGAAGAGGTTTCCCTCTCTTGCTATCTGGAAATCAGGGGCAGGACTTCATTCAAGCCTCAGAAAATTTTGGCTCGACATTACTGGAGCAGAATGCATTTCTTGATTTCTCACTTCTGCTCATTCCTATCCTGTCCGGAGGACACACCAGAAATGAAGGCACAAGCTGCTCGTTAGAAACACAAGCTCCGATCCTGAGAACCGTGCTGCAGGTTTGCTTTCATACCAGCTCCACCTACTCGAAGTCCCTTGAGCCCCAAGGAAGGTCACCTCTTCCTGCCAGCAGGACGGGCGCCGCACGGCCAGGCTGCGAGGCGAGGCCTGGGGCACCCCTTCCTGAGAGAATGAGGCCGCCATTTCCTGGCCGTCCATTTCCCTCCCTCCGTTCACACGCATGCGCCACAACAGAAGAGCCCGGGGCTGGTGCGGAGAGTCGAGTTCAGAAGTCACAACCTACTGTTTCACTTGGCCGACCATGGAAACCCTGGCAGATTCAAGGTTTCTTATCTGTCCACTTTTCACACTAGGGAAGGGAGAAAGAGAGTAGAGCAGAGCTGGTCATGGACTTCTTCTTTGGAGCACACTCAGCAGGATCATTTAGTTATTTAATTATATTTACATTCCACTTTTTCCTGTGAAGAACCCAAGGTGGCTTAACTTATTTTCACGAGAACACTGTGAGGTGGACCAGGTAACAGTCAGTGCCTGGCCTGGAGTCACCCAGTGAGTTTCATGGATGAGTGAAGACTAGAACCTGAATCTTCCAGGTCCCAGGGTAGCACTCTAACCACTAGGCTTTATTTGCTAGATCTATCCCCATTTTTTCTTACACTGAAATCAAAGCAGTTTACATCATTCTCCTCCTCGGGCTCTCAATCTTATGCCCACAGCAACAACCCTGTGAGGTGGGTTGGGCTGAGAGTCTGTGACTGGCCCAAAGTCACCCAGTTGGCTCCATGGCTGAGCGGGGACTCGAACCTGGATCGCCTGAGTCCCAGTCCTATGCTCTTAACCACCACACCACACTGGCTCCCTATCTATCTATCTATCTATCTATCTATCTATCTATCTATCTATAAATAAAGTCACCCAGCTGGCTCCATGGCTGAGCGGGGACTCGAACCCAGATCGCCTGAGTCCCAGTCCTATGCTCTTAACCACGACACCACCACACTGGCATTATAAATCTTCAGTGGTTTTCAGTTTGTTATTCTTTATGTTCTTCTTGCCACGCTCCTCTGCTCAGGCTGCCCTGAATTTGTTTTGCTTTGTTTTTCTTGTTTGGATGGGTGAACGTTAAATTAAAACTAAATGAACTGTGTCATTTATTCCCAAAGGGGTGGTCATGTTAGACTCTGCATCTTTCGTGGACAATGACCACTGCATCTGATGAAGCCCTCAGTATTTTTACTTATTTATTTATATATATTGTGATTTATATCCTGCCTTTTTCCTACAAAGGGCTCAAGGCACCTTACATCATTCTCCTCCTCCATCTTATCCCCACAACAGCAACCCAGTGAGGTAGGTTGGGCTGAGAGTCTGACTGGCCCAAAGTCACCCAGTTGGCTCCATGGCTGAGCGGGGACTTGAACCCAGAACTCCTGAGTCCCAGTCCCGTGCTCTTAACCTCTACACCACACTGGCTCTCTCCCTCACCCGTCCCACAGCCCAAGGGGGCTCGCATGGGTCCCCCACACAGCCTCCGATCGAAGCCCCAACAAGACCAGCTTTCTCCAGCTGTCATGAGGGGGATGCCACCAAGACCACAGTCAATCCACTCTACAATAATGAGCTCTACAAATGCGCCATGAAGCTATTCACCTCCACTCAATGGCATTCTCAAGAGACTTGAACGTTTTGGGGCGGCTCCGAAGGAAATTCTGCATGCTGTTCAGTGCATCCATGGCCGTACCTACAAACAAAAGCCAAGGATGCAAATATTATTATTATTATTATTATTATTATTATTATTATTAGAACATTTCTATGCCGCCCCTTGCTGAAGCCCCGGGGCGGCTTACAACACAATAAAATACAATACAAAAATAACAATATAAAATTAAAGTTAATAATATAAAATAAATAAAAAATATAAATGATATAAAAGAAGTTATAAAAGAAAAGTTATAAAAGAAAAGTTAAAGAAAAGAAAAGTTAAAGAAAAGAAAAGAAAAGAAAAGAAAAGAAAAGAAAAGAAAAGAAAAGAAAAGAAAAGAAGTCGCCCTGGCCAGATAAATAAGTAGATATTGTTAACAATTAAAATGACGTTTAAATAAAATAGGTGATCTTGCTTACTCCCATCTTTGATTTTCTTAAAAAAAAAGATGTTTCTAGTCCTCATGAAGGAGAAGAAAAATCTCAGCCTCTGTATAATTCTTTGCTTTCAGGTAGGAGTACGGCTGAGTGGCCAGGTGACTCCAATCAGCACGTCCCTGATTTGATTCTCATAGAATGACAGTCCAGACTGTGGGTTGTGTGAACCCGACTCTATGGTTTAACAACAGCTTCTCCTCCTAGACTGCACGTGCTGAACAGCCCATAGTTAAACCATAGCACAGGATTTGCACATGTCACCCACCCACTACTCAACAACCCCACCTTAAATCCATACCCTGGACTGTCATTATGTGCAAGTCCAGGCCATGGCATTCTTTTTATTTTTATGCTGAGTTCCATTAACTGAATAAACATAAACAATACAATTAATACTCTGGTAATAAACATAATTAAATAATGCTAATAAACATAATTAAAGAATACAATAACAACAGTGCTACCTCCGCCAAGGCCAACAAATCATGTTACTTTATGTAAGATCATTTATTTATTCAGGTTGCCCACTTCCCTTTTATTAAGACATATTCAATAGGTCTGTAGCATCTTCTCTTATTAAAAAACATGCCCACATAATTTCCTGGATTGATGAAGAGCAGAGTGCACCGAACTCCGCAAGCTTGACTTGCAATTCTGGTAATTGTTGCCTAGTGCTGGTGCTCAGAAGATGAGCTGGACGTTTACCCTGAGCTGGGGATGATGGGGAAAGTGTGCTTAGCTGCAGCAGTTCACCAATGTTCAAGAGGGACTCAGTGGAGGAGCTCACCTAGACCAGTTTCTGGTGCAGAAATTTCAAAAATCTGTAAAAAAAAATTACTAAGCTACCTTGTTCGCTTCAGTGATGGACCCTGAACACGAGACAGGAGGTCACAAGAGCAGCCAACTGCAGAATTAGCAGCAGCCAACCGCCCACACTCAGGTCGAAAATAGTCTGGATATCAGCCGCACAAGGCTTAATGAAAAACAAGCCATTTAGGCTGTTGTTACTGCTGGTCCTTACGGCTCCGGCTGACTTTTTCCAGGCTGCTGTTCTTTTATGATGATTTTATATTGTAGCATATTAAACATTTAGCCTCCCAGATAAGATGCAACTTGAAAATCTTCCCCAGAAACGCTTTTAGATGATGTAATTTAAAGTGCCTTCCTTGGGGACGCATAACCAGAACATCCGTGGACAGCCTTCCCCCACTGATGCTCTGCAAATGTGCTGGACTGCAATCCCAATCATCCCCAGCTAGCATGGCCCGCAACTGCCCTCTTCTTCTGCCGATACGCCTGCAGGACACCGAGCCGGGGAAGGCTGGGCAGCTGAGAAGAGGAGGAAACGAAACGAGCTGGGCGCCCGGCGATGCCGAGACTTACCTTCCACGACATCGATCATGCACAGCCCCAGCAGACTGGGAATCAGGTTGGACGCCGCTGTGTGCACCGCGATGGCGCCCCCCATGCTGTGGCCAATCAGCATGATGGGCGGGGAGAGGTCGCCGTACATGACTTCCACCACATTCCCCACGTCTCTGCAGGCAAGAGGAGGCACACAAGGAGGTGGATACCACACCTATGGTCGAGGACGCGGGGGAATACGCGCACGGAATCATCTCTCTTGCGTTGCATCATTTAATGCTGCAATTCTGTTCTGCGTACTTTGTTCTCCTTCTGAGAATCTGGAGCCCCCCACCCCCAAAGCTGGAAACCATATTCTGCAACTGGTCCCCCACCCACCTCTGGGAGGCACCGCTTGTGTGCCTCTAAGTTCTCTCTCCCCAGAAAGCTTCCCTGGAGCTCACGCTGATCCCCTGCAGAGCTAGATAAATCCCCTTTTCTTCTGCCCGGTCCTTTAAGTTTTTCATATCTGAGGACTGCATTCAGGCTACTTTTATCTGCTACAGTTAAATTTTATGATTTTATTGTACAGTATTTTTGTATCATTGTATAAATTTATATGTACACACACAGCATGAAAAGGTTTTGCAAGAATGGGACATGAGTATTAAAACTACTGCACAGAGCTTTGGCTGTGGGAAGGTATAGAAAAGAAATAAAACAAACAAGCAATGAGGACTAGAAACTTACTACGACCCTACACACAAAATTTCCAAGAAGCAGAAAGCTGGCCTGTGAACTCAGCCCTGCTTTAGCTGGGGCAGCACCTCAGCAATTTCCCAGTCCCTTGAACTGGGCGGCTCGGATAAAACGTGTATTACCAGCCTCTGCCTCTGCCAATGCCCAGCTCCCAGGCATGCTGGGGGAAAAGACCTTTTGGGAGGTCTTTTTGGGAGCCGCACAAGGTCTCGGCACGCAAGCCCACGCAGGCGCCGTGGATCCGAAAGCAGCAGGTGCCCGTTTCACAGATGGCCTTCCTGGAAAGGACCCAAGGCACCTGCCTGTCTGAAGGGCTCAGTCACCTTCATGTGGCAACTGCAGCACACGAGAGAACCCAGGCAAAAGGAAGCTTCTTCAGGGGGTAGACAATGGCCTTTCTCCCAGAACCTTAATTGCTTAAGGTTGCTTAACCTTAATTAATTGCTAATTTATTTATTGGTTTTAAATTATTGCCTGGATGTTTCCAGCTTTTTATGTATTGTACTGTTATTTGTTGGAAGCCGCCCTGAGGCTTATGCGAATGAGGCGGCATACAAGAATCCCAAATAAATGAATCTATCAATCTATATACCTTACAAGGAGGGCTGGGCAGCTCTGGAGCAAGGCGCTGCAGCTTACGTGCAAGGCCAAAACGGAGCTGAAGCAGCCGTTCTGCAAAGGAACAAGCAACCTTTGCCCAGGGCGAAGCGACAGCAGGCGGAAATGCTCGGTCAGACTGAGTCACGGGAGCTTGGCCAGACCCACAAAGGCCCATTCAGGCAGGCCAGGGCCCAGAGCACCTCCGGCTGCTTCAGACTCGCTGCTAACTTCTCCCCATGGTGGGTCTTCTGAGGAGCTCTGTTGCATGTCAGAACCCACCCCGTTGTCTTTCCCGCAGCTGTGCCACAACATAGTTGGAAGAACCCGAGTTCGGCTCATACGGAGGGAGGCCTACACTCACACATAAAGTTTAAATGCTAAAATTAAATGCTTAAATGCTTCCATATTTGCCCTCCCGCCCCTTGAGAGCAGCGGCAGGGGCCCTCCTCCAGGAACCTTCTGTGAAAGATATTTGGAGACTGAGTACTCGGAGCAGGGCCTGCTCTGCGGTGGCACCCTACCTGTGGAATGCGCTCCCCAGAGAGGTCCGCCTGGCGCCGTCGTTATTTGTTTTTCGGCGCCAAGCCAAGACCTTTTTATTCAAACAATATTTTAACGCCTTTTAATATTATTTATTGGTTTTAATTCTACAGCCAGGGTGAATCTGGATTTTATTTTTATGTGTACTATTTATATGTTTTATTTATTGTATGGAAGCCGTCCCGAGGCTTATGCGAATAGGACGGCATACAAAAACTCCAAATAAATAAATAAATAAATAGCCTTTGAAGGGCTTCTTTAGGAGAGAATGTAAGAAAGCTTGCAGTGCCAAACTCAGGAAGCTAAAGCTCGGAGCTGCAAAAGCCGCACTGCAGGTCGCACTGGAATCAGAAGCTTGCAAGGTCAGCCGCGGCCAAGTCCTTGGCTTCTCCACTGAGGCCACCTCTCCGCTTTGTGGGAAGGTCTTCTAATTCGTGCAGGGTCGGCATCAAGGATTCCTGGGGTAAGGGCACAACGCGTTTGGGATTCTCCGCGCAGGAGATACAGAAGCTGTTGGAACAGATCCTGTGGCCAGCAGGGCGACCAGCAGGAGCGTGACGGCAAATGCAGCCCCCGATCAGGTTGTCCACACCTGGGAGAGCCGCCCTCTGCTCTGCCACATGACTAGGTGTGAAGCTGAGTGCCGAGACCCCCGGGCAGGGGGAAAAGCAAGCGCTTCCTCAGGCAGCGCCAGCTATGAGAGTCGCCTTCCTAAACCGCAGTGCGTGGCTTTAAAGGGGGACTGGGTGAATTCAAAGAGGTGGGTATCAGTCGTTACTAGTCCTCATGGCTCTTGGCTACCTCCGGGATCAGAGGCAGTGTGCCTGTGCACACCCATTGCTGTGGAAGATGGGTGGGAGGGTGCTGAGGACCTCACATCGGGTTCATGGGTTTCCTGCAGGCAGTTGGTGGGCCACTGTGTGAGCACTGGGCCAGAAACCCTTGCTGTGAATCAGCAGAGCGCTTATGTCCGCATCATATACCACCTTTCTATTCAACCAATATTTTAGCAATGTTTAATATTTATAGGTTTTAATTGTGCAGCCAGGTGTGTTTCCAGGTTTTAAATGTATTTGTATTGTATTTATCTGTTTCTGCGAGCCGTCCCGAGGCTATATAGCAAGGGGACGGCATATAAACACTTTAAATAAATCAATACATCATAGTTCTAGGCAGTAGCTAAGATGGCCGCAGAGTCCCCGGTTTGTTCAAATCTGTCATCACCCCTCTGCTTGCAGTCCTTTCAAGCACAGCTTTCCTCAGGTGCAAACAACCTGGGTGTTGTCCATGCAAATGCTCGGAGATGAGCTCAGGGACCGGACTCGGGGCTCCCGATGCCACAGAAACAGCGCTGCCTTCCTAAAGCGGAGCACATGTTCTACAGTGGACCAAACTGAACAAGTGGAAAAGGAGCTTTCCCATGCGCCCTTCCAGCCACACCAAAGCAGCCTGAGGGCTTCACCCTTACAGGGCCAGCTCCGTTCCTGGCCTACGAACGAAGCCACGACAAACCCCCCTGACAAGCATTTGACCGCACAGGATGCTGGACTGTTTGGAGGGCTTAAAGACTCTCCGCTCAAGCTGCACGGAAATCTGGCAGACTGAGGAGTGGCTTGTCAGAGGCTTCCTCGCCAGAAAGACAAAGCACTACAAAGCGGGCATTGAGGACCGACTTACTTGGACATCGTTTCTGCCGAGAGGTCTTCGGGGTTCCTCACTTTTGTCTCGCCTGAAGAGAAAAGCAGAGCCAACTGCACAACGGTAGAATGTTAATCGGCGCTCAAGCCGACACCGAGGCTGCTCCGGGTAGCCCGGAATCGAGGGCGGCCTTTCCATCCCGCTCCCAAGCAAGACGCGGTCCAGTGACGGAAACCCTTGTCCAGCCCAGGGGCTGCACTCCAGAGCGGAGGAGCCAAAGGCAAGAAAGCAAGAATTTTATACTGTTATATGTGTTTGATATTGTTAATTTATGTATTTTAATTTATTTATTTGTAAGCCACCCCGAGGCTTCGGCGAATGGGGCGGCCTAGAAATTTTCTAAATAAATAAATAAGGGTGGGCCCCAAAGAGCAGCATGCTGGAGCTTAACGCTCTTACTCCCAGTCACTGGGGAACGGCATTCCCGCTTTTTAGCTGGCCCCAAACTGGGAAGTCACCAAAGAGGGGGTGGCTGGGGAAAAAGGGAATGTGGCCATTTGGCCTGCCCCAGGCTGGGAATGCAGGCTGAAGCTTCTGCACCCCTGCAGTAGAGACTTTCGCTATCAAAAGGCAGGATTCACAGCGGTACAGAGCCCTCCTCTACTTCCCCAGCTTGGTGCCTTTCCAGTGCGGTGACTGTTAACTCCCCTTATCCGCCTCCAGCATGGCGACTGCTGGGGAAGGGCTGCTGGGTAGGGTCCTCTCATCACTGTTTCAACCTTCCAGTTCAGAAAGACATTTGGCCGCCTGAACAGTGCCAGCAACGTGAATTACTGCTGTCCAGTTCTTGCCAGTTTAACATGCCCTTCTTTGATTGAATGCTGCACGCGTTTTAATGTACCGTTCTTCAGCTATCAGAAAAGTGGCACAATTGAAAAAATATTTGTGCAGTAAAATAATTTATGCATGTTTAGACAGAAAAATCTCCGGCATTCAGACTTGGTTTTCTGTCTAAAGACATAGAAGGTGGCATCCTTTACCATGCTAAGTGGGGTTAGATGCCTTGAGACTGCATCTTTTAACAGTGGCATACTCTCGAGGGAGAGCGCTGTGCTTTGTATTTCAGATCAGCATGGGTGGCGGGTGGGGGAACAAAGGTTTCTTGAATGGAAAAGACTTGGGTTTTATTCGGTGAAAAGCCTTTGCTTACCATGTCCTCTCAAATCCAGAGCCACGATTCTGCACTGAACCCGGCTGATGATCGCAGACTGCGAGAAGGGATAAAAACACACCATCAGCGAAGTCAAGTCACACACGCCCCTGGGAACGGGGAAGGAGCTGGCCTCTACAAGGGTTTTGGTCCTGTGAATCAGCTGAAAGGAGGTGCTGAAGAGGAAGTGGGGCACGAGAAAGATGAATGAAGTAAGGGAGCGAAAGAACTGGACCGGGACTGGGAGGAGGCCAGGTCTGTGGCGGTGGACCTCCGAAGTGTCTGCAGGGGGTGGGAGGCACAGGGAGGAATATCCCATGTTCCTCAAAGGGGAAAATAAGGCGGCAGGTGGGTTGCTTTCACCCATTTCAGAGGCCAGAAAATTTGACCTCTGCAACCTGCAATGGAGAATGTGCCCTGCAGCTTGTACTACTGGCCGACACGAGGCTCCTCCCTGCCCGCTTTTGAGATTTCGGCAGGTTTTGCATGGCCCCTTCACCAAGCTTTTCTTCACGCTCAACAGGGCAGGAAACTTTGCGGGAAGACATTAAGAGGAGGGTCTTTGGAAGTTATATTCCACAACCAAGAAATACCACATTCTGTATGAGATTTGGGGCTCTTTTGTACAACTGCAGAGACTTCGGGCTGCTTTACAGAACTCAGCCTTGAATCGACACACCAAGTCAAAAGGAGCTGCCAGCCAGAATAGGAGCAGCACAATATGGCAGGTTTCTGTAACCTGAGATCCCTTCAGGTCTGTTGGACTACAATCCCCATCACTCCAAGCAATACAGTCAACTTGTGGCCCTCCAGACGTTTTCACCTAGAACTTCCATCAGGCCTAGCCAGGGACTGTGGGAACTGTAGGCCAAACCATCTGGAAGGAGATGCCCACACTAAAGGCTGCAAAAGTTCACACACTCTTAAATTAGCATCTTGTTCTCAGTTGGGAAGAAAAAGAGAGGGAGCCCAGAACAGCTCCCATCCAGTTCTTCCTGGAAAAAAGGGGATTTTAGAATGCCAGTGCTGTTCTCTCTCATGTATACACACTCACTCACAATGAAGTGATTTTGAAAAGAAACAAGCTGCTGAAGATTAGACCATTTGTTCCCACCACCTAACAATATTTGCATAATCACGTTATTTTCAGCATGGCAGTGATCAAGTGGTATTTATGCTGGAAGGCAGCTTTAAAAATAGGTCTTTTGTTTCACGACAATCAGCTGGGTGGTTAAAAAAACAGTCGTTCTGGCAGTGCTGGGGAATACCAGTTGAAGGGTTCCAAAAGAAGCGATGGCCAAACAACCACCTACAGAGAATGGATGCTCTGACAGGCAAGGCTGCAGTGGCGGCAGCCATTACGATTCCAAACCTTTAAAGTGCTTGAGTACCGGCTAGTCGAAAAGAGCAGAAGACTAGGAATGGATCGTTGGAATCAGCGAGAGCCAGTGTGTGTGTCGTGGTTAAGAGCATGGGACTGGGACTCAGAGGATCCGGGTTCGAGTCCCCGCTCAGCCATGGAGCCAACTGGGTGACTTTGGGCCAGTCCGACTCTCAGCCCAACCTTCCTCACAGGGTTGTTGTTGTGCGGATAAGATGGAGGAGGAGAAGGATGTAAGCTGCCTTGAGCCCTTTGAGGAAAAAGGCAGGATATAAATCGAAAAATATAAATAAATAAATAAAAATCAGCACAAGAAACGCACAGGGCAGTCCTGTGAGGGTCTAGCCCAAAGGCTGTCCCGTTAAATTCGGTGGGGTGTATTCCTGCATCAGAGGGGACAGGACTGCAGCCTTTGCAAAGAGGAATGGGCCTGCCGGATCAGACGCAAAGGCCATCCCACCGTGCGGCTTCCAGCAACGTTCAACTGGTTGCTTTCTGGGCAGCTCACGAGAGCGGCATGTGAGACCAGCCGGGGCCTTTAATGCGTACACCGTGGATGGGGTGAGCATACATACCGGGTTGCTACTTTTAATCAGACCATTCGGCTCAGTCTGGGGCCTGCCAGGTGTGATGGACTACAACTCCCATCATCCCCACTAGGGACAAGGCTGAGCTATGATGTTTGTTACAGGCGGCAGCTCTCTCAGTTCTTTCCCAGCCCTGACACCAGACATCCTTCAAACCCATGGGTGGGAAGCTTCTAGAGATGCCCGGCAGCTCTCTCAGTTCTTTCCCAGCCCTGACACCAGACATCCTTCAAACCCATGGGTGGGAAGCTTCTAGAGATGCCCGGGAGGCTTTCTGCACTCCACCCAATGAACGAAAGTCGGTCAGTCTATGATAACATCTTGGTAATGAAAATGCGCTGCTTTGCTACCGAATTTGCCGGCAGCCCGCTCCAGACTGCTCTAATGGGCAACTGTCGCTTGTGGCTCCTTTTTTAATTTTTAAAATGTATTTCATGATTCATCGCTAGGGTTCAGCAGGGACCAAGCGACATATTTTTTGGCAGCAATCGAGTCAAATTTGGAGCTCATTCCCGAGAGGTTTTCCAGCTGTAATTAGCTTCTATCACCAAGACAGGATGCGGCGTTACAACACGGGAAAAGTGCTTGCAATTCTGTCCTCTTGGTAAAAGCTCAAGCCCAACCCGGTTATCTTCTCCCCACCCACTGGGACCAGTCATCTCACCTTGGCCCTCTTCCCGAATATCCAGCACTCGGCTGCCAGAACCGTCTATACCTTCTGCTGCTCTGACCACACAACTCCCTTCTTTAAACCCTTCTCTGACTTCCTGGGTGCTCCTAGACCACGCTCGGCCTCCGTCTCCAAAGCCTTCCAAGGACCCATCGCACACTCACCTGCCCCTCTCTGCGGCATCCCTGCTTGGGCTTTCTGCCACTCCGGTTCCTCCACCACGCAAAGGACGGCAGCCCTTCCTACCTCACTGCCATGTCTGCTTGGACGAGTGCCTCACACCACTTATGGCACCCTGGTTTTCTCAGATCCATCCAGTCCCTCTTTATTTTTTATTTATTTTCTGATTTATATCCTGCCTTTTTCCTACAAAGGGCTCAAGGCAGCTTACATCATTCCCCTCCTCCATCTTATCCCCACAACAACAACCCTGTGAGGTAGGTTGGGCTGAGAGTCTGTGACTGGCCCAAAATCCCTGCTGTGATTTGGCCGCATGCAAAGCCCAGGCACATATAGCTGCAGATGTACCCCGCTGTGCCTGCGCACCCCTCTTCACCCCTTTCTTGTGTATCAAATTTTGGAGTATAAGCCCCTCGGGTCGGGGTCTGTTCTCTTGCATTCTGCAAAACACTATGTGCATTAATGGTGATATACTATGGAATGGCCTGCCAGGAGAGATTAATCAGTTACTCCGGACTACTTCCTTTAACGGGGAGTTCGATGTGTCTCTTCTGGGAACTACTCTGGGAAGGCCTGTCAGATCAGTTTAATGTAATTTGCATTTAGCTGAACTTTTAACTATTCTTAGTTTTGATCTCCTGGAAACTGCCCAGAGCCTATGGGCATAAAAATCAAAATAAAGTGAAATAAAAATATATTCTAGGTGACAAAACACCTGGCTGCACATTGGTTCATGGGGAGTTTTGGAGCCCCCCCCCCCCCAGGTCCCCAGCCTCTGTGGTCTGGTCCATGTTCAGCAGGCTTGGAGGGGTAGAATTGTACTGGGAAGGTTGGCATATACTCCATTTTCCAGGAGAATGGTTAGGATCGGAACATTGCTGGGCTGGGATGGGGCTGCAAGAGGAGGAGGGGTGTGGTCCTCGGAAGGGGGTCTGGGATTCCCAGGGGGCCCCCAAGCCTCCATAACTGCACACGCTTCCTCTACATAAACGGAAGCATCCACGACAACAGAAAAATGTGCTACCAGGAGCTTACGTACCGTAAATACGGCCCAGGAGAGAGCAGAATGGCCTCCGCCATGCAGGAGGAGGAGGACGGGGCCCTCCGATCCACTCTTGTAAATTCGAAAAGTGTATGAACAGTTAAGGACACGACAACCTTTGCCAGAGAAACTGCTTTGAGTTCAGCTGCAAATCACGCTTGCGCAAAAGGGATCCCGTCCTCTTGCACAACAGCAGGTGCTCCAGAGCTTCCAGGACGACATTTCCCCAACCAGCCCTCTCCTCGCCATCTCCCACATTCACTTTTTTAAAAATGCACACCCCACCTCCTCCTCAAAAAAGAAACCAAAGCTGGTAACAAGAAGCCATTAAGAACAGATTTGAAACCCAAGGCAGGCATGATCCAGCTTAAAAACACAAGGAGCGATGTATCAATAAAGCCACAAATTGGTGCAGGGGAGAGAGAAAGAGTCACCCAGCACATCCAACAACCTGGTGGAGTAGAAAGACCTGCGTCATCAGTGGAAGGCCTGCCGACCGAGTGTCAGCTGGAGAAAGAATGACCAGCCCTGGGAGAGGCTGGCGGCCGCTTCCCCACCAAGCCCCCCGCCGCCACGAGGACGGCCTCCCCTGCAAAACATGACGCAAGGCGAGCTGTGTCAGAAGGGGCAGCCCTTACGACCGGCCTTTTTCAGCACAGCCAATGCCGCGTGCCTTTCTTTCCTCTATTAGCATCACTAGAGAAATAACTTTCCCAAGGATGTGCCAGCCAAGTCTGTACCTCAAAAAAACAAGGAGGTACAGACATTTCTAGCCTGAACGCAGGCCACTCCCTAAGGATCAGAGTGGCAGGCCCAGAAAGTTTCATTTTCTTACAACACCCTTAGCAAAGTACCGCCAGCTGGGAGGACAACGGTGCAACAGAGAGTACATTGGCTTGAGACAGTCAGAAATGCAGCCCTACAAATTCACTGTATTATGAGCGCATGGCAGGAATAAGCAAGCAGAGGCCGAAGAGAGGATATATCTTTGCCGGAGTCGCTCTCGACCACCACGTCCTCCATAGATTCAAAGTACTGGCTCCACGGGACTGGGGAATAGTCACGCTTCCTCCCGGGCCTGGAAAACAAGAGTTGATGCTCAGATGGTATCTCGGACTTGGTACAAAAATAGAAAAACCCTTTGCTCTACTCCGGAGAGCTCCTTACACGCAGAATAGCAGTGCCTGCCAGGGACAAAAAAAGGAAGAAAGTTGGGAGCGCTGCTCCCATTTCGGGTGGTACACATTTAGCACATTCACCACGGAGAACAGCAGAATCCTTCGCGGTCTGATTTTTGACATCCGAAAACAAGCGACAGCAGGGATGGGGGGGGGGGGTTGCACCTGGGAACGCTTTCCATATGGATTCTCCTGGACAACTGAGCCAACCTTGACTTAACATGGATCTTTCTTCTCTGCCGATTTTAAACCGCTGCTGGTTTTTCAGGCGCACCGTTTGCCGCAGGCAACACGCGAATGCTTTGTTCTTGCACTGCCGGTTCCGGGGGGACCAGTGGGGCGAAAGCGACAGTCCTGTGGCAAGGGACTTATTGCGGCAGCACCTTCCATGGGGCAGAGCCTTCTTTGTCACAGACACGCAAGCTGAGCCCTCCCCAGATCTCTTCCTCTTTTCATCACCACCAAGGCTGTTGCTTTGCTATTCACTGGTTCGCGCAAACCTTGTACGAATGTCATTGAGAAGACGCAGGCGACTCACGGAAGAAACGCCTGCGGCCATATTTGCCCTCCCGCCCCTTCAGATCGGCAGCAGAGGCCCTCCTCCGGGGGCCCTCCGGGAGAGACATCAGGAAGCAAAGTACCCGGAGGAGGGCCTTCTCTGTGGTGGCGCCCCATCTGTGGAATGCGCTCCCCAGAGAGGTCCGCCTGGCGCCGTCATTACTTGTTTCTCGGCGCCAGGCCAAGACCTTTTTATTTAAACAGTATTTTAATAATCTTTAATATTTATAGTTTTAATTATGCAGCCAGTGTGTTTCCAAGTTTTAATTGAAATTGTAATTTTATTTGTTTTATTTATTTGTGTTGTGAGCCGTCCCGAGGCTGTGTAGCAATGGGGACAGCATACAAAAACTTTAAATAAATAAATAAATAAGAGGCGCACTGCTACACATGAAATGGCCCATAAAGCTCAGCACTGCTCCAACTGCCTGTTTCTCCTAAAAACCAGTACTTAAAATGATATTATAAAACCATTTCTGTTTGATTTATCATCTGGTCTATTCCCAGAGCCTCAGGGTCATGATGGCATTAATTACCTTCCACAAACAACATCTCTGCTTTCTAAATGCTTTCTACGAGGATTATCTTTATTTAGGCGTGCCACTGAGCACTTGCCTAATTCTCTGCAAGAAACACAGGCAGTGCAAAAAATTCAGAGTGGGAGATAAAATGCCAAAAATGCCTTGCCAGATGTCCTTGGTGTCCTCGGGCGGCATGAACGGTATATGCGCCCAAGGTGGCCTCTCCCAAGCTGGTACCACTGGATGCCCATCAGCCAACCAGCCAACTGAAATTATTGCCTTTCTCCCCAGCTGTTCTACTAATAACTTGCTTTGTCCGAAATGTTAACCTCAAGTACTTGGAGTCAAGGCGTGAGCAAGACACCATATTCTAACAATTCATCTTTCTTAAGAAGAATAAAGAGCTTAAGTTTTATACGAATAAGAACAGGAGTATCCACATATAACATCGCAGCGATCCTCGGGAGTGAGGCAGTGGAACAAGGGCCTGCTCCTCTTTATCAGCAGGGATCCAGAGGTCATCTACCATCACCACCCCAGACTTCCCTCTGAGCACAGCTGCACAGAGATGCATTTTCCCAGCGACAACGTGGTCCTTGCTGTCATGCAGAGTGTGGCAGGGAGCAGATTAATTAAGATCCAGCAGATGAAAACTCCTAGAACAGGTGATTAATATGGATCGGCAGGCAACCTGCGAGCTTGGTTTCTCCTTGCAGGTGCAGTTATGGGGACTGACGTGATGAGCACCTTGCACTTCAGAATAGATCACTATACCTCAGACCCTGGAAATACCCAGTTTTGATCCTTATATTGCAGATAAACAGCGGATGGCAAAAGAGAGCAGGCTGCCTAAGCCATGGACAAAATTTATGACCAGATGACATTTGAACCGGCAGCCACACAAACCACTGGCTATTTTCTTTGCACCTCCAGCTCTTGACCACCCCAGTTAGCTACCTGTCCTTGCTACTCTTCCACAACACACCCACATGACCCCAATCAACTTCCTGGCACTGTTCCGGGTTACATCCAGCCTCAGCCTAACTTGAGCCCAATCGCTTCCACGGGTCTAAGTGGGTGGATACGAGCCACTGTGGCCGCTGATCGGAGGCAGCCTTGCAGGACTCCACTCAGCCTGCAGACCCTGCTGCAACCAGAGCGAAAGGTGACAGAGGCAGCAATGGCTCTCGTTTCTGGAAAGCCAAAAAGCAGCGCAACGCCAGTTTCAGGGCAGTGCCGCACACCGACAGACAAGCGCTTCAGTTAGAGCATTTGCCCTAGAAAGGGCCTTTCACACACAACCGGCTTGGAAGGTGAGAAAAATACCAATGGGGGCCAAACTGAAGCCCTGCAGGCGTCCTGAGCTGAACCCAAGGAAGCCTAATGCCAAGCGGGAGCCGAGTGGCCGGATTTCACTAGCCCAATGGTGGGGGACTGGTAGCCCTCCAGCGCTGGACCCCAGCTGAGGCTTTGCAAGATGAACTTCAAGGGTGTCTGGAGGCTGCCCACTCCACACCAGGCACATGACTCAAAGAGAGCCCCTCTCCCAGCCAGGGGAGTGCCCAGCATATGGGGGGGGGGCTTGGAATGATGGCTGTCGGAATCCAACACAGGCTGAGAGAAGGCTGTAAGATCACGAAGAAACCTCGCAACGCCCCATCTTCTCACAGCCAGGTATTCTTGGCTGAAACAACGCTGACCACAAACCAAGCTAATCCGCCCCCCTCCACACACACACACAGGTGTGCACACAGAATCAACTAAACCTGCAGCACACAAACAACACTTCTGCCCTGCAGCCAGGGGCCGCAAGGATTAGTGCTGAGTGTAACCCCCCCTTGAAGAAACTCCTTGCCCCGCTGGACAGGGACTACATGGGAAGCTGGACTACCGGCCCAGCTTCAGCCCTCCCCAGTGTGGTGCCCTCCAGATCTGTTGGACTACAACACCCTTCATCCCCAGGCACCATGGGTGCTGTAGGGCTTGACAGACGCTAGCCGAGCTCTAGGGTGGGAAAGCCTCCTGGCCCTGCTCTTAGCAGGAGGCGTTCAGGGACCCAAGAGGGGCACTTCTGCATGTGGAAACGTGGTGCGGCCCCCCTCCTTCCCCCCACCCTCGGCGTCACATCTCCCGGTGCCGCATGTCTCCGCCGGGGCACCTGCTCGGGCAGATCGCGGGCAAGGCAGGTGCTGCGCTGCTCTCCTCGTAACCCTCCAGACGCCCGCCTCCTTGCCTCTTCCACCAGGTGCGCCCCACAGCGCCAACCCCTTCTTTGCTTCTTCCAAGCAGCCTGGACCATCCGTTCCAACATTCCTCCCATCCGCTCTTACGCTGACCGACCTCCCACTGCCTAGGAGAGCCCCTCCAGCGGTAGGCGCAGCCCACCCTCACCCCGTGCCCTTTGGCCCGGCAAATCTCACAGCCGCCCCTGCTGCACCGCAGGGCTCTGTGTATGTGCACCCCCTCCTCACCGTATACACTAAGCATTCGTATATCATACCTAATCCAGGAAGAAATTCTTCGGGGTTCTCCCTCACACCTTCTCCTGACAGATCCTGTTCTTCACCCACCATGACCTCGCTAGAGCGCTCCCCTGGGTCAAATCTTCCGAGGTAAGAATGGGAACACGGGTCCCTTGAGCAGAGCGAAGCCTCAGCCTGAACTCCCTCCGGGGGCACTTTCGGTAAGGCTCTCTCTGTGCAAGAGGGAGCAGCGGCAGCATCTATAGAGGGCTTTGCCACAGTCAAAGCCAAACACATCAGCTCACAAGCCATCAAAGGGGCAGTTTGGGGCTTTTTGGTGGAGGGAGTACCTGCCCAGCTGAGACATCAGCTGAGCTGTGATAACCAAAACTAGTTGTTTAGGAAGGCCCCTGGCTGGAAAAAACCTCTCTCAACAATGACTAAGTCGAGTGGTTTGCTTTTCACTTGCCTTACTCTGCCAGGATTTTACAAGTTGCTGGTTTCATTTATGGTACATGGTTTTTAGAGCACTCTTAGATCATTTAAAGCAGTTTGTAAATTGGGTCTTAGCACACACGTCATTGCTTATGAGAGACTTTTTGGGGAAGAAAATGGGAAGGGAGTTCTATGTACTTCTAAAAATGAAAAAAAAACAAAACCCTATATAATCATCCCATTTTTTTTCCGTATCAGCACGGCCACCTGCAGTACAAGAATACAGGACTGACCTACCTTGCAGGATTGCTGTACCCATTGAATGGAACCTTCCCCAACTCAACACCCCCCAGATGAGCTGGATTACAACGCACACCATCTCTCTGCCACCCATGTGGTCGACCCATCTGGGAGTGGCATCGCTTCCAACAGGATCATCTTTTGCCTGCACTCCCTCCCGCATAAACGCAGACACTGGGACACAGCCTACTCCCACTCTTTTTTGGGAATCTCCCCCTACGTAGTACAAGCCCCCCCAACCACAATAACCAAGGCGGCCTCCAGGGACCCTCCCAAGATAGAGACCCCCAAAAGAAAAAAAAATACGGGCCCCACTCCATCCCACACGGGTTAATTTTTCCTCATTATGGCTTTGGAAGGGCCCCCAGAGGGACCTCGAGCGAGCCCCCATTCTCTTGCACAGGGGGCAACCTGACCCCATGCATGCCAGCCTCCCGCCAGCCCCATTCTCCTCCCAAGCACTCCCCACACGGAGACCCCTTCGTGGGAGAGCCGATGACGTCACACGGAGGCACACCATCCCGCCGCGTGACGTCATCCCCTCCGAGTGACGTCACCCTCCCATCCCCACACCTTTCCTACCCCATGCGCATCTTGGGCGGGGCCTGGCCGCTGCCCCCCGCGGGGCCCGGGGGGCGAGGCGGCAGGCGGCCGAGCTGCAGCTGCTTCTCCAGGGCGGACATGGCGAGGGGAACGCGGCTGGGTCCGAGGCGGCGAGGAAGGGGCGGGCCGCGGCCGAGCCCCGCCCGCCCGCCTGCCCGCCTGCCTGCCTGCCTCGCACGAGCCGCCGGCCTGCTGCTCCCGGCGGCCCCTGCGCGCGCCGGCGAAGGCTCCGCCCCCGCCCCGCGGCCCTATGGGAACGGGAGTTCTTCCCAGGCACGAGAGAGTCCGGGAAAGGCTTTGAACGAACGGGGCGGCGCGGCGGCGCTTTTTACGTCACCGGGAAACGGCCCCCAGAGCATCATGGGTACTGGAGTCCTTCTTCGGAAGGGAAGTCCCTAGGAAAGGCCTCCATCGTGCGGGGGTTGGACGCTTTGCTTCGACGGAGTAGGAAGGGATCGAAAAGCACCATGGGAACTGGAGTCCTCCTCCACGCAAGGGGGTTTCCACTCCCAGTGCGAATGCGAAGTCTTTAGCTCCGTGGACATAGGAAAAGTGTAGCGTTACGCTACGCAATTCCAAACCTGGTATTTCGCCCCACCGAAGTAGGGGACCACAACTCTGCAGGACGATGGGAGTTGTAGTCTCGCACATCTGAAGGGTTCCAGGTGTGGGGAGGCTGCACCAATCCCCACTCTCGGGTGTGCCGGTGGGCTCTGAAACAGCCGGGAAGCCCCGCACGGTTGGCTGCCTGCCGGCCAGGGGTACCCGCGGGATGCGTTCCGCGGAGCGCTGTCCGGGCGGAGAAAGAGGCTGCGGGGTTCGCTACTCTTGAGTCGAGCGGATCCGAATTCAGTGCAGCTTTCCCTGCTCGGGAACCTCGGAGACATCAGTTCCCATCCGCCCCGGCACGCAGGACTCATGGCCAGGAATGCTGGGAGCTGTAGTCTAGGACCCCCGGCGGCACGCTCCGACCTGGGAAAGGCTCGGCGAGGACACGGGTTGCGTGGAGAAGGTCCTTGGGCCAACCCGCCCACGCAGCCGGAGAGCCGCGGCCGCCGCACGGGGCGAGGCGGGCCCACGACCCAACCGCGCTCCACACTGCGGTGCCGTCCCAAACTACACGCTCCGATCCTGCCCATCGCGCTGCCTCCGATCCGCCTGACTACAGCTCCCATCATTCCCAGTCGCCACCGCCTACGCAAGAGGAGCGACCCTGCGGGACGCTGCCAACGTTCGCACGGTGGTGTCTCCCCGCGCGGACCCGCGAGCAGCCTCAGCAACTCCTCCTCCTCGGCGGGGCGGGGGCTTCTCCATCATCCCCTTTGACGAGGATGATGGAGTGTCTTAGTGTCTTGGCCAACTAACAAGAGATGGGGTGAGGATGACAACACGTCAAAGCAACCCGGAAATCTCATATCCTCCTAAGAGCTGCCCCTCTTCACTTTTAAGATCGCCGAGCTTTCCACCTCATGTATAGAGGGTGCTACCATAGAGGTGCAGAAGGTCAGAGTGGCTTTCTACGCTGCGTCCCCCATGACGCTCCGCTTCTTCTCCGGCAGTTCCGCCTTCCCCTTCCGGTGTTTCCATGGCGCTGCCAGAGGCTCGCGGCGCCTTCTGGGATCCGCAGTTCGAAGTGGCCGGACTTTTCTGCCGTGTTTGCCGCCGTTTTCCCAGAAGGCCCTGCGGGGCGGCCGTTGCTAAGCAGCGGGAAGCGCCGCTGGGGTCGCGGTGGGCCGCGGTGCAAGGATGAAGCAGAAGAAGCCCAAGGGCGGCCCGGCCCGGCCCGGCCCCAGCCGAAGACGGAGGGGTGAGCAACGGCGGGACGCCGCGAAGTCGCCGGGCGCTGCGCGGGATCGTCCCGTCTCCAACTGCCGCGGGAGGGAGGGAGGATCGGGGCCGGGAGGCCGAGCGTTGCTGGGCGGGGGTCGAGCAGCGCCTGTAGCCCGAAAGTGGAGCGAGAAGGCAAGGCCCCCTCAGGCTTTGGCGATGGATTGATAGACGGTGGGATGAGGGTTGGGGCGGCTATAATTTTAAGAATCATATTTGGCTGGTTTTAATGCTTCAGTCGTATTTATTTATTATGCTTATTTGAATTCCGCCCGTTCCCACTACTGGGACTCAAGGTGCCTACCTACCTTAAAAGTTTATGAACTTAAAGCATAAGTGGAAATATGATTGAAATATAGTTAAGTCAGCTGAAGGATTGAAGTGATAAAAGTCCCAAAATTAGAACAACAATTATTTATTAAATTTCTAGCTTAACCAATAGCCAATATTTCTCCAGACAACTTAAAGAACTATAAAATGATAACATACACAATAAGACCATAGCACATTGAGTGCAAAAGCAAAACAGACAGCAGAACTGGGGATATTTAATGATGTAATGGACTTATTAGTGTTATCCTTAAGAATATAGAGGAGACCCACAGGATCCAAGCGGGGATCCATCCAATCCTGCATTCTCTTCCCACAATTCCTCAGTTGAAATCCACAAACAGAATGGGATGCACACAGTTCCCACCTGCCCATGCTCCCCAGCAGCTGGTGTTCATAGGGATGCTGCCTCTGACACTGGCGGTGGCACAGAGCCATCAGGACTAGGAGCTTATTATCAGTGTTCAAAAGTATTAGAAGAACTATGCTGGATCAGACCAAGGGTTCATCCAGTCCAGCCTTCTGTTTGCATGGCCAACCAGCTGCCCTCAGGAAACCCGCAAGAAGGGATTGAGTGAAACAGCTCCTTCTTACCCATGTTCCCCTGCAACTGGTATCTCTGATAGTAGGGGTAGCTCTTGGCCATCAGGGCCAGTAACCTGTTTCTCCATGAATTTGCCCATTCTCCACATAGAACCTTCTAAATGAGTGCCCGTCACTGCATCTCATGGAAGTGAATTCACCATTTAACAGTGATCTGTGTGAAGATTGCTACCTAATGTTTTCATCCATACATATGAATCTGAATGTAATGTAAATGAGTGTGTTCTTCATCTCCTTTCCTTTGAGCTTAGGAAGAATTTTTGGACCAGAGTGAGACCAGGGTCCACCTCATCCGGCGTTCTGTTCACACAGTGGCTGGTCATAGCTGCCCACAAGAAATGCTATTGGGGCATGGGTGCAATAGCCCATGATCCCCACCCACTGGTGTACATAGGCACATACATATGCCTCTGATCCTGGAGGTAGAGCAAAGCAGTCCCACTCGTAGCCATTGAGGGCTTTCTCCTCTGTGAATTTGTCCGATCCCTTTTTAAAGCTGCTCCAATTGGTGGCCCCCAGTGCATCTCATATAAGCACATGCCATAGTTTAACTCTGTGAAGTTGAACCCTTTCGGTCCTGAACCTCTTACCCATGGGATAGTCTCTTTGGGTTCTTGGGGGAGAGGGAGAAAATTATTACCCAGAATACATTTTGGCCACCCTGCCGTGCTCGCATAATGGGTGTCTGGTGCTATGTGAGGCTGTAGCCTTGCCCAGGCAGGTCCTCTGGGAGGTTTGGGCTTCAGCTCCACGTAGCCCACCTGGGTGGGGAAGGCTGCGGGGTCGAATCGAGCCATTCGCTGCATTCTTCTCCAGCTCTGCTGTGTGCAGTGCAGTGCAGGTCCCCGCACTTTGCAAATGGCTTAAAAAGGTACAGAAATCGATCAGGAGGCGGGACCAACTCTAGGGAAAAGGTTCTGAGATTGGGGGCTTTGGGCAAAAGGCAGATAAGGGGGATATAATCGACAAAGGCTTCCCCAAACACTGCAGCTGTTGGACTGCAACCACTCCCGAGTCTCTCGGCTAAGTGGAGGGTGACTTGTTGGGGAAAGCCTGGTATGGAGAAGTGTGAGCAGAAGATAGGAGATCTTCACAGCAAGGAAGACTTTCACACACTCATGCACCGCAAAGTTAAACGATGGGATTCACTTCCACAGGAGGTCATGAGGGCCATGATTGGGGTGGCTTTAAAAGGGAATTAGGCACCTTCATGGAGGAGAAGGTCATCAGCTGCCCTTGGTCATGGAGGCCCTCCAATATCAGAGGCGTGTGTGTGTGCGCATTAGGTGCTGGGAGAACACAACTGGGAGGGCACTACTGCACTCATGTTTTGCTTGTGGGTTTCCCGCAGGAAGCGGGATGCCCCTGGAATCAGAACCCTGGGCTAGATGGAGTCCAGGTCTGATCCAGCACGGCTGCCCTTCTGTTCTCCTTTTGCCTCATGTTTTTCCTACATGTTGGGCTTTTGGGCAAGGGGACGACTGAGGTGTCTTTCATAAACAAGGCACCATTGTCCTATTTCCCTTGCACTGCAAAGAAGAAAACCCTCTTCAAAAAGAAGAAGAAAGGTGGGAAGGTAACTTCGAATAGCTGTGATCCCGCACAGGCTCAGTGCAGCACATGGTTGTGAATCGCCAGATTTACTCCTGCATTTGTGCTTTCCTTTGCTTACTAATAACACACAGCGGATAGGTGGTTCTTCTAGGATGCTTAAGTGCTCCTTCTGTATCCTCTCTTTGTATCTGCTCTTTACAATGGCCCGTTAAGGTAAGTTGGAGTTATTTCCCATGGGTGTTGGCAGCACGATCCTAGGCATATTTATTCAGACATAAGTCCCACTGTGTCAAATAAATAGGGATTGATTCCAGTGCTTAAGAATCACAGCCTGAGGCTGAGCGGAAGTGGCCTTCTGAGGTCACCCTGATGACATGGTACGTGAGGCAGGATTGGGCGCGGTGGGTGGTCGCCCTTATTTGCTTCAGAGTGGCTGGTCAGGGTATCTGAACCCAGCATGGTTTCTTCAGGGTAGTTTGTTAACACTGAACAGTCCACCCTGAGAGTTCCTGTCTTTCAGTTCTTTTGTATTTTACTATGATTGTATTGTCCCAGTTTTTAGCCTGCATTATAAATCATCACGATGACTCCTGTGACCAAAAGGCAAGATACAAATAAATGAATTACCTGGGTCAGCCAGATAGCATATAATTTTACTGTATATTATTATTATAGAATTACTATAAGTGATTAAATGTTCTAAATAAATGAATTACCTGGGTCAGCCAGATTGTGATGCTTCCCTCTACCCCTTCTGCACAGGTCTCAGTGATATCTCTCCTTCTACAAGCTTGCCACCTCTCGTAGAAGGTCAGCTGCGCTGCTTTCTGAAGATGACTGTTAACAAAATCTTGTGGACGATAGCCAAGCCACCTGCTTCCGTCCTCATCCGAGTCAGGTGGTGGGGAGAAACCTCAGATGGCACAGTCTTTGTTCCACGGGATACCTCGCAGGCTGAGCAAAAAGCACTTAAAACCACTACTCGCTACCCAATCCGGTGTGGACCAAAACAGTTTGCCTCCTACCTGACAGGTATAGTTGGGTCTTTGATGTTTAAGTATGTGGTTTGTTGGTTTATAGTTAGGCTACACATGGATGGAACAAAACCACCAGGACTGCATGCCCCCTGGGGACTGTGACCAGCGCAATTTGCTTGGGGGCACAAGGCTCAGGGGAGCTGCTGGATACCAGTGCAGCGTACGCTGAGCTGGAGTGGCTCTGGGCAGCCTTTTCCCCAGCCCTCTTGCTTGAGAATCGGGAACCTTTTGCAGGAAATATGCCTGCTTTGCCCCTCAGGTCTGGCCCCTTTCCCTAAGCTTTGGTCAGGCGGCTTTTAGAATGAGGCATGACAAACAGCGGAATCATTTCTGCATTGCATGCAGATTTTAAATTTCCGCAGTGGGTGTTTTATGGGAGTCCCTGTGTTTCTAGCTCGTAGCCTGTCAGTTTGATAGGCACCACTGAGGGATCGTTTTGTGTGGTGGGGGATGGCGTGTTTTCCCACTGTCCTTTTCCCAGCAGCGGCATCCTTGATTATATTGCATATGCACCCGCCCCTTTTTCCACCTGTGACGACCCAAGTCGTCTTGCATAGGTGAGCCCGGCTGAGAGTGAGTGGCTGGCCCCAAGTCACGCGCCGCAGCCAAGTGGACTAGAACTCGAAGCTCCCGAGTCCCCCGTCCAGCCCTCTCACCTCCACACAGGACTCCAGTTGCTTCCGTTGCCTCTTGCTCCAGGCCCAGCATGACCCACCCTGAGGCGAATGTCAAGCATGTCACAAAGATGGGAGTGAAGGACCAGCTTTTGCTGATGGGGGGCTTGAATGGCTCAGCCGCCATTCCCCCCCCCTTCATTTTATTTATTTATTTATTTATTTATTTATTTATTTATTTATTTATTAAAACACTTCTATGCCGCCCCATTCACTGAAGCCTCGGGGCAGCTCGCAACATAAAATTAAAATGCAAGAAATAACAATATAAAATATTTTTGGGGTAAAAGCACGTGCATCCTATTGATTTGTTCTTCATCAGCCTAATCAAGTTGGCCGTTCTGTCGTCGCTTGCCTTCTTAGATATGGGCACCCTTATCCTGGAAGTCATGACCAAGTCTGATCACCTTCCAATTGGGCGGACTCAACTCAGTGGGCTGGCCCAGCTCTCTCCAAGCCACCCGCTCAGCGGATTTTTCACCATTGTTTCGCCCACATCAGAAAAGATGGGAGAGCTGCAGGTTAGCGCTGAAAGCCTTTTCCTGCTACTTGTTGGTGCCTGCAGCCCTGCCTGTGCGTCAAGGTGGCCCTGGGGCTGGGGTCACCCCAGCAGTGCGCGGAGTGCCCAAGATTCACAGCTGGGGGTGACCCTAGTTTGCAGGGGCTTAGCCTGCCCAAGGTGAGGACTGGGGAGCAGGCCAACCATGGCTGCCTTGGAGAGCAGCGTGCAAACCTGTTAGGCAGCAAAGAGGGTGAAGGGAGCAGCTTGTGGCAGCCACACGTGTGGTAGCTGTAGGGGGCGGGGGACATGTGAAAGCAGCCAGGGACAAGGGAGTGGTTGGCCGTCCCTTGGAGCCTTCGGGAGGCAGAAGGCGGTGGAGCGGGGACGTGACAGGCCGATAGAGTTTTCAGGAGTGATGAGAAGGCCTTTTCTACTCCCAAACATATTGTCGGGAGAGCAGTTTACTCCATAATCTAGTTAACTTGAACTTGCCAGCTTCTGGTTTTAGGTTTAGCCAGTTTAGCTGACATTCATTGTTCAGTGGCCTAATTAATAGGAATGAGTTGGCTCCCGTTTACCCCTACCGAGTATTTGCAGCTTTGATCCCATCATTTTCATTTTTGCCTTGGAGCCTCTCTTTTTCTTTTGAATAAAATGTTCCCTTCAGCCCAGCGAAAGCATATTAATGAAATCTGTTGACTCTTAGAAAGATTCCCTCCAGATCATCTTGGGAAAGGCCGTGGCCTTACTTCGAGGATCAGTCTTAGTAAACTTTCAGCCACGGGCAGAGATGTGTTTTTGCTGATGGTTGTCAAAACGATGGCAGTCGGGTGTTTGCTGGTAATTTCCAGAACGGGAATTGCAACATCGTTTATTTTATAAGATGTTGTATGCTATATTTACCCAGTGGCTTTGAATGTCAGCATATCCCCAGAGCAAATCTCACCTGTGCATTGAACTCACCAGGGGACCTTAAGAGAAGTGCTGTCTCTCAGCCTCTCCCCTCTACAATATGGGGATAAAAGTACCGGCCTGCATTACATAGTTTTTGTAAGGTTTACTGAGGGAGCACTTTCAAGGGAACTAAACATTCTGATTAAACACCAAGAGCTAAATATTATTAAAACTTTTTCACATATTCCGCTTAAGGTCTCACTGGTTCTGGAACCTCTGTCTGAAACCTTTGGCAGCAGTAACTCCATCCCAAATGCAGACGTGAGCTTCAGTGCTGGTTTGTCTGCCCAGGGAGCCAAAGAAGTAGCTAAATCTGGCCAGCACATTGCCCCGTCACCACTTCACCAGCCGCCTGGCACGAGCGTCATTGGAGGAGAGTCCTGGAATGGTAGCAGGGCCTCCACACCAAGGTGATGGTTTCTTTTCCATTCAATCTCCAGTTGCATTTTAGTCGATTTTGCTGCCTTCAAAATGTTCAGAAATAACATCTGTGGAGCATGTTATGCCAGGGGCAGGCAGGTTGCTTTCACTGGTGGGAGTGGGGAGGTACTGTGGGGTATTTTCAGTTGTCCTCATTTGGAGGAGAGGGATAAATTCCCCTCTCTTTCCCATCTTAAGCTTAAAGGAACTCAGCCAATTTTCTTTGAGCCTTTTTACATGCTGCAGGGACCCCATAAAGAACTATAGACAAGAAATGAGCCGCCCCAAGGCTTCGGCGAATGGGGCGGCATAGAAATTTCCTAAATAAATAAATAAAAATCTATGGCTATTGTGGTTTCCAGATCCTCTCAACAGACGAGGGTCAGGCCTGAAAGGGTCCAGGAAGGCTGCCTGCTCAACTGTGATAGTGTTGTCGTTACCGTCAAGGGGCCAGCAGAATTGAGCTCTCGTGTGTCTGGGCTGAACAGGAATAGTAGGCAATGTCTCAGAAGAGACATTGTCTCAGAGCAGAGGTCAGACTAGATGGCTCGGGAGGCCCCTTCTGACTCGCGCTGTTTCTGTGTTTCTATGTTCTTGGGCTACAGCTTGATGGCTGTCTGGTGCCGAACACACAATTAGCCCATCTGGCCCAGAAAATTGGCCCACATCTATCATACATGGGGACACTGCTTGCTTTCCTTGAGGGTCTTCATTTCACTGAGGAGTCGTTTTTATTTCGTAATACTTATACCACATATGATAGTCATGGCATCCCCGAGAGTTAAAATAACAAAAGGGATCATATTTAAAACAGCCAGCTCCTCCCTCATTCCCACAAACCTATGATTTTGATTCCATGAGGCTAGTCCCTGTGAGGGCTGGCTGTGCTTGTGAGATCTGTGGAAGCAGAGTGTTCTGCTGAGTAGAATTCAGGGGTGTGTCCTGAAAAGCCAGTGTACTTTTCACACGGCGCTTCTGCTCTGTGGGCCAAGGTATCCTGTGGTCCTCGGTCTGCAGTGCTTCGGCCCCTGGAGGTCAGGCTGTGTTTCCAGCAGCTCCTGCTGCCTCTCCCTTCATTTCATCCATTGCACGATTCTTTTTGGAAATGTCAGAAAAGCGGTGTTGCTTCAGTTTGTTTACATCCTTAGTAATTTAGTGCTTCATTTGTGTCCGAAACAGATAGATGAAGCTGGTGCCAGGAAGGAGTCAGGGATGGGGCTGTTTTATATGCATGCTTTCAACCAGGGGCAGGAACACTGTGCCCAATCAGCCTGAGGACAATCAGATGGCTTAATCAATTAAGCCATCTGACGTTGCTTATATTTTGAAACAGGGGAAAGGATCACCTGTACTTTCAAGAGAACTCTGAGAATATCAGAGAAGGCTTCTTTGGACCTCAGCAGCACCTGATCCTGGGGCAGAACGATCCCCTGAAGGCCAGTGCTCCCAAGCAACAGGAATGGTTTCCCAGGAACTCTGATGATGAAGCTCAAGTTAAGTCAGCTGGGGGGAGTCCACGTCCAGTCCGTGTCCTTTCTTGCAACGCCCCAGCCACAAAAGACCTCCTCTCCGGTACGCCTGTCTGTAGTTGGGTTTCATTTAGGGCAGCTTAAAAGCCATTGCAAAATTGCTGTCATCTTGCACTTCCTCATGCAAGAATGATGGAAGCGTGGCTTGCCCACATGCATAGTTCTCATTCGCATTCGGCGTTTTCCTCAGCCCTTTTGGATCAAGGCCACAGGCTTCGAGAGGCCATGGTGGTGTCAGCCATGAAGTCCAGTCTAGACCTGAACGCCGCTCATCCTCCTGCAGAGCAAGACATTGGCAAGCTTGCCCGAAAGTGAGTTGGGGCGGGTAGGTGAGAATGTTTGCGCCATAAACGGAAGAGTGTTCAATGTGGAATAAATCCTGTTTTCCCCAGGAACTTGTTCCAACAGAAAGGCAAAATAAAGCTGCTGCTAGCTGTCATTGCGCCAGCCTCTCTCAGTGTACAATCATGCAAACTTGCAACTTTAGTATCCTCTGCACTGGGCAGAATGTCAAATGTGTATGTTCACACACATTTCATATATGTGTGTAGATAAGAATTGTCTTTATGAGCCTATGTAGATACTTCCCGTTAGAGTCAGTTGATGGTAGGAACAGCCACCTTTATTTACTAGGTATCCCATTTTCAGATGGGCTTTGAATTATATTGGAGATCTCAGACATAGCAAAATAGGCTGAAGCAGATTCCTCTTTTTGCTGCAATGCATCCCTTAGTCATTTGCTCCACAGGCCCTATTGCTTGAATAAAAACCTTAATATCTTGATAATAGAGCTCCTATTCTGCACTAGTCTTTTAAATATGCATTAAAAACTAAGCTATAGTTCCTTTTTATTTTTAAAAATATCATTATATACCACTTTTCATCATGTCAAGTATTGGGATAGTGCACAGCATAAAAATAAATGCAGAAAACACAAACATGAGAAAATGCCAGATGAAAATTTAATACAGTTTAAAAGTTACTAAGTTGAACTAGTAGAATTGTGCCTGGAGCCTAAACAGAACAGCTGTTGTGACCAGCAAACCCTTTTGATTCTTTAGCTTTATCCCTGCTTATTAGATGAAGTTGCCTGCTCATCTTTATTGGGGTTTCTTATCCAGGAATCTTAAAAACCTGACTACTGGCCTCGTATCTACCGCTGAAGAGCCTCTGCAGCCACAGGATGATTGCTCGCAATTCGATCTGCACTCTGAAGACCGAGCAATCCAGCTCTTGCTGGGCAGGTAACCATGAGATGCTGCTGCTGCAGCAGCTATTCCCAAAAATCCAGAGGCGGCCTCTGTATCTCTTTCTCCCTTCTGAAAGCAGCCTTCTCAGCTTGGCCATACACATATTTAATCACGGCAATTCCCACCGAGTTCAGTGTCTCTTACATATTCATTATTTCCATGCATATTCACCTTTCTACCATAGAGTTCCTAATGTGTCATAGGGTGAAACAGTAAATAAGAAATCAGGACTCTACAAAGGTTGACAAATTAAACATGGAAAGTTCAAGAAACATGAACACAGAAAGAAATCAGAGTGTAGTCTGTCCAAACCGGTGAGGGGGCATGTCTGCTTCGAGACTGTACGTCTAAGAAGCGCTCAGAAGGAAGTATTTGTGCAGCCCGGCCTTAATTTAAAGCCAGTGCTTGGTCTCAGCGAGCACAGCAGTCCCGTCTCACGCAGTTTTTAAATTCCTGCTGGTCTTTGCACAACCTTATCCTTGCTCCTTGCTGCTCTTGCTCGACCTCCCCCCACAATGCTGTATTAACTGTCTCACGGATGGCAGGATTCAGCCCCGTTTTTGGTCCCATACAGCACTAGCAGGCAGGTGCTGGGTAGCTGGAGTAGAGCAGAACGAAATACTATTGCATGTGTGCATTTGCATGCCTGCCCATATATATGCAGCCGTATGTGTATGCACACACAGCCTGCTTGTCTGTCAGCTTGTATAATGCCCACCTATACCTTTCTTTTCACACAGTGCCGATTTTTCTCCTGTGCGCCATGTGGATGGTACCGGCTCCCCTCCAGAGTCCGTCTCTCTTGGGAGTGAGGTGTACGACAGCGAGCTGAACGACCCCCACTATGACCAAAGTCTCTTGGAGAATTTGTTCTACACAGCTCGAGCAAGTGTCCGTTGCATGCATACGGTTTTACGATTGAGCTAAGAACCATACACCTCTAGGGAATTCTTTTACTGGCCTGGATGTGGTTCATCCGTGGCGTCTGAGAAGCAGCTTTTGCAACACTTCCCTGCCTGCTCCTCTTGAGAAGATTCTTGCTCTCTAGAGGGGATCAGGGTAGTGTTCCCGCCCTGCTCTGAGGTGGCTGTGGCTCATGGTTAGAGCACCTGTCTGCCTGAGGCACGGCCTCACGTTGGTCCCCAGCATCCCCAGGTAGGACTGGAAATATTTCTGCCTGCTGAAGAGCCATTCCTGCCCATCAGGGATGATGCTGCTGAGCTCGTTGGACCAATGGGCAGCTTCCTGTGTTCCTCTGACCTGTGAGTCAGCAGATGTCATACCAATTTGTTGAAATGCCTCAGAGTCCTCTAATTGTAGAGACAGGGGCGATACTGGGATAGTGACCTTGTGATAAAGGCACTGAGAACATCCTTTGAATCTTGAATCATTGTGTGTGCAGGTTTTTAGACTGGTAAGACGGGCTGATGTTGGAGAGAGAAGGGATTAAAATCTTGTAGTGTTTGGAAGACATTACGATTTTGAACCTTAGCTGTCTCCACCTTGATTTAAGGGAAACTGTGCCAGCCTATATGGCAATTTAGTTGTCTATTCCTGAATGTTCTTTGCATGTTTAATAGCTTTGGTTTTTCTTAATCCCTTGCCTTAGAAGTCTGATAGTAGTTTGAGTGACTTCCTCAGTGAAGAGGAGGATGGTGTTCCTTCTGGAAAACTGAACCGATCTCAGTACAGCAAACTGCAGAAGTCACCAAAAGCTTTGGAATCTAGCTCCTTGGATCAGAAAGGGAAGGGTGTTGAGACAAAATTCAGGTAAAGCAGCTAACATGAGCTCCATTTAATAGGATTGCTTTGATTTTCTCTTGGCATCAGGCTTCACTCTGGTTCTCGCCTCCTTACCTATATCGATAGACACAGAATGTGTGAGTTTTTCAGAAACATGTTTTCCCTGTCAGTTAATATTGTTTAACCATGACACTCCTCTTAAGACCAAAATTCATCAGCCAGACTTTTTGCCAAAATTGGCCGAGAGCTTCTGTTTCATTCTGGTATCTGTATTAATTTAGGAGTTTGGTTTAGCTATGGCACTTCATTTTCAGATTTGAGGATACTCAGGATGAAATCACTGTGTTAAAGCTGATACACACACTGATGGAATATGGATGATTTATAAGAAGAGGTATATTGATGGCTATAAATAATAATAGTAATAAATTTGAAACCTCTTTACACAGTAAAAGATGAAATTGTTAACATACAAAGTTTTGTTTTGGATAGCAAATCATGTACCACTATGAGTCTGATCTGTAGCTTAGCATGACTACCACATGCAGGACACAGAATAATCAGTTCAAGCTGCGACAACCCGGATTCAGGCTGGACATCAGGAAAAGCTTCCTCACTGTCAGAGCAAGACGGCAATGGGACCAGCTGCCTGGAGAGGTGGGGGGCTCTCCCACACTGGAGACATTCAGAAAGAAACTGGACAGCCCTCTAAGTGGGGTGGTGTAACACTGTGTCCTGCAACAGGGAGTTGGACTTGTTAACCTTCATGGCCCCTTCCAACTCTGCTATTCCGTGATTCTGTGTACAGATGTGTGCAAAGGGGGGTCTTGACTAGAACAAGTTTCTCATTTTGACCGCAGCAATTACGCTTATTCTCAGTGGGATGTTTGCCTTTTGCTTTGTTGCAGCTGGAGAAAAGTTCATAATGGAAGGTAAAGTAACATTCTGGTTTAAGTTCTGTGTGCAGCAAGTTTAAATCTGCCCTGCTTGGCATGCATTTCTCTTCACTGAAAAACTGCTTAAGAGAAGGCTGTTTTTGACTGTAATGTTTGTGTTTCCCTTTCCAGTAGTTCTCTTGCTAGACCACTTCCTCTTCATGAAACTTCCATGGAATCTGCAGGGGAAAACCAAGCTGTCAACTTAAGTCTTGACAGGCTGACAGTGCTGGGTCGGATCCGCTTGGCAAGAGCAGTAGTTGAGAACTTAAAAATCCCCCCTGAGGACCCCACGCCAAGTACCCCAGGCAAAAAAAGCTGCACCGGAAAACCACCTAGGCCAGCATTGCCTAAAAAGAGGTAAGAAGCCTTCCTTTTCTAACAGAAGTCATTTTCGTTGCAAGGCTTCAGGCTTTCATCAGGGATAAGATTTGTTGGCTGAAAACAAAAGAGCACTGCTTTAAAGGCCCCAGCATCACACAGCCGTTAGTTCGGATTCTTGCCTGTGCATTCATGAACGTTCTTCAGCAGCTATAGACCTGTCACTGGACAGGCTTCCCAAGAGTGGGTCTCTTTTGAAAGACTTCCTGCAGACCTTGAAGACACACTTCTCCACTGCTTTAGAAGCCAGAATCTTTTTGTTCCTAAATGTTGCGAGACTCCAGCTTTTTCTGGATCATGCAATTATGGCTGTTCCTTCGGAATTCTTTGCCGTATATCTTTGCATATCCTTATATAGCTGCTGTTATGTGCACCGAAGTCAATGCTCAAGCTCTTATGCCCTCTCACAGAGCTGAAGTGCACCTGTTGTTTATTTGCGTGAATTATCGTAGGGTTACGACAGTCAAGGCAGAAATGCAAGCGTCATTGCCAGCCAGTGGCTGCTAGACGGAGCCTCGAGGGGCACAGGGGTTTTGAGTCACAGCTCCGCCCTAGAAGCTTGCCTGGAACTGGAACTGGGAGTCTGCCCTCATCTTTCCCTGCCTTCCTTGCTGCTCAGCCTTGAAGATGGATAGCCTTGTCCGGTGCTTTTTTTGTAAAAAAAGAAAAGTGCTGGAACTCACATCTTGTTAATCTTTTATTTAGGGGTTTTTTTTAGGGTATAGGGTAATCTTTTATTAGCAGGACCAATGGTTGAAAAGTAATTAGTAATTTTTTTCATTTTTAAATTTGGGGTCACGCTTTTACACTAAAAATAAAAAAAAGATTTTCAATTCATCAACTTTTTTTTAAAATAAAGAAATTAGTTACCTTTTGCACGTAGCGAGTCACTCTACACGCACATAAACATAATGGTCGCCGCCGGCAGTAAGCACTCAGCGCGCGACCACACGACCGATCCCAAACTGAGCAGCGCCCTCACAACCAGCGTGGACACACAGGCAGCCTGCATGCACTGTCTTAATGATTTTTGCTGCTGACCTGCTACGCCCAACAGGGCGATTCAAAATCACTTGGAAAAATTCGTTGGAAACATCTGCCAAAAAAAAGGTGCCGGAATGCCGTTCTGGTGTGTTCTATGACAAAAAACGCCCTGGCCTTGTCTGCATGCTCTGGGTGAGGCAGAAAGGGGCCGGAATGGTCCCAGCATCCTGGTGGTGCCCCCTCACTTCTCATGCCAAGGCATTGTGCTTAGGTGGACAAAATCAGCCATCCGGATGGTTGGCAGAGCAGGGAGACCATGGTGGTGACCTCAGCTCCTTGCTTCTCCCTCCTCAGGATGCCCATAATTCTTCAGTTCTGGAGAACTCTTGGTGTCTGGACTAGACTGCACCCTGGGCTACCTTAAGCACACCATGGATGCTCGCAAAGCTGTGGGCTGCATGGGACTGGGACTCAGGCGATCCGGGTCCGAGTCCCCGCTCAGCCATGGAGCCAGCTGGGTGACTTTGGGCCAGTCACAGACTCTCAGCCCAACCCACCTTACAGGGTTGTTGTTGTGGGGATAAGATGGAGGAGGAGAAGGATGTAAGCTGCCTTGAGCCCTTTGTAGGAAAAAGGCAGGATATAAATCAAAAAATAAAAATAAAATGAATGATCATATACGCATCATTAGCTCAGAACTGCCTAATCATTTTTGCCGCTACAAAACTTCTGTCTAACAACCACTTGCTTCCCCAGGATCCCATTCATTCCAGCGTCACAGCAAATGTTTTTTAACCTCTCTGTCTTTTGTTCATAGGACTTACTTTGTCGAGTACCACTTTCCAGTGGCAGCTTCAAAGACTGGAACAGGACAGGTTGCCATAACTACCGAAACAGTGCGGGTGGCTTCCAGTAAAACCGCAGGGGAAGGTAGGGCAGCGGGGTGAAAGTTATCACTGTGGAACTTTATTTCTGTGGGATTTTGAAATGGTCTCAATTCTTTTCTTTATTTATTCAGTTCATTTAATAGCCGAGGCTCTCTGGGTGTTTAACAAAAGCTTGAATTAAACAAAAGTTAAAAACACATGCACACAACAATAAAATTAAAAGAACAAAACCATAGTTGCTCTTGCTATTATTCAGCGCAGCAGTGGTACAGCAATAAAATGGGATATTTAAAAAACGAAATTAAAAAGTCGGATGGTTAAAATGTCAGGAAAATAAAAAGGTCTCCACCTGGTGCTGAAAAGAATACACAGAAGGTGCCTGGCACACCTCTTTGGGGAGCTCATTCCAAAACCAGGGTGCTACCACCGAGAAGGCCCTCCCCTTGAGGCCACCCTCCTCACTTTCTTTGGAAGAGGAGCATGACGGTTGTTGGGAGCTAGATCAATGATGTAATTGGGACAGGGAACTGAATGAGAAAAAATACTTTTGAGTTCCTGGAGGTTTTTGCATCAGAAGAGCCATGGATGCATCTGGCTCTCAACACTGAGAGATGTACTTATTTTTCTGCACAATTTCTGCATACCTGTGTCAGAACAAACAAGTCTTTTTCCTTGTCCTCTTTGAGTTCAGTATTTCTTCTTTTGGATAAAGATTTGTTGTTGTATTAACCATGAAAGTCAATGGATTTACAAACATACCTGATTTTTTTAACCCCGCCCGCCCCCCCCCCCAGGCTATCACATAAAAGGGAGTGTATTGGAAGGTGGTCCTCAGCTCTGCCGACCTGCTCTGGGCTGCTCATTTTGCCTTTTTCTTCACATGCCTCCAGAAATGGCATCCACTTTCTTCTGCCGCTGTACCCTCGAAATGTTTGCTGAAGCTCTCCTTGTCTTTCCTTTCCCACCCTTTCTGGCATCTTTCCCTGCCAATCTCCCTTTACAGTGGTGAAGTTTCAGCAGCGGTATGTGTTCCCCATTCACTTCGGTGGCTTGATGATCACACATTGGTGGGACTCAGACCTCGAGTTTAACATCTATGTGAAAAAAGGTGCACAAAGGAAGGTAATTGCTACTAAAAATCTGTTTCCAGGTGAAGCAGGTAATCTAGATCCATTGGAATCAGGGTTTAAATCTCATAGGTTTGAAGCACATTTGGTTGACTTTACTGAAAACGCGTCTGGTCCAGGACCGCTGACCAAAGCACGTTATAAGGATCATGGGATTTGCTTCCAGCAAGAATCGCATTTGGGGTGTCTGTGCAATTCCAACTTCTGTTTCTTACCTTGAAGTCCCAAGGGTACAATTCTGTACATGCTGACTGTGGAATGCTGGGAACTGCAGAATTTTTTTCTATCTAGACATGTATGGGATTGTGCTTTAAACCAGCCTTCCTCTACCTGGTGTTCTTCAGAGGCATTTGCCCACAGCTCCCAGAATTCCCATCCAGCAGGGTCATTGACTGGGAATTGTGGGTGTTGCAGTCCAAACATGTCTAGAAGACACCAGTTTGGGGAAAGCTCAAAAAGAGTGCCCAGAGGACCTGCTTCTCCAACATGAGCCTGCTTGGACATAAAGTTATGCATGTGAGGGTCACCTCTGTCCTGCCCGTATGAGAGGATTTGCATTCTGTGGACAGGGCTGTTCAGTGGGCACTCAGGTGGACAGTGCTCCGCCTTTCTTCCTTTCCTGTGGCCTTCTCAAGGGAGCAAATCCCGTTCTGTAGGCTTTCAGCATAACAGTTCCTTTTAATTGGATACCTCTGATATTTGTTGGTATCCTAATATTTGTTGAGGGACTGCAGGTGGCGCACTGGTTTAAACTGCTGTGCTGCTGGGCTGGTTGATCGAAAGGTTGCCGGTTCAAATCTGCACAAGGGCGTGAGCTCCCGTTGCTCCGTCCCAGCTCCTGCCAACCTTGCAGTTCGAAAGCATTTAAATGCAAGTAGATGAAAAAATGCCACTTTGGTGGGCAGGTAACAGTATTCTTTGCACCTCGGTGTTTAGTCATGCCGGCCACACGACCACGGAGACCATCTGTGGACAAGCGCTGGCTCCCTCGGCCAGGAAACGGAGCTGAGCACCGCCCCGAGAGTCAGGCATGACTGGACTTTAGTCAAGGGGCAACCTTTCCCTTTACCTGAATGTTTGTTGCATATTGATACTGCTTGTGTTGACTTTTTTGGGGGTGCCATTTGCCCTTTAGTGTGTATTTCGTGGCATTTTGATGCATTTTGTTGTGTCTTTTGATTCAGGTTTGTGTGGTTAGGCACCTCGAGCACTATGTTGTAGGAAAGGCCGGACAGCTGTGTTCTTAACACGTATTTAGCACTTGCTTATTTTTCTGTGAACAATGGAACCCATGACCTAGGAAGGCCGTGGGCTCTCCCACGCTGGAGGCATTCAGAATGCAACTGGACTGCCACCTGAGAGGGAGGGTTTAACTTGGAGTCCTCCAGTAAGCGTGGGGTTGGACCCAGTGGCCCTCTGGCCCCTGGCAGCTCTATGATCCTGTGAAACCTTGGGCACGGCCTGACTGACAGCTCTTTCTTCCTTCAGTGAAGCTGGGCTGTTGTCGTTCTGTCAGCTTTATTTTCTGGTCGCTGAAATGTCTGTAACCAGTTTGTGTCTGGGGCTTCACCACCATGAAAATGATACAGTGCAGCTTACTTATTTACTTAATTCCTATACTGCCTGCAGCTGAAGCTGTTATGCCATATTTTGAAGCGCAGTGCACAACGCGTCCTCACATCCCCCGCCTTCCTTTTCAGCCTTTGCTGGTTGGCTCAGGAGCTCTTCCTCTGCGAGACGTGATTCAGTCTGAGCAACTCATGGTCAGCTGCGCATTGCCAGTGAAGGAAGATGGTGCTCCAGCCCGGCTAGGCCCCTTAAAGGTGCATAAGACACTTCTGCGCGGTTGCACATTTTGTCTTTCTCTTGGGTGTCCTGCTTTTCACTGCTAGAGTATGAAGAGTCTGGCTGGGTCGGAATGAGGATCCGTGTGGCCCAGCATCCCTGTTCCTGCAGTGACCAACCAGCTGCCTTGCATGTGAATGCGGCCAGTACCTTCCAACCATTCAGAATTCAAACTTACGTGGTTCCAGGACAAGGGTGGCCGCTCGTGCCCCTCTGCATGTTTCAGCCTCTGTGTTCCATCATCCCTCGCTAGTGGCTGTGCCAGCCAAGGCTCGTGGGAGATGCAGGCAGAACAAAGGCAGCTCAGCACATGCTTGTACTGCGAATTGAACTAAGCTTTGTTGGTCGAATTACCACTGGATAAATTCTACAGCTCAGTGCTCGCTCTCGACCAGCAGCTGCTGGTTCTAAACTCTACCCATAGCTTTGCGTTCTCCAGAACAGCTCTGCCAAGCAGGGCTGCGAACCTGGAGCCCTGCTCCTCTCGGCTTTGTGACTTACAGGACTTCAGTCTCTGCCCACACTCACACACACGCGCACACACATTTTGGAATACAAGATAAACACTTCCCATGAAATTGTTCTTAGCGGTGGCTTAAGAATCAACTTGTCCTGTTACTGCCTGTAATTGATGGAAAAATCCCTGCAGAGAAAGACAGTGTGGCATAGGGGTTGGAGCACCGGCCTGGGACTCGGGACACCCAGGATCAGGTCCCCACTCAGCCATGGAACTCCCTGGGTGACTTTGGCCTAACCTACCTCACAGGGTGCTTTCGTGAGGTCAAAATGGAGAGGAGTCCCACTGGGTTCCTTACAGGAGGAAGAAAAGTGGGGAATACATGCAGCGTAATGCCAACCACAGGCCCCTTCCACATTGCAGAGGATTCTGAGACATCCCGGGGTCCCCACAGGACATTGGCCCAACCTTTAGGGCCTCTCCTGCACTTCTAGCATAGGAAAGGTGCCGCCCAAAGCACATTTTCTGTTATCAGCGTATCACCTGTGACTGCACAGAGGAAGGTAAGATGAGAGATAATGGGCAAGTTGTCTTTCAGGGAGGTTTGTCTGCCAGCACCCATCTTGTTTTGAGGATTGCACACTTGCAGCGAATGCCTCGCTTCTCCAGAGTTTGAAAACTACAGGTATAGAAGGGCAGGTAACTTGAACTGGCTACCTTTACGCTGCAGGTGTCACTGGAGCTTGCAGCTGACAACAAAGACTTCTCCAGCATCAATGCCAGGGCAGGAAACCTGGCACAGCAAGCTCCGGTGTACACTGCGAGGAGCCCTGGGGTAACGCTTCCAGCTGCTGACAGGAGAACCGCCCCTGCTGAAAGCCCCTGGCTCCCGAAAGAAGGCAATTGCCCCTCCTCAAAGAGAAGCCAGGAATCTTTGCCTGCAGATCCAGGACAGCTGCGCGTAGACATTGGCCAGCCTCACGTGCCCACGCCTGCATCCCGGAACCTGCTGAACCAGCTAAGCGCCTGTGAAGAGGAAGGGCTGCTGCTGCACGTCCTGCTGATGGTCCCGGAAGGGCAGGTCTCTGTTCCCCGGGATGCTGGGCGCCACGGCTCTTGCAACTTGTATCTCAACTGCAAACTTTTCAGCACGGAAGAAGCCACAAGGTCTGCTGTTGTATGGGGGACCACGCAGCCCAAGTTCCATTTTTCCCAGGCACGTGAGCGCTTTACTCTACTCTTGCAAACCATAGCTAAAATGTAGCAAGCAACTTGCTAATATTAATCCTTACCACTTAGATTCCGCTCCTTCGAATCATAAGGTTGGCACCCCAAACTGCCAGCTATGCTGGCTGGGACATGCTGAGAGTTCTGCCTCCTTCTGCCTGAACTCACATAGGATTATGCTTTTAGCTTTTAAAACTCATCTGCCAACTTTTTTTCTTTGTTTGTTGAATCAAACTTGGTAAGCTTGCTAGCGGCCAGAATAAAATTGCTTTGTTGAGGCTGTAGCCCAAGGGCCCACCCCTGCTGCTTTGCTATTTTGCAGTCATCCTTATTTGCGCAACTTCAAAGGCTAAAGCATTAGAGATATAGGTTGCTCTGCTAACTATCTGTTCATACCTCTAGGTGACTCCCATTTCACTGACACCTAAACATCTGGAGAGGCTGAAGAACAACGTCATGGTGATAGAAGCTTGGAATAAGGTGCACAGCCCCAGGGGAGACCGACTGCTTGGGCTGGTGAAGCTCCCACTGCACCAGTTCTATGTTTCATTCAAGTAACGCCTCTTCCTTTGTTCTCAAATTCCTTTTTCAAATAGTTGGTGTGTGCACTTTTGCCTTGCTTCAGCACCCAAGGGTTGTGGATTGCTCCTTCAAACCTGCCTGGGAGATTCAGTTTGGGGCATGAGGCGCTCCTGTCCCGTAAGAGACAGCAACACGTGCAAGGCATGCTTCGGTTTGCGTTCACGTGGGGGCGGGGGCTTGAGCCCAGGTCTCACTGCGTAACAGTGGTTCTGCGTGAGAAGCCCCCTCAGCACAGTTGCGTGGCCAGGCCTCGAAGACCGGCACGGGGGATGGGGGGCATTTTATGTATACGAACCCCTTAAGCAAGGATTCCCAACATCCAGGCCTGCCTGACGTGACACCCCATTGTGGGGTGCTGCACATGAGGGGTACCATGTCATGCAGACCGATTCCCCGCAGTGACTTCTGCCCGGGCAGCAAGCTGTGTGAACAACGCACAGCTTGCTCCAGGGGTTTTGTACCTTCTCAGGAAGGCCCACCCGCCTCACTTGTCAGCAGCCGCTGCAGGCCAGCTCCCTGTGGCAACATTCCTGGATCTCCAGATATCTGGTGCTCTGCCACCTGAAATCTTTTTTTTTTTTTAGTAAAGGGAAAGGTTTCCCCTTGACATTACGTCCAGTCATGCCTGACTTTCGGGGGCGGTGCTCATCTCCGTTTCCTGGCCGAGGGAGCCAGCGCTTGTCCGCAGACGGTCTCCGTGGTCATGTGGCCGGCATGACTAAACACCGAGGTGCACGGAATGCTGCTACCTGCCCACCGAAGTGGCACCTTTTCATCTACTCGCATTTGCAGGCTTTCGAACTGCAAGGTGGGCAGGAGCTGGGACGGAGCAATGGGAACTCATCCCCTTGTGCAGATTCGAACCGGCGACCTTTCGATCTACCAGCCCAGCGTCACCTGTGTTTTTTAGTACTGTGTGCAAATATTTGCAAACTTTAGGGGTTCCTTTCTTTTAGAGAAGAAGTATGGTGGACGACCATAGCCACCCCCTCCAAAGCGCTGCGGGGGCATCACGGACGGACCACTTGTAACTGGCAAAACAGCTCTCAAAAGGTGGTGCTATGGCTGCCGTTTGCGCTCTCCAGCACAAAAGGGGGATTAAAGGCGAAAAAGCCAACAGGTGTTGCATCCGTGGCAGGGAAGGTGGACGCAGCTTGTTCCTCCCACAGTGTTCCGTGGGATGCCTGTGGGAGGACCAGGTAGAGGGAGGGGGCCAGCAACCCACAATGAGCTCTGCTGCTTGTGGGGCTCACCCTGGGCTAATTGCACAATAATTAATCCTCTGTGGCTGATGGCCAGGATGAGCTTGGGTGCTGTGTGAATGCGCCAACTGTCGAGCGCATGGATTGCTGCCGTGTGCCAGTGTGTCGCCAGCACCTTGCCCCCTAACCCAGCCACTCCCCCAGATGCAGCAAAGCCCATTTTATATCCAGCATCTTGGATATAAAAGGCATTCGTCTCACTTGGCCAGACTGCAGATTGGATGTGGGGAAGCACTGCCTGCCTTCCTTTGTTCATGGGAGTACCTAAGGTGATGCATTTTATATTTTTCCTGTGTACTTGCCTATCTGAGTTATGCTAATTTTCTTTTTTTTAAACCCTACAATTATTATTCCTTCAGAATATACCAAAATTTGAAGTGCTCCCCAGTCCCAAGAACCCCACTGTCTGGGTCTCCCCCACCTTTTCCACGTTTGTATGGAAACATTCCTCCTTGCGGAAGAACCCCGAAGCCTAAGGGCACATCGTCTGTGGGGCAGTCAATTTAGTGCATGTGAGAGCACCCCCCCTTACCCTGCTTCTGTCCCCTCCTTTCAGGGACCCCAAGATTTCCGGCCTGCTGCTTCAGGCCCAGTACCCGGTGCTGGCGGTGGATGGCTCTGTGCCAGTAGTTGATGTCTTCACTGGCAACCAAAGCGGGAGCCTGAAGGTCATTCTGGCCATGGGTTCTGCCGACCAGATCGTGGCGCTGCAGAGGTTGAAGAATGAAGAAGGGGTGGTGCCTCCTGTTGTGCTGCGTCCCCCACATTCTCTGGATTCCCTTGCCGCCCCTCTTCCGAAGGTATTTTTGGGAATGCATGGGCATATACGATGCCCGTACAAAAGAATTTGCTGTGACTGCCTGCAAACCACAGAGCATCTTTCCTGGATACCCGGCTAGCCCTGAGCCTTGGTCAGTGTCCAAGGCCATCACCTTTGAGACGGGCCTGATGGGAGGGAAGTAAAGTAAAGCATTTGGCTTCTCCTGGGCTGTGGAACTCACTGCCTGGGGAGACCAGGCGGGTTCCCTCTTGGCGTTTGCTCCCTGGCAAGCCCTGGGCACAGAAGCTGGTCTGTTGGTTGGACACTGTTTCGATAGTGCTGTTCCTGAGTTTTAACTGCTTAACCAATGTTTTCTTTGTTAAAGGTTTGCTTGATTGTAAACTATCTCAGATTCCATTTTCTTCTTAGAAAGGCAGGGTATGATGAATCAAATAAATTGGACTGTTTTATATTGCTGCCTGTCCAGAATATTTCAGAGTAGACCATCCAGTTACTGTAGCTGAGGTTGTAGCTGAGGGAATGGAGCTGTATATAAAAACAAACATACATACATACATACATACATACATACATACATACGTATGCTTTCATTTTAGTTTAAGTATATAAATGTTGCAGATCAACCAACCAGGCATTTATTTCTTGGATTTTTAGCCTGCCCCATTAGCCACAAGTAATCTATTTTATTTGCAGATACCTTGGACTGAAAGCTCAGAGCATGAAGGATCCATATTTAGTATACAGATGAGATGAGATGAGATATTTTTGTTGTCTTTAGCCAGCAGACCGAGAACGGGAAGGCCTGATGGAGCATATTTTCGAGATCCGCATTGAGAGCGTCAAGGGACTCACTCCCCTCCAGTCTACCGTCTGGGGAGAGGCCGACTGTTACGTGCAGTACCACTTCCCAGTTCAGAAGCTGGAATCCGACATGCTGCATGGGAATGCTCTACACGAGAGGGGTAGGTTTGCTTTGTGGAAGTGTCATTTGTCATCCCACGTTGCTTCTTGGTTCGCAGTATTTCTGGCTTCTTAACTGAGCTTTCTCTGGTGATAGAGAAATGTGTTTTTGAGCTTTGGAAGTAAAATAAAAGCAACTGGAGCATTCGTCAAGAAGCGGGATCAGCGGGGCCTCTCACCTAAATCCCTGTTCTCACCAATGGAGACTTTGCTTTTGTATTTGCTTCCTTTGCACTCAGAGGTGGTCAAGCATGGAACTGGAAGATGAAATTTCTTCCCGAATAGCTGGTTCACAAGAATGTTCCAAAAATGTGAAGTTTCCCAGGACACAGAGTTCTTAACCATGTAACCCCAACCCTCTTTGTAGGCCTACTTTAAAAAGTTCTGCACCAATTCCAGAAGGAAACCCAAGCCAGGCGTTCTGGTGGGCCAGGAAAGGCAAGGAATCCTGGAATGATACCCGATCGCAGCTGTATCAAACTGTACTTAGAAACAAACTAAGGACTGACAGGTGCTGCCTAATACAGGTGCAGTCTGCACAACAGCCCACTGGTTTAATTTGCCTGCACAGGTGACTGCATTTTGCAGGATCTCTGCAGGCATCCTCTTTGCATCATGACCCCAGGCACTCAACATGCTGTGACTTGCTGTGTGAACTCAGGCATTTAGGGTTGTTTGAGGGTTGTCCGACCCTCAAACACGGTTGGTTAATGAGCACGCGGTGGCCTCTCTTGGGGGCAAATGAATCCATTGGGAGCTGTCACAATAGGCAAACAGGCCCAAAGTCTGTGGCAGTCTGAGTTGCATTCAGGACAGAATGGTCCCTCGGGCCACCTTGGCTAGTGACTGGAACTTGGCCAGATTTTGCTTTCCTTGAATTGGCCGGCATTTCTCACTCTATAATCCTTCTGCAGTGCCCCTACAGTTCCCCTGTGTCCAGTGTCTTTCCGTAGATGAAGCACTGGACCTGGGGTTGAAACACCCCAGACCGAACACCTCAGAATCTATGAAACACACTCAGTGACTTTGACCTAGCTATTCCCTTTCCACCAAAGCTGAGGATCGCTGGGAGGATAAGGTGGGGAGGGAAGAATCCGTCTGCGCCACCCAGAACTCCTTGGAAGAATAACCACACGGGATAGATGCAGCCCAGAACTAAGGCATCCGAGGGCCTGAGCAGCATGTCGTCATCTCTGCCCCCAAAGCTTCCTTTTAGCCTTTCCCTTAGAAAGCGATTCCTGCAAAATGCCCCCAGGCCTGTGTGCACCCCGGTGCCGGACCCTTGCTGGCGGTCCCCAGGGCCCTTGCCGTGCCAGTCTTCAGCCGGTCTCATTTCTTCCGCAGGCCTGGAGCTCCAGCCTTTCCGCTCAGCAACGACCTTGTGCGTCCCGGACCCCGCCTTCGACGACGTCCGCCTGCACTCGCTGTCGCTTCCTGCTGATGCCCCCGTCCAGCGGCTCCTGCTCAGTGCTTTCTCGGCACAAGGACTGGCAGGCGGAGGAGGAGTGCAGTTTGAGATCTGGTGCAGGTAGCTGCCCCTGTGCGCCGCCATCTCCGCAGTGCTCATGGAGGAAGCAGCGGCCTTTTCTCCTAGCTGCTGGTATCGTGCTGTGGGGGGCAAGCGGCGCTCAGCCTGAGCTAGATCCTGCTGTGTCTGGAGCCCAAAGCAGTTTGGGGACCGGGTGCTTTGAGGACCTCCACCTTCCCCGCAAGCCTGCCTGAGGCCCCTGTTCTCCCTCCAAGAGTCTCCTCTGGGTCCCCCGGCCGCCTGAAGTTCAACAGGTGGTGACTCACCAGGGGGCCTCGCACGTTGTGGCAGCCCCTGATGGAAAGTGCTCCTCAGCAGGGCTTTCCTGGCACCAGGGCTGTGCCTGCTTGGGGCTGGCCCAAGCATTTCCCTTGGCATAGCAACCTGTTTTGCAACTGATTTCTGTTATATAACTATGGTTCTGCTGGACTGTATCTTGAGGCTGCTGCTTCTGAACTCTCCTTCCCATTTTTGAAAACTAATGTTTGATTTTCATTTCCTTTAACAGATAGTGCAATTGTATTATTGATTCTTTACTGCACTGGGAGCTTATATTGAAGAGTGACCTAACTATTGTTTAAAAACACATCCGCATTTTTGTACTGCCTGCAGCCAAAGCTTTCTGGGTGGTTCACACCAACAATCCTCGAACCCTAGTCACCTGTCCACATTCTAGCCAGGCCTGACCCTTCTTAGCTTGCAAGATCAGGCAGGATCAGCCACTTCAGCCCACGCCAAAGCTATGGCTACATTTTTAAGGGCTACATGAGGCTTTCTGACCCTGTTTCTGGGAGGGACTTAGTATGTTTTGAAGCAGCCGCCTTGTTTCTAGAACACTGCCAGTGGTGTCAGTTACAGAACTGAGAACATCCTGGAAACGTGGAGCAGCCGTGAAGGGCCTGGCAGGTGCAGATCCCTCCTGGGACACGTTCCTCGCCCTCCATCCTTGTGTGCTCACCCTGTGGCAACCTTGCCTGTGGGCAGCTTATTTCAGGGAACGAGCTGAACAGCCGAAGAGACCGGGCGTGGGCTAGCAGCCCCATGCATTAGTTTCCCGCAGCTGCAAGCTGGGCTTCTGCCTGCCCACCCACCGACAACACCCCCCCCCCCCAATGCAGCCATCACACTTGCGTGGGAGGACTCCTCGCTGTGGGGTCCTCACCAGCCACGGGTCAGCCTTGAAGCAGGAGGAGCAGCTGGGAGGCTGGGGCAGGAGGTGAGCTGTGGCCCGGCAGCCGGGAAGCAGCCACGGGGTAGGAGGGCAGTGGGGCTGGAGCCCAGAGGCAAAGAGGGGCGAAAGTTCAAGAGGAGGGGTGAGGAAGGGGGCTGCGGTAGGCAGCCTCCGCAGCAGAGAGTTCTCCTGGTGGGGGGAAGAGCAGGAGATGGCCACCCTTGAAAACGGCAGTCTCCTGTCCCTGGAGCCTGTCCGCATGCCCAGAAACTGTTTTGGGAAACAGGTGGGGAGTGGCCCCCAAGGCCTCTGCGCCCGCCCAGCCTGTGGCTCCCCAAGCCCAGGGCACGCGGGTTGTCTGTGTGTTGCTGAGGGTGCAGAGCTTTATTCGGCCAGGGGCTGGACTGCGTTTCAGAGACTCCGTCAGAGCCTGAATTCTGGGGTGGGCATGGACTGAGGCCGAAGGGGCAGGGCAGAGTGCCAGCGAGCTTTACCTCTCCGCGCTCGTGCCAGGAGCTGCGTGTTCAGAGAGGCGTTTCAGCCATTCAGAGTGGGGTGAGGGGGGTGACAAAAGCCGGAACGCCAGTGAACGACGGGCCGTGCGTGGCCGTGGGGCATGTCCGTCCTGGGAGCGCTGGACTTGGGCTGCAGGTCTGAGCTTTTGCACCCCAGCCCAGGGCAACCTCGTGCCCTCCAAGTGCCTTGGACTTAAATCCCATAATCCAGGGGGTTATGGGAGCTGACGGGGGGGCCGTGAGAAGTGTAGTCCAGCACATCTGGGGGGCGCCGGCTTAAGATAGGCTGGGCTAGGGCTTGAGGGTGGAACTGAGCCTGTGGGAATTGCAGGGCATCTCTGGATGGAGGACGGTAGGCGATGGGTGAGGCTGCCGAGGCTTTGAGGGAGCAGCTGGGCAGGGCAAGCAGCCCCCCGTCGGATGGCGCAAGGCGGGTTCCCTCCGGTGTGGTTGTCGAGCCCCTGGCAGGCCCCGGACCCTGATTCAGTGCGCTTGGTGCAGCCCAGCAGAGCAAACCGTTGACCTGTTTCAGTGGCCGGGTGAAGCATTGCTCCCTGAAGGCCCTTCCATTTCGCATCCCGTGCAGGTATTACTACCCCAATGTCCGGGAGCAGATGGTGGCCAGAGGAACCCTGCCGCTCTCACGCCTGTGCGCCATGGTGACGATGCGGCACAGGGAGGAAGTGGGGCTCCAGACCTTCAGCCTGCCCTTGATCCCGAGAACGGAGGGCTCAGGGGAGCTGCAGCCACGGTCCTCAGGTAATGCAAGACATCGGCCTTGGTGGTGCTCTCCACCGCCTCCCCCTTCGTGGAACAACCGAGCTGCATAGCTAGCACTTCTCCTCTCCGAGGCTTCTGCTCGAATAGGTGAACAAACAGATGCAGGAATACTGAGGATGCTGCATAACGAGGGCTCATGAGTAACGTACACGATTACTTTATAATCAGACGCTCGTGATTTTTACAGCAGAGCAGGATTCACGCGAAACTGCATGGATGATCTTTTCTAGGACCTGCTCTGTGACACTGAGTTGTTATGCCAGAGGTTGGATTTCGCTTCACTTGATTTCAGGGTGTGTAAAGATTTCCTAGTGTTCCTGCACTGCAAGTGCCATGCCCATTTTACAGATGGGATGGGATAGAGAGTGTGGGCCTTCCTGCAGTGTCTGACAACATGTATTTGGTGATTCATGTGTCAGCAGGAGGGTGTTTTTGATGCGGGGGTTCTCCTGGCCCTCAGTGCCCCTTTCCAGTTTCTTTCCCCAGGCTGCCTTTCTCTCTGTTGGTTTTTCGTCTTGCCTTGTATCTCACAGAAAAAACAGTTCAGGATAGAGGAGACACAAGGATAGATTTGTGGAGTCGGCAAGGAGTTCAACATGCTCTCTTGCCTGTTGCTTTTGCCCTCAAATCTCTCTCACACACGTTAGCATTTGAGGCCAAACATAAGGTTAGAAACACTGTGTTTGCCTTGCAGTTTTGAGGGCCTTCTCTGCAGAGTAATTGCATCCATACCCGGACATTCAGAGCAGAGAGCTTGAATGCGTATTTCTTTCTCTTCCCCATGTCCCTTCCTCCAGGTTTGCTTGACGTGAGCATAAAGTACAGACGTTCCCCAAAAGTAACCAAAGGTGTCCTAGCAGCTCAGGTGGTTTCTATTTCTGTTCAGATACACTCAGCAGCTGGTTTGCAGGCAGCAGCAAGGTGAGGAGGAACCCCCCAACGTTGACTCTCTCCCTTCAGCTCCTGTGCTGCATGCCTTTTGCTCCCCGCTGCACCCCAGATCACCCAGGAAGGCCGTCCTTTTGCACTGCTGCACCCGTGCTTTCAAAGCCAGGGTTTCTGGGCAGGTGGTCAAGTGCCCCTGATCCGTAACAGTTGGTTCCCTTCTCTGAGAGCCACTGTGGTGTTGTGCTTAGACTGTCGGACTGGGACTTGAGAGGCAGCGTTCTGTTCCCTTCCCCACACACACCCCTGCTTGGCCGCAACGCTCCCTGGGGTACTTCAGGTCGTTGTGAGACTAACCTGCCTCATAGGGCTGTTGTTGTGAGGATAAAACAAGAGGGGGGAGAGCCGTACACACCAGCTTGGGGTTTACAAATGTGAAAAGGCATTTATGCAGATAATTAGGCAGGAGATGTATGAAGTAAATTTCAGGGTTAGGGTTAGGCATCAAGGCAGCAGTTCTGTTACAGAAAGAGCTGTTCACAAACCAGCTGATTCTGGCCATGGAAGCCTCGGGCGGGAGGTGGAGCCACCTGCTTAGTGTATGGAAGTCCCAGGTGCCCTCCTTGGCATCCCCAGCAAAAGGAAGATCAGGGAGGAGCTGATGCGAAGGGGCATCCTCTCCCCAGCATAGCTGCTGCCAGTCAGTGTCAACAATGCTGAGTTAAATGCCCAAATAGTCCAGTCAAATAGCTAGCGTCCTACATGCCCATGCTCCCATGAAATACCAAAGCACAAACCCGTGTATTTCACAACGTGTGTGTGGGTGAGCGGGGGGGCGGGCATCGTGCCGGCTTCTTGCGTGTGCATTTGTTCTTTTGGTTCTCTTTGCTAAGGGCTCTGGTGGAAAACAACCCGTCACTTCAGTACAGCGCAGAGGTCGGAGTCAATGCCTATGTGTCTGTCCAAGTCCCCTTCCTCCCCAAGGCAGAGAGGCGCCTCACGCGAGCTGTGGCTCGTACGTTCTGCCCGGAGTTCGAGCACCACACTGAGTTCCCGTGCAATCTCATGGTGCAGCGAAGCAGCGGGGAAACCTGTTGTCTGGGGGAGCTCTTGCAGCTTTCGGAGATTGTCTTCTCCATCTTCCACAAGAACCTGAGTGCCGGTATGTAACATGGGCATGGGGGAATGGACCCGGGAAATTTCCAGCCAAGGCTTTTTGAAGTTAAAGCCCAGCTAAGGTTTTCTCACGTCTTCCATGAATCGGTGTGATTTGTGTGAGAAATGTTAGATATGCTCTGGCAGTAAGCAGCAATGCAACTGCATTTTGATGTTTAAATAGATTTTAGTGCATTGGAAGTGTAAATAATATGATGTCTTAGTATTTATAGAGCTTTATTTTGTGAATCACTCTGTTAAGAGTAATATGTAAATAATTACTATGTAGTGGGACCAAGAGATGACAAATTCCAAATAATACACATAGTACTAGATATTTCTATGTGAAGGATGATAATTTTATACTTTCTATCAAATTTATAACTTCAGTTTTAACTTATCAATACTTAATTAAAATTAATAATTGCCACACAAAGAAATGCTTTCACTAAATGTCAGAGAAATAACTTGTCTTATAGCATATCTGCAAACCCACCAACAATTAGTAATTAAATGTTCCCTTTTTTTCTTAAACAATATTAGAAGAAGAAAATTAGATTCAAACAATTATATTTATTTGATCATTCAATACATAATCTTCAATGCAGAAACAATTTTCCATTTTTTTCAAATATGTTTGAAATGGCAATAGAGCATTTATGTTGAAATTATAGATCATGGATAACTTTTCTATAGGTTCTGTGTTTTTCCCAATTATTAAGAAGTCTCATTATTTTTAAAAGACATACATCTGTATGGCAACCTGTTCCCATGGTCTCCTATCCTGGGGGATGACCCACATCCACTCAGCGTATGTTCAGCTGCAGTATAAGACATTCCTGCTCCATTTCTTGGTCTCCCTTGGTGTCCATTGCCAGTGCATCAATATCTACTTCATTACCTGATTTTGTGTATAGCTACCTTGGGGTCTATCAAGACTGACTGGCTTTGGTTAGCATTTGCCCGTTTTTGTGGATGCTTGTGTCCGAAGCCTTCATCCTGGCTCGAACTTCAACAATAGCTGTTGTACACGAAGTATTAACAAGTAGCAGTAATGTAACGCCCTGTGGCAGAACAGAGCATCAGATTTCCCAGGACAGACGACCACTGAGCATAGAGAAGTACCCCAAAGAGTCGTCCTGCAGTTAACTAGGGCCCCTGCCTCAAATTCCATGAGATCAAGTGGAATGCATTTCAACCTAATTAAGTAATTACTTTTACAGGAGAAAAAAGACAGAAAAAATCAACCATATAAAAGATGTTTCAAAGAACAAAGACTTTCTAAATTGTAGTTAGACCCGTTTACAGCCATATAGTTCCAGTTTCTGGAGACAAACGTAATTAAGGCCTTTCCCCAAAGGGTACCAGTTGCTTTTCCGGTGCCACACCTAATGCTGTTTCAATACAGGTGAATTGAATGAATAATTGTATCATGCCCTTCATTTTTATCCCACAGCCCCGTATGCAACAAAAACTCCAAGAGATGAGCTGCTGGGAACTGCCAGGGTTCCAACCAGGGACCTGTTGACCAAAAGATCAGGTAAGGATACTGTGTTTTTTCCCATTAACTTTGGTGATCTGTGCCTCTAGCGACCTTATGGCAAAGATGCACCTGCTGAATTAACACAAAAAGTCACCGTCTCTCTCTGTCTCCCTGTGTGTTCTCTGTTAAAGGTATCCGAGGCTGGTACCCAGTAACTCTCCCGGAGGATCTGGTGTCCTCTCGTTGCGAAAATGTCCTGCAGACTGTCGTCGGAGGCCTGGAGGTTTCTGTAACATTTGCTCACTCTGAGGACCGAGAACGCGTTCTGGATGCTGCTAAACTTTTAGGCTGGAACTGGGAGGAAAGCTGCACTGAGGGCTTGCAGGATGACGATGAGGATGGAGGCCAGCCTGCTCGAAAGCTTGCTGTGGTGACTGTGTCCATCCCTTGCCTGTGGCTACCACTGAAGTGTGTGTTACTTGCAGGACAGACACACTTAAACAAACGTGTCTATTGTTACCTTCGCTATAAGCTATATGATCAAGAGGCCACGTGGACATCCCTTCGGAGGCCCAAATTAGCCGAAGACCAGAACCATGTGACTGTGACCTTTAAGAAAAGCAAGCAAATGGACCTTCCCTGGAGCCAAATGTTGCTGTGGTACTTCAGGGAGGAAAGGTTGGAGGTCCAGGTGTGGCGAGCCTATGGGAACGAAGGCAGCACAGAGAGACCCCTGGAGACGGACCGTCTGATTGGGTCAGCCTATGTGGACCTCGCGGGGCTCGGAGGGAGCTCAAGAAGAAAGCAAACAGTTAGTGGTATGTTTACGAGTGGCTTTGGGATCAGTCAGTAGTCAGCCATCTTTGGCCCCAATCTCTGGCAACCAACCACCCAGGCGATGTTCTGCTCTCGGTGACCCTAGAATGTAATATTAGTCGTGCTGGACATATTTATATAATGCACAATTGCCATATGGCATCTGTTGCCCAAAGTTTTGGTGACAGCTATCTCCAGGGATGACTTCCAAAGCATTGGGCCACTTCTTAGGTATCTGTGAACCCTAAAAAGAGCCGGTGTGGTGTCATGGTTAAGGGCATGGGATTGGGACTCAGGCAATCCGGGTTCGAGTCCCCGCTCGGCCACAGAGCCAACTGGGTGACTTTGGGCCAGTCACAGACTCTCAGCCCAACCTGCCTCCCAGGGTTTTGACGCAAGGATAAGTTTGTGAGGAGGTGGAAAGGTAGGTAATCCACCATCTACCTTGAGTTCCTTGGATGGAAAAAGGATGAGATATAAGTATAATAAATACATAGAATTTTGTAAACCACCCAGGGGCCTTTGAGCAGTTGGGCAGTGTAAATCTAGAATGAATGAATGAGTGGAAGAAAATAAGATCTCCATGCATCCTGTTGGCTGGCTTGGGCCAAACAGGTATTCTGGCTGCTTCCAGCGGAGCAGGATGGAACGGGGAAGCTGCCCACGTCTTCCTACCTGAGCGAGAGACGAGTCAGTGAATACACTGAAAATGCGTGTTTCCTTCCTGCTTTTCAGCTGGCAAGAGTGCAGTGCAGTTTGTGCCAGTAGGTACTTATCCTGCCTCCTCCGTCCCTGGTCCAGATGTTCACCCACCAGAGTTTTGCTGCATTAAAGTGGAGGGGTTCAGTGCTGTCCTCCAGCTCAAGGACCGCTGGAACGCAGAAGACAGTTTGAGGGGGCTGGTAATTTTTGGTGGAAGTAGCGCCTGGGTGGTTCCAGTCTCAAAAAGCAGTAGCTCAGGAGTTCAGGCTTAGGAACTGTTCCTGTGCTGTTCCGACCTTTGTGGAACACCTAATTTAATTTTGAATATCGATGCTAGAAGGCAGTGTTGTTGTGAGGCTACAGACCTAGAAGGCCGCACTGCAGCCTGCCTCCAGCTTGATCACAGCACTCCATGTATGTCTCAACAAGCCAGTTAATCTAAATCAGATGCAGGAAAATACTGTCTGAGGCAGACAAATCGGTTTTGCAGCCTGTGCTGAAGTGATATGCTACAAATATTTGAGAGGGAGGAAAGTTCTCAAAACACTCCTTTTTTAAGAAAAAGGCGCTGTGGACTAAATGGGGAAGGCCCATTCCTTGGTGACAGAACACGTGCTTTCAGTGCAGAAAGTCCTGGGTTCAAACCGTGCCATCTCCTGTTAAAAGGACCCGGTTGTGAGCAGGAAGAAAGACCTCTGCCATAAGATCTTGAAGAGTCTTGCTGGACCGAGGAGAGAGCTGCAGGCCATATGGGCTTGTAGTCTGGCCTGGCACAGTGCCGTTTCCTGTTGCCCATGTAGCACAGTACGGGGAGGCTTGTGTATCATGCAACATTTTATTTTTTATAAAATTGCACAGCTTTTTCTTTCTTTATTTAAAACTTTTTAGACCATCCCTTACTGAAGTCTCAGGATGGTTTAACAGTAAGACAATATATCAAACAAAACAAAGCACAGCATCCTAATCAATTTCTGACAATATAAAACCCATATTAAAATAACAGTCAAACCTTAAAATATAGGGAAAGTAGTTTTCTCTTTTTCCCTGAAGTGCCAGGTAAACCTCTCATTTTCTGATTTAACCTGGCGTCCTGTAATGACAGGTGTCTTCCCCTTGTTCCGACGCAATGCTGCAAACCTGCTGGGAGCAGCCGCACGAGTTCACATCACGGTGGCTTCCTCCAGCCCTCACGCACCTGAGCTTGCTGAAGATGGGAGCAGTGGTGGCGGCAGTGGCGACAGCAGCGAATGTGAAATGAGAGAGGAGGGACCGGAGCAAGATTTGGAGCGCCCCCTGGAGCCACATCCCCCTGTGGCAGAGATCCTGCATGAGAGATCGCCAGAGGTGCCTCCTCCTCCAGAGGATCCCGGGAAGACGTTTGCAGTTAGCATCCTTGTGGAAAGGGCCATGCACTTAAGCTTGAAAGGTGAGCAACGTTCTGGACCTCTGGAAATGTGTATGGGTTGCAGTCCCTCCAGTGGGATCTGAGGGGATGCTCGTTCGTTTAAAACGTTTATTTCCTCCTCTGCTACCAACAACACTCGGCTTTGGCCTGCAGTCAGTTCCCAGTCTGCCAGTCTAGCAAGAGTGGTCTGTTTCTTTCCTGGCAACATGCTGGGCAGGACAGAGGAGGAGGAGAGATGAAAGAGGGTGACCGAAAAACACGTAAAGGGGGAGACTGGCACACTTTTACCTCTGATTCTGCCCACTGCTAGCTTAAGCTGTTACCCACCACTAATGTGTGGCCCTTGACAGATTAATTGTGAAGGGAATGTAGCCTTTAGCAGAGAAAAGGGTCATCCCTCCCCGTAATAAAATATTTAAAACAGTATAGAAGCCTCTTGAAAATAAAATACATTACAGTTATCATTAAATGGGCAAATCTATAGAAGCAGCATAAAAATAATCCAAGCAGAGATTAAAAAAGAGCTTCGGCTGAGGAGTGGCATAAAAATTAAATAAGTACATAAATAAATAAAAGCCTAGGGAATTAAAAAAGGCCTCACTTCCTCTGCAGCCACTTCTTTAAAGACATGTACTTTTCATTTATTTGTCCCTGTCTGCAAGGTCACATAAACGCCTCCGAGGGAAAGAGAAAAAATTCATTCGCAATAGCCGTATACATTTCCAACATTTCATGTTGGAAATTGTCCTGAGAGTGGTTGACTAAATAGGAATGGTATAAAAAGGCCTTAAATAAATACAAATGCCTGAATTTGCAAGAATTTTCAAAGGGTTAGCAAATGTTGCCTCTCAAATACTGTTTTAGCAGCTTAAAAATTCACACATTTTTCACTGGCCTGAGGTTTCATGGATGGCTTTTTCATCTGGCATGCAAGGTATTATCATAAATTGGCAGGCATTTATATGCAAGGTTGCAGGCAGGGTGAGATTCTCAGCAGTGAGGCTAATGGTTAGAGCTCAAAGCTTACATGTAGGTAAAATGTACGTGTAAAGCTTACATGTAGTGTGGAACAGTTAACATTTTATTTAGGATTGAAATATTGTTGTAAGCCGTCCAGCGACAACAGTAATGGGCAGCCTACAAATTTTCTAAATAAACAAACAAATAAAATGAATAATGACCGTTCATGACATAGTGAGGTTGATCACATGGGCATCCTGGCTTTCGAGAGATGTCCAGCAGCTCTGGACAACATGAAGAGAAGGGGGCACTTCAGATGAGGATCCCTTGAAGTTCATGCTGTGGAACGTGATCTGCATTCGGATAAGCCCAGAATGGGCATCGCTCTGGCTCCCTTTCACGAGTACCTGGGACCAAAACCAAAGCAAAACCTCACCTGCACCGATCATGTTGATCACAGCATAAGTGTGTTGCAAGTGCTTCTTTTTTCTTAAATGGAAATGGTGCCCAAGTAGAAAAATGTTTGAATGTTCTAGGCCAGTGATGGCCAACCCTTTAGAGGCCGAGTGCCCAAAATCCACTTATTTATCACAAAGTGCCAACACTCCAATAAAACCTGAAAACTGTGGTTTTAGTTTTGAAAAAACAACTCACAGCCAGTCCAAGCAAATATATAAATGTCCTTGGCAGCGCACTGACTGGCCACGCGAAAGCTCGGACGAGTTGCTGCTAATGAGTCGCGGCTCGTGATGTCATCCCCTGGCACTGCTACTCCTCTCTGAGCATGCGCATGCCCCCCATGTGCGCTGTTATCCGATGCTCGGCTGCTGGGGCGATGCTGAGGTGACTTGGCTCGTGTGCCGACAGAAGGGGCTCTGCGTGCCCGCTGTGGCACGCACGCCATAGGTTCGCCATCGCTGTTTTAGTTAGTTGGGCTTCCCAGAACCGAGCAGATCTCGGGTCCCAACTGGCTCTGCCTTTTGTGGTTTTCTTAAGGCGTGGGGAGGCCGACGTTGAGTGGCGCAGCATGTGCTTTGTGTGCCGAGGGTCCCGGGCCCGTGCATGGCTTCTCTCGTTACTCTCTCGGGCTGAGTAAGGGCAGGTGATAAGGAAGGCTGGAGCGCTGCTACCAGTCATGGGTGACGAGTGGGCCACACCCCCCAGTGGTCTGATTTGGGATAAGGCAGCTTCTTCCGTTCTTATGAATGGATCTTTCCAGTGACTCTGCAGGGGATCAGCACCACAAACACGGCAAATGCAAGCCGTTTGCACACCGAAGGAATAGAGTGGTTCTAGCCTAAAAAGGTCCCTGGTCTTGTTGGGGCCTGATTTCAGGGCTACTTGAACAAAAGCTTTGCTAGTGAAAATGCTCTTCTGGTTCGATTCTATGTTCAAGAAGCTGCTACAGTGACATAAAATGTTTCTTCCCTTGCTTATCTGGGGCAGAAGCATTTCCAGAAGTCAGAACCTGCTGTTCTTCCCCCTCCCCAAATTGGAAACAATAGAAACAAGCTGGTCCTGTCTCAGGAAGAAACCTAGTAGTGAGAAATGAGTTGTGCGGCCAGCAGTGCTGCTCCCTTGAAAGGCTTCCTTGCAGCATCCGAGTTGCCTGGGTTGCCCGCTTTACAGAAAATCACTGACTGGCTCTGTTTAAACACGCACAGAATTGCACCCTAAGACAATTGATTTTTACCTGCTGGTGATGTGCAACCTGAGTTTTTGAATAGAGCACGTTATAAATTGTAACAGGTAATGAAGTCTACTTTCAGTTGGGTATGAATATGATAAAGTGCAGTGTAGTGGAAAATACGGAAGAAAAATCAGTACAGAGATGTCAGCCTAGTCAAGGCAAGGCAGCCAAGCAGAAGGGAATCGCTGACTGAAGGTACCCGCATCAAAATGCTCTTTGTCCTCGCCTTGACTCAGGGGCTGCTGTGGCCAGAATTGCCTCCCACTCAGGGCAGTTTTGTGGGATGTGCGTTCCACACTGTTTCTTTCTCCGAAGCAGCGTGGGGGCCGTTTCCCAGACACTGGCTTTGGTGTTCTGGCTGGGGGCAAAACAACTTGGTGCTGAACAGCAGACACACTAGGTCAGTCCAATTAACTGATTCACTCATCTCTTTTCTCTCTGATTTCTTCCTGTGTTTTGTTTTAACCCAGTGGGAGTAAGCTCCAAGCTTTGAAACAGAGCATAATAACCTGTTATTTGAAGGGGAGTTGTTTTTCCAGCCTGAAAGAACCAACAGCTTCTCTCTGGTTCTGCCTAAAGGCTTGTCTTTTTGCCTTCTAAAATATTCTGCAGATTCTATTTTTCTCTGAACAACTAGGCAAAGCATTTGTTGTCGAAGCCTAAGGCAAATTGAAAGGGGGTGGGCAAGTCGTGGGCTCAGCCCTGGAGCCAAAAGCCTCCCACCTGGGGTCCCAATTTCGGGTGGTTTGATGGCTTCCCAGCTTTTGTGCAGTTCCCTTACCCGCATCTCTCCGATTCGAAATACATCTCTTCTAAAGCTTAGTTACTGGCTGTAAGAGCTTCAGAGCAAAATATGCTGGGGTGTTTTGCTCTTTGACCCTGCCTGCCACTGTGCTGGAAAAACACGAAGGCACTCGCATTTTCGCGGCGCTGGCCTTGGTACTGCCTTTCGAGGCATCCTGCGCCGGTCCCGGTGGTACATGCCTAGTAGCCTTTGCCAAGTAGACTCAGCCCTCGTGTCAACGGGCTTTGGGTTGCACATGCCTGTGTGTGAATGTGTGAACAGCCGGGCTGCACCATCTTCCTGTCCCATCTGGGTATCCCAGCATAGCCGGTTGGAAAGCGCTGGGCTCTCACGATTCACAGGAACCCAGGATCAGGCCATCTTTATTCAGGCTCACCTCTCGGCTCCTTCCCTGGTAGACCTTGCCCTGGGAAGGGCTTCTCTTCTCTTTCTCGAGGTCACTGTCAATTTCACAAGTGGCAACTGACCCTTGGGTTTCAGGGAGTCCCCTTACCGAACGCGGAGTGATGTCGCCCAGTAGCTACGTGTCCTTCGTCACTGCTGATGCTGATCTCCCCGTTACCACAGAAGTGGTTGAAAATACAGACTCACCTGTGTGGGACTTCCAGCAGCAGACCAGGTACGTAAGAGGACCTTGAAGCCGGCAGCCTTCTTGCAGTGGCAGCATCTGTCCCACCGGCAGTTTGCCAGATTTGCTGCCCTCCTGCGGCAGGACCTCAGCAGGAAGGAATTTCTCCAGTCACATGCAAATCTGACAGCACAAACTCTCCCAGCTCCATACCCCAAGAGGAGCAACTGGCTGCCCAGGCAACATGTTGGAATTTCAGTAACATTTTGTCCTGTTACAGTTTAGGCACACTTCTGAATTCACTCCTCTCTCCTTTACAGACTCTCCAAAGAGCTTCTCTTGGATCCACAACAAACACTGGTCTTTAAAGTGTGGCATAAAGCAGGTATTCTTTTCTAATCACAGTTACCAAATAACCCATACCCCCCTTCCCGTAAGCTTTCAAGCAAAAATATGAAGAGATCATGGTACGCAGAGCAGGGATTGGGCTGCTTTTTTATCTCATGTGTCCATTGCTGGGCTCTTTTAAAACAGCCGAAGGGAAATCCCATGTTCTAGAGGAGGTTTCCTCCAGCCAGTGCCAACAGATGTGTCGTAACATGACACTCCTCATCCCCAGTCAGCACAATTCTTGGGAAAAGGGATTTTCGAGGGGCTGAAGAGTTCTTGTAGCTCAGAGACTGAGCCATGCAGCAGGACATCGCCTGGTGAGGTCTCAGCTACCCATGAGCTCAACCAGATGCCCTAACAAGCCACATCCCCCAGGGCTGCCGGTTCGTGGGGGTCTGTGGCCCACCAATTTTGCTTTCTCCACATCTCTTTCAGCACAGAGGAAGTGCTGAGAGAGGCACCCTGCAGCAGCCCCTGCTCCCAGTGCCGCCTGCCACCCTCCAGGGGCAGTGTGGAAATGGCCTTGAATGACCCTGCGGGGGGCAGCCAAGGATGTTCTGTGGGCCTGTTGGGGACCTTTGCAGCCTAACACTTCCCCACCCCAATGTGGCACGCCAGAGCCCTGCCCTGGATGAAGAATAGCTTTGATGGCAAAAGCCCAGGCTGCCAGGACCATCTCTTTGCTTTGTTCTTTCCTAACATGGCCAAGTCATCTAAGTTTTGGGCAGCTTATTCATGTTTGATGCCTCATCCCTCTTCTCACTGCCATTGAACGACATTTTCATCCTTGAATCGATGCTGTTTCCTGCCACGAGAAACAAGCGCTTCCTCACCTTCCCTTAGTCCCTGGTAGGCCCAGATTTTTATGCAGAACTTGACGATTTGTTATTCTTTGCCCATTAATGAAACCCTAAATCAAAGCAAGTTTGGGGTCATTCTAACTGTTCAGATGCACAAAAAGTCCTCTCTGGAGGCGTTCGGGAGGCGGGTCCTCCATGGCTCTCCATCCTTCATCTTGTGGCCTTTTAAATAGGCCTTTACAGCCCCTTTCTCACCAGCAAATCTCTTTCTACCACTGCAGCTCAGATTCTGCCATAGCTCAGATACTGTGCTAAGGCAAACACTCAACACATTTCTGCAAATCTGCGCCCCAGCACAAGGATTCACCTTCTCAGTGCTCCTTCAGCCCCAGATGCAGATTTCAGCTTGCAGGAGGAGACAGCGGAAACAATGGTCACTTTTGAGTTTGCCAGAAGAAATATCTGTTGCCAGCTTTATTTATTAATTGATTTATATGTTTAATCCTCCCCACAACCAGAGCCATCCGGGCAGATTACATATTCACACTGGCCTTGGTGGAAGAGATAAGAGCACAAAGCTTGTTTCTCCTTTCTGCATTCTTGAATTCTTTTGCACAAAAGGAGAGAAAATATCCTGCTGGGGGCGGAACTGCTAGAAGAGCGTGCACATGCAAATGGTCTTTGTTGCAGAACTATCTTCAGGCAGGCCTGGAGAGGTTCCTGCCTCCACGCGGGGGCGCAGGATCATTTTGAAACCGCTCGTGATCATGAGCAGAGGCTGTTTGGCTGGACGTGGCTGTTGATGAGAAGAAGGGGAGATTTTGGAGGGTGAGGAGTGGCAAACTGCCCCGCGGTGTAGGAGCCAGGCAAGAAGAAGGAAAGAACTCGCCGCAGAGGATATAGGAGGAGAGCAAGTGGCTAGAAATCGGGCATTTGTAGGCAATGCGGGATATGTTTAGTATTAACTGTTTGTGTCCAGACGTCACCACGGTGGCCCACTGGGGTCAGAAAGAAATCTCCCCACCGCCTCCCCATGCATGGCCGTGCCCTTGGGCTACTTTTTCTTCCTTCCCCTGGGACGCGAAGTAGCATCACAGCTCACGTGGGAGCGCTGGGCTTGTTTATGCATTTGCTGTGCTACATGCCCTGACATTCCCCTCTCGGCTGGTGTGGCGCTTGTCTTTCCCTGCAGTGTGTGGCCACTCGGGAAAGAGCGAGCTAGGGGGTTGGTTCCCATGCGCCCTTCTTGCCACACCTGGCGGTGCGCTGCCGCAGCGCTGCAGATGACCAGTGCATGGCAGTCTGGGGTGTGCAGGCCGGTCCTTGGGGAGGCAGGGCGTGGGGGGCTTTGGGGGGCTCAAGGTGCTTTTAGCCCTTCCCTTCTCTCTCTTTGTTAGCATCACCCGAAGCCATTATTTTACAGGTGCTGCACACCGCTGCATGGAGTCCACACCGTCTGTAAAGCGGTGTTGAGAGGTGATGTGCAAAAAGTGAAAATAAAAGTGAAATAATTAAAGCAAATATGTTAACGGCCAGTCCCAGTATTTTCCACGTTTTGTCAAGCCATCAGAATTTGCCTTGGCCTTCCCATTTTATTTATTTATTAGATTTCTCTCTCTATTTCTTTCCAACGTTTGCTTTTTTAAAGAACTCAAAGCAGCTTGCATCTGTCTCCTCCACCTCCTCCTCCTGGTCTCAATCTTATTCCCACAACAGCCCTGTGAGGTAGGTTGGGCTAAGAGTCTGTGACTGGCCCAGGGTCACCCAAGCTTTCCCAGGCTGACGTGTGTGATTCTTTCCTCTCCTCTCGCAGCAGATGTCGAGCGAGTGATCGGCTTTGCCTCCGTGGATCTCTCCCCACTCCTCTCTGGCTTCCAGGTCGTGTGTGGCTGGTACAACATCACGGACTTCAGCGGGCAGTGTCAGGGGCAGATCAAGGTCGCTGTCTCCCCGCTTGAAAGCATCCTCCATCTCAAGGAAGAGAGGCAGGCAAGGAGCCGGACGAAAGCGCCAGGATCGGCCGTGCGTGTCTTTCCCCGTTGCTGCACTGGGTTTTCGATGGCTGGCAAAATGACGACGAGTATTTTGTTTTTGCTGCTTAGGAGGAACTCTTAATACTTAAGAGTATTTCGTTTTTGCTGCTAGAAACCCTTGCTCCCTTGTAGTCTCTCTCACTGAACTGCCAGGAGCTTTGCTTAGGAATATGCCTGTTGCTCCTTGGCCCATCGAGCTCAGTCTTGTCTGCTTCAGGAGTGCTGAACGCTTCCATCCCAGGGGCTAAATTCAGATTCAGGAAAGCTCTCGGGGGTCCCTGTACCAGTGATGGGCGGGGCTGGGAAGAGCTGGGAATTGTAGGAATGTTCTGCCTAACGTGGGCTGGATCGCACCTTGAAGCCCTCACTGCAAGTAACTGAGCCCACGGACAGGCATTTCAGCCATTTGGCATGAGAAAGAATCTGGACAAAACTGCAGCCCCCAAATTATGGCGGTCAAGGGCAGGAGGTGTGTTGTCTGAGGAACACGGGGCAGGCCACACTGGGACCTCTCTGGCGTATTCCTTCTAGCGTCAGGCCTCCTTTCCCAGCCCTCCTCCTGAGTGAGAACTGTGGTCTGTCTGACCGAGCGCTTCCGCAAACTGTCTCTCCCAGCCCCGTTGTCTGAGATCCTGTCGCAGATGCCACGGGTTGGACCTTGGACCTTCCATGTGCAGGCCGTGGGCTCTGTTGACACGAGCTGACAGCTCAAATGATCCAGGAATAAATTGTCTTCCTGCCAGTGTGCTGTGATTGTACTTTCAAAAGGGGAAGCATCCATCTGGAAGTGTTACTCTGTTCCCCAGTTAGTGATGGACACAGGAAGAAAGTGTTTCATGCCTGCCTGTGTCTGTTTCTCTCTTGCAGCTTCCCAAGCTGGATCCTAGTAAGGCCCATTTAAAGTAGGCATCTCAACTGTTTTGCAGATTCCGGCCTCAAGCCCTTTTGCGCTCCACGTGGCGTTCCCCGCCTTCGCCACACGAAGTAGCGAGATGCTTTTTCCCTCTTCCTTGAAGGGCGCAGATGCTGCCGGTCATGCAGGGTGAGCGGAAGTGGAGGCCCACGGCCTTTCCAAAAACTTGAGAGGCCATCCGGGGAGTGGCACGATGACTGTGCCGTGGCTGCTGCTTCAGTCCATCCAGAATTCATTCCCCTGTGGGGCTGTGACATTTCTCCAACACGCCAAACGTCAGCATCCCGGAACTGGGAAATCGGAGTTCCCCTTCTCCTCCGTCCTCAAACGCCACCTTGCCCACCCTGGTGCCTCCAGGTATGCTCAACTGTCACTCCCATCTTCTGCCCATGGCCCTTCCAGTGGCTGATGGCAGTTGTGGTCCAACATGTCTGGACGGCACCACGTTGGGGAAGTTGTTCTAGCGCATTAATTGATGTCCTTCATGTGGTGTGCAGTGTCACTGCAGGAGCGTAACGGGGCACCGATTCCCCAGTGCCTTTGGCCCCACTCATCACTGACTGCCCAGTCGAGCGCTCCACCCTCTCCGGAGCTACACTGTCCTGCAACGTATGCATCCTGTGTGTGTGCAAGGACCTCGGTGCTTAGCTATTTTCTAAAATTTTATTTAGTTGCACATTCCACCCCTCCAGGGCAAGACCACTTTCCTATTTTCTTCCTAACAAAACAAAACCATAAAGAGGCATTTTCCCACACAATAACCCCCAGCAGCAAAATTGGAATGCGATTTCACAGACCTCTTAACCCAGGGCCCACCTGTTCCTGCAAATCAACATCCCCAGCAAGCCATGGCCAGCTCCAGGGCCACACTGAGAGACAGGAGGAAGAGCGCCGGCCCAAGAATACTGAGCAGTGTGTCTTCCTTCGCAGAACGGGGTCTTCCCGGCCCTGGATGCCTCGTCACGAAGAGCACGTGCAGAACATCCGCCAGTTCCATGAGTCACTGCAGCAGGCAGAAGGGACCACTAGCCAAGTGGGGAGGCTGGACTCGCTGTCCCATTCCTCACGCAACTCCCTTCTCAGGACACTCAGGTAATAGCGCCTTAACCACTGCAGAAAGGCGAAGGGCAAGCAGAAATACCAGACTGGCAGTGGCAAAGCTGCTAACGTCAGGTTACCTAGCTGAATTTTGTTTCGTAGCACACACAGGCCTCCCATAATTTTATGAAACGGGGGTACGTAAAGAGCAATTAAGGCATGGGTTATGTGGTAATGTTCCCATGCAAACAACTTTACACGTGTAGCGTTTATCATAATTAACATAGAAATATTGGAATTCTTGTGTAAATGCTTCTTCTTGAAAGTAACAAAGAAATAGATTTTTGTATTTGTTCTCCAAAATGTGCCAAGCTCTAAACTGCTCAGAGGTTGCCTCGAAGCTGGGAGTTCTTCCTGGATCCCAGATTTCTTGGACTACAGTGACTCTCTCATTCCTTTTCCAGACTTAGCTGTATTGGGTCAGTGGGAGAGGAAGAGGTCAGGGATTGGTAAGTGACTGGTGCAGATGGAGAAGAGAAATGAGGCAACCAGGATGGCTGGATTCCCTCCCACCCTTAATACCCAGGGGGGAGTGTCTGTCTGCTTCTTTATGGCCAAGCAGAACCGCAAAGGAATTTACAAGCTCAATTCCAAAAAGCAAATTTCAAATGAATGTTGAAGACAGTCAGCTGCTATATGAGCATAAGATTAAAACACTGATTAACTTTCCCCATCCTGGTGTCCTCCAGATGCATTGGACTAAAGCTCCCAGCATTCTCCAGCCAGGGTAGGAAAAGCCGCACATGCTCTGTTAAGCAGGAGGGCACAGGTAGCGGTACGATAATGAATTCCATCCACTGTATCCACCCAGCACTCCCAAAGTTCTTGTGAAATTAAAGATCTTTGTCACTCCCGTGAGGACAAATGAGAGCACACCACCTTCTGGGCTCGTCTGAGTGGAGGGAATTCCATAAATGCACCTGGAATAGGTAACTGATGAAATTTGCCTGTGTCTGAAAGCTACACATCTAATCAATGAGCACTGCACCGAAGGCTCTCAACAGTATGACAGAGATCCAATTTGTCTTGGACATTTCTTCCAGGAAAAACCTGAGTGAGCTGGATGAGATTCAGAGGTACTTCCATCAGAAGTTGACCAAGCCTTATCCCGACGTAGGTCCTTCCGGTAGAAACCTAGATGACCCTGGTGCCAGGACGGTGGACCCAACAGGTCGCCATCTCTTGGCCAAGTCCAACCATCTTGTTTCTCAAGTCAGCAGCCTGCTTGTTGGTGAGTTGAACTATTTGAGAGGGGGGGGGGGCAGGCAACGGAGCGTGCCTTTCCTCAGAGCTGTGCGAGTGGCTTCGGAGGACCCTCGTCAGGCAGAGAAGCTGCTGCAGCCACACACAGAAGCCTGGCGGGGGCCCCCGGACGGACAGGGCCACAGCAGGGCCCGTGGCAGAGAAAGCTCCGGGCGGCGTGGGGGAGAGATGCGCCACCGCCCAGGGAGGGTAGCGATACAGCAGGGCAATTTCGAATCAGGTGGAGCCGGGTAGAGGATAGGAAGGACACACCAAGTGCCCATCTGTCCCTCCCATTCCTGCCCACCCCCCTTTTTTTACTGTTGCATCCGAATTGACCCTGAGAAGGGGTCTGAGGAGGGAGGCGTGGGTGTCGGCACAGGCCGCCTTACCACTCGGAGGCCCCCGCACACAAACACGAGCACGCCCGCCCGCCATTTGCTCCTGTTTTGGCCCTTCCCACCATCGCTCCCCCCCTCCCGTTAAGAGGGCAGGGCCGCTTGTCTTGGGCTTACGCACAACCCTCTCCCAAGCCTGCCTGCCTGCCTTGCACACGCCTTCTCCCAGCCCAGAAGTGAGGCCCTGTTTTGGACAAGGCTCCTTTAGAGACGGCCCCCAACAATGTTTGCCTTTCCTGGTTTCTTGCTTTGCTCTTTTGGCCACAACAGCTTCCCAGGACGTTTCCCCTGCGGACCTTGTGTCGTGCGCTCGCTGTTCCCCATGGCCTTTTCATTTCCCTTTTAATCTTGCCCTCAGCTGAGGTGTGTCAGTTTTATGATACACAGAGGAAATGAGGCTTCGCCCAGGCACTGCCTAGAACGCTTCCTCCTCCCCCAGGTAGATCATGACGTGGCGGGATGCCTTAGTATCACTGGCCAGCTTCCAGGCACCCCAGGCCTGGCATTTCCCCTTTTCAGGTAGATGGGTGACGTTTTGCTTCGTTGTCTTTTCACCACAACGCCTTGTTCTTCGCGTCACACACCGGCTGTGCCCCAGTGCGAAGCCTCTTTCGGGAAACCCTTATAGCTGAGGAATTGCGGGTGGGAACCCTCCCCCAGCCTCCGTGCACACCCCCTGACAGGGTTCCAGCCGCCCCCCTCCGAGGGTTCCTCTTTGCCCACCTTTGTGGCTGCTTCAGGGAAGCGTCTCCCGTCCTTTGGGCCACAAACTCCTGTTTAGACGGTCTCGTCCTCTCTTTCTGGCCGCCTCTTTTATTCTACCCACTTTTTTGCGCTTCTCCATGCAGTCGTAGCATATATGGCCCCAGAGGCTCCATTTCTGTGTGCTGCAGGAGCTGCCACCTTCCGGCTGCTCGGCGCCCCTTCTCCCTTTTAAACAACGGGCCATTCTTTGGCATGAGATCTGTCCCCTAGCAGCCCCACATCCTTAGGACCCCGCCCTGGCGCTTTCCAAGAGTGCTTGTCTGGCCGTGATTTGTGTTGTCGGATCCAACAGATTTGACTGTGGGGTGCTATAGAAAGGCAGTGAATTAACAACACTGAGCCACCCCGATCAGAGCTCTTCTCTCAGGTGGGTCTGCTAGCTGGACCTGGCGGCGCTCAGGCTGAAGGCTCGGAGGACAGATCCGTGGCTCAGTGTCTGGATCTCCGCAGGCACCTCAGACTCTTCAGGATGCTTCCAGGAAAGCCCCGTGCCCCCAAGTGGGCCTCTTTCAAACGCTGGTCCAGGCCAGGAACTTGTCCCCTTCACACAAGTTCTACACTTTCTTCCTGTGTGAAAGAGGCATCAAACGGTCGGCTTTGCACGTTCCTCTCGCAGCCATCTCTGCTTTTTCGTACACCAGTGGGCAGCTCTTTGGTTTTCTCCCATCCTGTGCCCCAGCACTTCACTGAGGAAGTTCAGAATGTTTTGCCTCCAGTTAGAACTCCAGTCCCGCAATGCAGCTCATCTCTCTTGCTCAAGTCACTGGCAGCCAGACCGTTTGAGCCGCAAATGGTTTCCTCTTTGCAGTGATCATTTTAGCCCACAGCTCTAGGGAACTTTGTGGCCTCACAGGCAATCCTCCCTCAGTGACATTCCACAGAGATAACATTATTCCCTGCCCAAATATTTCCTTCCTTTTGAAGGTCATCACTGGCTTCCGTTTAATTGAAGATGTGGTGTCGGCAGCTTTTCGCCCACCTCTGCTTTCAGTGGTGGAGAAAGTTCCCCACACATTAGACAGTCGGAGAGCATCAGCATTCTGTTGATCTGGGACAGCCTTACTTGCTCTTGCATCATATGAGGGAAACGAAAGGGTAGCCTCTTCCTTCTCAAGGGTCGCATTGCAGGTCGTGCAGAACATTAAGTCTGCGCACGAGTAGCCAATTGCCTGGTGCAGGTGAGGAGCATGAGCCACGTTGCCCGTCTCTGCTTGGCTCGTGAGTGGATTGTTCCGCTGCTTCTGCATCAGGAGGCAGCCCAGTGTGTCTCTGCCTGGCTGGTTGCTCTGGACTTGCTTTTTCCTAATCTGCAGTCATGTAGAGAAGAGCCGCTCTGTAGAAAAATCCAGCAGATGGGCAAATTATTTCGCTTCACAACTCAGGAAGCAAATTTATTCAACTGTTAAGAGCGCAGTGTATTCCAGCTAAAATGTCTAACCCGAACCCTAAGCTATGCTTAGTGCTAGTGAAATAATTGGGGGTACTCCTGGGAGGGGCTCTTTGCCTCCAAGGCTGGCTCCTCATTTTCACACCACCTAATCACAGAAATGTCTTTCACTCATTCTTTGCATTTGAGCACCACACAATTATTATTTATTGCATTTATACCCCGCCTTTTCCTTTCAAAGAACTCAAGCAGCTTACATCATTCTCCTCCTCCATCTAATCCCCACAACAACAGCCCTGTGAGGTGGGCTGGGCTGAGAGCCTGTGTCTGGTCCAGAGCCATCCTGTGGGTTAGGGTTGGGGTTAGACTAGGGTGTGGGGACTAGAACCCAGGTCTGGCTCCCAGTCCTGCACTCCTGGCCACCACGGCACACGGGCTCTCAGTGGCAGTGGCCTTCTTGGCCTGTTTCAGACACGCATGCACATTTCTTTGTCTTTCCCCCCCTCCTCCTTTATTTGAATAATGCATCTCAGCTGCGTTCCACCCTCAGACCTTCAGAATAATATGAGAAATGCCGAAGAATCTGCAAGTGCTCGCGGAGATGGTCGCAGATCCCTGAGCGCCAGTGACTCCCTTCGTGGTGTTCTGGACCAGAGCAAGGGTCCTGCCGGGAGCAAGGTGTCCCAAGCTGAGCCGAGGAAGGAACCCGCAAGAGCGTGCGTCGACCAAGGGCCTTTGTGCCCCCTTGTGAACTCCCCTTGCGGAAGAGGCGAGCCGTACGAGTTCCTTGGCCAAGGCGACTCGCCGAGCGGCCCTCCGTCGCCCACACACTGCCACCAGCAAGCAGAGGACACGGCCGAGTCCCACAGTGAGGGCGAGTACGACGAGGACATCATCGAGCCGAGGACTCTGAATGAAATCACTGTCGTGACTGACAAAACCAGCCCCTGGTCCAGCGTTCTGTCCGAGCCGGAGGGAGACCAAGAAGCAGAGGTGGCCAGGGGCACGGAACCGCCCGAGGGCAGTCTTGAAGAGGGCAGCGCCAGAAGCAGCCCCTTGCCCAGCGTGCCCCAGGAAGGTCCCCGGAGCACGGCCGGCACTGCCAGGCCCAGAAACGTTCCCTCTAAAGAAGGGAGCGACCCCTGTGTGGGAAGCCAGCACCCTGACGATGATTCGGGAGAGCTGCTTCAGCCTGCAGCCATCTCAGCTGCAGATCAGCCGAAGGACGGGCCCGGAGAAGGCCAGAGTCCAGATCTGGAAGGAGCGCTGGAAATGCAGAGCAAATGGGGTGATGGAAGGCCCTTGAGGCCAGGTCATGGTGGTGGAGGCTCTGCTACCCCTGAGGCCGTTGCTCCAGAGACGGAGGAGGGAAGGGGGGCTTCACTTGGTACCTCCCAGGCTGAGGAAGAAACCAGTTCAAGGGGTGAGAGGCATCAGCCTTGCCCCGAATTTCTGGATGCCGCGCAGCAGAATGGAAGCTGCCCTGACGAGAGTCACCGAGACCCACCTGCAGAGTCAGATGAGCTTTCAAAGCCCAGTGTGGCGCTGTATCCTTTTTCATCCGTCCAACTGATCCAGCAGCCTTGCCCTGAATAAACAGTGGAACCCTGCCATGCGGTCTCTTCCTATCATGTGACCCCATCTTGCCGGGACTGGTAGGAGAAGACCGATGCTCTCCAAGGCCCGCCCCACAGTGTGACCTCGTGTCCCCCAGTGGAAATGGCTTCTCAAGCACGGCATCCCTCTCAGCAGCTCCTTAGCCACAGGGACTGGATGCGGGCAGAGTGTCCTGGTGGGGACACACACACACACACACACACACACACACACACACACACTTAACCATCTAATGCACTCGCATCCACGCGTAGTGTATCAGCAGAAAACATTAGTGATGTCAGGCTGAGGCAGTTCAAACAGCAGTGCAGCCAGGATCCCTCAGGACCAGACGTCCAAGGTGGAGGCTGATGCACAGGCTCCGCACCAGGTTTGAAAGGGGGCAGAGCAACCATAGATCCGATTTATCATTTCCCTGCAGTTTCAGGTTAAAGCTCACGTCTTAAGTCTCTGGTTAGCCTTGACATGTCTTCTTGCAAACACTGCCACTGCGATCAGTCAGTAACAGATGCCGTGCCTTTCGTAATGGCTGGCAAGACCTGTCCATCCCCCTTTCTAGTTTTTACTAGGTCTTGCCCTTGTGTTCCCTGGGAGTAAGGCTGTGTGGCTTCACATGCGCACACCTTCCACCAGTCCCCTTAAGACTCCCCACCCATGAGCCATCTCTCTGCTGAGGCCTTAAACTTCCACAGCCCGTCTTCAGAGCAGTCTGTCGTCAAGGTTGCCATTTCCTTTCGGACAGTGCCAGCTTGGCTGCTATGTTCATGCCTTCTGTTCGCGTGCAGAAGGTCCCGGGTTCAGGCACTGTGGTCACCAAAGGTCTGGGAGAATGGCTGTCCCTGGTGTTGCTGGGTGCCACCCAGTCGTCTCAGATTTATGGCGACCCTGTGAGTGGAAGCCCTCCAGAACGTCTGCTCCCGGGCAGCCTGCTCAGCACTGGAGTTGTCATCAGGAGCTGGCAGTATTGCGCTGTGTGGGCCAGGTGTGAGGCAATGGGTTGTGTTCGGCTCTGCCGGCATCTTCACCTGGCTAGAGCACCTGTCTTCCCTGCAGAAGGTCCTGGGTTCAAGGAGCGGGTAGGAGAAAGGACCAGGGAGCAGGAGCTGAGAAAGCCTTCTCCACCGGAACCTCCACCAGCCACAGCAGGCGGGACTTGGCTGGAATAGCAAGAATCTGGCCTGGCTGCCCGAACCGGGAGCCATAGCGCTCGTCCAGCTAAGGGGGAAGAGTGCAGGACGCCCGCACACACGCACACTCGCACGAGGAAGGGGGCGAGTCTGCTGCAGGGGTGCAGACCGTGGTGGACTAACGGGGGGCACGCTGAACCCCAAATAGGCAGCCACATTCGGCTCCGGAGGGGAGGAGAAAGTGGGCTTCCTGAGAAGTGCAAAGTCACCGCGAGCTTTCCGTGCCCTAAACTTGTGCCCTAGGGCAGCGCACCCAGCCCTGCACAACCCCCGCTCCTCCAGGGGGCCCAAGTAGAACCGTGGCTCAGCCTAAGCAATCTGCGCTCCGGCAGGAGCATTTCTTCCTTGACTCGGCCCCTCAGATCGGACCCGGTTGTGGTCCCGAACTTCTTCCTTCCTCCACAACACCTGGAGGCCTCCATGAGAATGCTCAGTGTTTCTTCTGCCTCACTGGCCACTGGCAGAGTAAGTAGGGCCAGCTTGTTATGCTTCCTCCGTGTTTAAGTTGGCGCACAGACAGAAAGCCAGAGGGCAGGGCCGTTCCCAGAGTTACACTTGGTCTCCCAAGGTACGCCAAGCCAGCCCGCCAGAGGCCTTACCTGGCAGGGCCTTGCCCATCCAGCAATTCTGCCGTTGCATCACAGCAGCCTGGGGCTCAGTGCCAGGTGCAGGATTTCGCTCCCAGAGAACATCTTTTAAAAGCAACGCCCAGGAGGTGGCTTTAAACGGCTGGGTTACTTCTAGGAAGTGTGGCCCTGCGGGCAAGCACACAGGGTTTCCACCCGTCCAGGAGGTGCTGGCTCCTTGCCCGGAATCATGCGGGAGAAACCAGCATGTCCACGTGGGCTTCTAATTGGGCAGAAGAGCTTGGTGGAGGCTTCTTGCAAGGGGGCAGAATACTTCTGAGTGCCGCTTCCTGCAGAACAGCCCTCCTTGCCTGCTGGCGGGCTTCCTGGGGCACCAGGATGGCTCCGGTAGAAACCAGAGGTGGGACTCACTAGCTCCTGAACCTCAACCTGCAGGACACCCGCTACTTCTTTAATTGTGTACAGTTCAGACTGAAAAGAGACTTAGACTCCCAACGTTCCCCAGCGTATTTTATTGGTCTAGACTTGAACAGGATTTGTCCAAGTTGGGGTTTTCTTGACCTGGAGTGCTATAGCATGGTAGTGCAGGGTGGAATGAGGGAAACTGGGGAGGGGGGTGTGGGGAGCCGGTTTGTGGGCCCAGCCTTTGGAGCTGGGATGGCCCCAGAGCACAGCTGCGAATGGCACCCGAGCGCTTGTCCACCGCCCACTTGGACAAGCACCATCGCCGCAGTCCTGCTTCTGGAGCATGTGTCAGGGCAGGAACGACTTCCTGAGTGGGAGCTGAGGCAGGGGGAACTGTGGATGAGAGATCAGCGAGTGAAATTAGGATGGGCAACTCCCAAAGCTGGGATTTTGCTCTTGCGTCTTCTGGCCTTGGCAGGGGGCATCGGCTTAACAAATGAGCTTACAACGCAAAGCCTCTGAGAAAGGCGGGTCGTTAAAGAAGCACACACTTGCTTCTTCATGAATCACTGTTTACAAATGATACGGCGAGACACATTGGGTCATTCATTTATAAACTCATTTCGAGATGCTTGTAAAGGGGATGTTGGCTTCTTCGGAAGAATTTTCCTTAAAGCATCAGGTGTTTTAGTTTTTTATAGCCTGCCTCCTAAAGTTGTTTATATTGACCCCATAAATCTGGTACCCGGTGTAAGTTTCACTGTGCATGACAAATTGGCTGCCACTCCTGGCAGCCACGTGTCAGATGGATCAGTTTCCCCCCTCCTCTGACCTATGGAGGGAACCAGCGCATAGAAAACATTTCCATCAGAGGGTGCATCTTGTTTGTAAACCCAAAGCTACACCCATAAACCCCGGAGGTTCCAATAATAAATGACGCAGTCACAGGATTTCCTTGACAGGCATTTCTGGATTTTGAAATGGTGAAAGAAAAGGGCAGGATTTGGGAAGCGAAAGTGCACAGTCACTGGATCAGGAGGGGTCTGGTGGGTGGATCGGTTCCGTCTGCCTGTGGCAGGATTTGAACTCTGGTCCAATTCATGGAGCATCATGCTGACTATGAAGTCACTGTTCAAGAGATCACGTTAGAATTTTTCAAGGTAACGGTGAGATTACTAAGGGATTAAGGTAGGGGTTTTTAAGGTGATCCTTCCCCGGATGCAGGAACTCCTGCTTGATGGAAGGATCCGCGGCCAGAGCAACAAGAGCTCTGCATTCTTGCAGGTGGTCCAGGGAAGGTACCCCTGCGGCACAGCATGCGTCCAGCGCTTCACCTGAAGTGGAAAATACTCCATAGGTCTGTTTCTCCTAGGGAAGATCCCCCGGTTCTCAAAATGCCGTGGTTTGTAAGATAATGAACAGTATTATGCCTGGCAAGTCCACACTGCCGCATTGGTCGCCACTGGGGGGGAAAGGCCCTTCAGTTCACCAAGCACTTTCCCCTCCACTGAGTTAAAGTAAAGAGTGACAGCTTAAACGGTAATTTAAGCTTTCTTTGTAATCTCTGTTAGAGCCACTGCTGCCCCGTCAGCCAAGGTCGCTGTCCGACAGGCAGGATTGTCACAGCTCCCTCGGCATTCTTGGGAATAAATGAGCTTGCCCAGGTGAATCCCTCCCTTGCACGCCACACCTGTCGCATCCAATCTTCTTGGTCCTCTGAGCTGCCTGATCCTCCAGGAGTGACGTCAGACACAAGCGGGGTTGCTCGCTGTCTCTCGCGCGCGGTGCCCAGGCAGTCCTCCCTCTTATCTTAGGGGGAGCTAAACCCGGCCTCTGATTTCTCCTTCCTGGTTTTTCAGAGAAGGGGGAAAGGGTGCATCAATGCAGGGTCTTGAGACTTCATAGGCAAGCGAGAGATCTGGGGGAAACACTTTGCAATCGGTGCCAGCCGTTTGCAAGATGCTAGCGAGAGGGTGTGTCTCTGGATCAGAAGCTGCTGCTCCACAGGCCCCTACGGTCATCCCGGCCGGGTCAGGTATTAACTGGCCCTCATGTTTCCATCCTAAGCTGAACTGGGCCAAGCACTTTCCTTTGGCAGGGAAAGGGGCCAACAAGATGCGGTGTCAGAGGGAGCTCTGGAAACTATGCAACGCAGGGGCGTTTGCGGCTGCAGAATGAAGCCTGGCTGGAGCAGGGCGTGAAGGAAGCGGCTGGAAAATTCCTCCCTCTGGGGCCACGAACTCTCTGCATTTCAGTGTGTTTAATTTGCTCGGCAAGCACCTGATGCCTTCGCATTTCGGGCTGGAGGGCAACGGCTGCCCCTCCCCACTGAACTGCGCGGAGCCGGTGCAGCAGCGCCCCTGGGAATTGCTCTTCTGCAGGAGAAGGCAGCCCCTTGGCACCCTTCTTGCCCACAAGGACGTCTTGGAACGGCACAGCTTCCGTTCTTGGGCTCTTCTTGCTAGGTCGGATTTGGCCCACATGCGCTCTGAGGCTGGGGCTCTGCTGCTGTCGGGAATTGGCCCATGGGGGAAATCGGACCAGCAGAGCCCTTGCCTGCCCCTCTGGCCGTGCCTGCCCGGCCTGGGGGCTCGCAGGCCCTTGCATGCCATTCCCCATCTGGACGCTTGAGAGCTGGGGCCAGGAGCCAGTGCTTGGGAGCTCCCGGCCTCCCAGGAAATGGGCGTGACTTGAGCCCTGGCCCTCCCAGCCCACATGGCTTCCTTCAGGAACTTCTCACAACTGCGGCATTTGCACTGCGAAGGAGCAACCGCTTCCCCCTCGAACAGGCGTGTGAAACATCCCCTGCGCTGCTGTGCATTGCACCCTCAGCGCAGCAGGCAGCTGCCCCAGCTGGAGGCCGGCCAGCGACCTGTCTAAATGACCCAGAAAGAGGAGATCACGCTTCTGTACCAAGCCAGATCCCGGCTGCTCAGAGCAGTTCAGGGGTCGGCTGCTGAAATCAGGAGCAGGCCATGCCGAGCAGTTCTCCGGCAAGTCAAGATAGGGAAAGGCGGTGGGAGAGCCCTGCACAGAGGCATTTCGAGAAAAGGCTGAGTCGAGTCCGCCCTTCTCAGGTTGCGTATTATCACTTGCTGACTAAAGCAGGACGGCGGTCAAGGACGGAAGCGCTGAGCTGGCTCGCGCGGGTTGCACTTTCTGTCATTTTAGTGCTTTCAGCCGCGGTAGCTGCTACTGCCTGGAATTGCAGCACAGAGAAGGGATCGGCTGCCGTCTTGGCAACCCCCCGTGCGCTCTCAGTACTTCCGTGCCTGTACAGATACTTAAAAAGAAGACCAGTCAGGAGTGGCTGCAGTGTCTGAAATTGTCTAAACACGACTGCACTTCCTTGCAACCACAGAATTTGTGTGTGAGTGTTGTTGCTATGTGGCATCACGTCATCTCCGACTTAGGGCAACCCCGAGAGTGCCCTCCAGGATGCCCCATCCTCAACAGCCCCGACCAGCTCCTGTGAATTCAGGGCTGGGGTCTCCACCTCATAGCTGGCCTTCCCCTTCTCCCTCTGCCCTCGACCTCCCCTCGCATGGGGGTCCTCTCCAGGGAGCCTGGCTTCCCAGGATGTGCCTGAAGTACGGCAGCCTCTGTTGTGTCGTTTGTGTTTGTGGTGTGCCTGAACAAAGGGGAGAAATTAGTGTAGCGCTTCCCATATGTTTTTGCACAATTCTGCGTGTGTAATTCTTGCAAAGGGGCAGTGAAGCCCATTCCCCACCTGCAAGTGCAAAGCAGCAAGCAGCGCCAGGTTCCCCTGCAAGACATTTCCTTTTGGCAAAGCAAGTACTTTCGTGGGCTGCAAGCAGTAGCCTTAGCTCCCTTTCCAGGGGGCAGGAACAGCCCTGCTACTTTCACTTCCGCTTTGGGAAGGTCTGGTGACCACGTTCCTCCTTCCCACGACCCTGTTGCTCGACAGAAGAGGGGAAATGCTGCTGACTCCAGAGTCCGGGGTGCGGCACTTCAGGTCAGGCCTTGGAAGGCCTACTTCCGCTCTGCCATGCAAAAGCACACGCCCTTTTTAAGTGGGAGTGAGCGGGCAGCGGGCTCCCTCTTGCACAGGCCTTGTTGTGGAAGATGAGTGGGGCAGAGGGGTCTTTCAGTGGAAACAAAAATGCAGCCAATCCGACATCCTTTGTCGGATTGCATAGGAAACACCTGCAGGGGCTGGTCTGGGGCCCCTGGTCATCGAGGTTCTCTTTATGTTTGAAGTCACTTCATTTGATAGTGCAACTCAGTCAGGCAGAAGGAAACGATCTTGCTGGAAAGGCACTTAACCCTGAAAGCAAGGAGATACTAAACTGCAAAGAGCTGACCTGTGCCCCCAGCACATGAGCCTGGCTGCCTTCTATTTCAGGTGGGAACGGGTAGGGACGCCGCCGCCACCGGAATCCCTTGCCGAAGGGAGAACTGCGACAAGCGGCGCTTGACCCCGGCTCAGCTCCCAGAAGAGGAAATGAAAAGGATTGCCAAAATATTCTCAACACAATTCTCCAAAAAACCGTAGCAGAGAAGTCATGTATCGAGGAGGCCAAAGCGCATTGGCTGAAGCCGTGAAACTTCCAGCTGGGGCAGGAGCCGGACTTGCTTGTTTCTGAACACTTGTTTCCCTGAGCTGTGGGAGCTCAGAGCCAAGCCAAAAGCGAGTCTCACACCTGCGCAAGCCCGTCCTTATTGGTACAGTGGTTCTGTGCCCAACCTGAGAGGTCACCAAAGACGCTCACCAAAGACGCAACCCACCGCCTTTTCGAGCCATGTATGACAGCCACCTTTCCGGATCTGCTAGAAGGAGCCCCACAGCTAGCGAGGGAAGGCGACAGTTAGATCACAGGTGCCACCAGCAGGGAAGAGGTGCCCCCCCCCCCCCCCGGCCTGGCTCTGGGCCGCAGCTGCCATTGGGCCCCTCAGTTGCCACCCTCGGTGCTTTTGCCCCGCCTCGTATCCTGGGTTCCTGCCTTACTCGGGGAGCCTGGCGCCTCCATCCCGCTTGACCAAGTCAGAGGAAGGCCCTGAGCCGACGGGAAGGGGCACGCAGAAGCTGTCCTGGCCCGGCTCCCCAAAAGTCAGCGGCTGCACGGCCCAGGGCTCATTGGCCGGGTGGTAGGAGCCACGCTGCTCTGCCCCCAGGAGGGCCATGGAGGCTGCGGCAGGGCTTTCTCCACACAGCCAGAGCCACCTTCCCCGCTTGCTTCCGGGAGGGGAGGGATTTTATCTTATGTGGGGGGTCCAGGGGGGTCCCAGGGGGCCAACAGTGGCATCTCCCTCTCCTTCCCCACAGTTTTTTGGATTCTTTCTTCATTCCTTTTCCCACTTTCCTTTTTCAAACCACTCAATGAAGAAAATAGCCATTTGTATAGAATCTGTCTCCTGGGGAGAAAGGAGGCGGGAGATGAAGGAGTCACTTTGCTTTTCCTCCCTCACATTCCTTTGCGGCACAAACCAGCTTCCAGCCTTGAAGGGAGACAAAAAGGATTGTTGGTTCTGTGGCGGGCATTTGCCCACCTGGAGCACAGACCAGATGTCTGGGCAGATGCCCTCAATGGCATGAGGATGCTGCCTCCTAGACTAAGCTTTGCGGGGGGCGGGCATGGGTGAATTTGGAACAGTTTATGTAGCCAGGGACTGCGCCCTTCTCTCCAGGGCTGTCTTCTGCTTACGAGAGCGCATCGCGGGGACCTGTGCATGATGCACATTGCTAGGTCTGAACTGTGAATAGAGTGATAACCAGGGTGTGCTTTTAGCTAAATGCACCTGGCTTTGCAGATATAAATTATTCCTTTTACTGGTACTGTAATTCTCATTTAAGTCACTAAAAACATCACACCTTGAAAGGACATGGTCCCAAATGGAAACTTATTTGTAAATAGTTTGTTTTTTTGGTTTTGGTTTTTTACAGTTGTGATACTCTTTTGTACAATAAAGTACAATTTATATTTTTGTGACCTCGAGTCTATTTCTTTAATAAGTACATAATGGGCACTGGCCTAGGAAACTGTCCTGCTGGCTGAAGAAGGGATGGCGCTTCTTCACAGGAAGAGCGCCGCTGAATCAGGCCCGAGGCCTCTCGGAAGCAGAGTTGTGGTCCCACAGCCTGCCCCCTCCCACATGGTGGCTTCCTGGAAAAGCCGAGCATCCGGCACTTGCGCTCACTCACTCCATGGGGCCGGGGATGCAATGATGCCATCTGAACAACCACTCTGAGGGGGACAGCCTGTTTCACACACACTGCACACCGTCAGGCAAACCGGGCCTTGGCAACAGCAAAGGATGTTTTGCTGCCCCTGAAAACGGCCACACAAACGTCTCTTCAGCAACACAAAAGACTCTCCAACACTCGTTTAAAATATCACTGGCCTTCTTCCACAAGAAAGCTGTTAATTTCTGGGCCACACTCACTGCCTCTTCACGGAGAGGTACATTTTCTTCTATTTGTACCCAAGTGCAGCTGCTCTGTATATTCCCCCTGTTCTTTCTCCAACCTGCTCCTCTCCAGATATGTTGGATGCAACTCCCATCATCCCCAGACAGCATGCTCCAAATGGGAGTTCCAGGCACCATTCTGGGAAAGGCTAGCAGAGTCCCCCCTCTCCGAGGATCAGCGCCAGAGGCCCAAAACAGCCGTTCTCCTACCCTGTCTTTCAAGCCCCAATGGGAGGATGAACAAAGACTTTCAGCTCCCCAAAGGTGGAAGTTGGGACTGGATCTGCAGAAAACGGTGCTTATTTTCTAGCATTTAGAACCGCTGAAGAGAGGAATGATGCAGAACATCTTTTGGGTGCTTCCAAGTAAGAGCCAGAAAGAAGATTGCTCAAGCTCCATCATTTGAGTAACTCTTAAAAAGAAAAAGGAACCCATAAAACCACCCCTTCTCTTGGTTTACTCATCCATTCTGCAAGGGGTCTTCAAAAAGTTTCTGCACTTCTATATTTTATAAATAATTTTATATATATTTTTGCTAATAGCATTAAGTTGCTATGATGCTGGGAAAAACGCATCGCAAAGGAAGGTGACGTAGAAAAGCGATGTAATTTGTTTTTGAAATCCTTAATAGAGTTTTTAAAAAGTGCAGAAACTTTGAGGAACCCTCGTACATTAATACCAAACTTTCACCTTATAGCAAAGGGAGAAGGTCATAGACTTAGAGCTGGAAGGGACCTTAGAGAACATCAAGTCCACCCCCGCTTGGTGCATGCACTGCCGCGGAGGATGCGACCGCAGCATCCCAGCTGGCTGATGGCTCAGCACTTGCTTAAATACATAAAACGAGAGAGAGAGGGCCATACACCTCCTCCAGCAAGCTGTCCCACCTGCAGGGAAGTTGGGAAGTTTCTCCAAATGCACAGCTAAGACCTGCTCGCGACGTCTTACTCACTGGGGTCTTGTCCTCCGGGGGAAAGGGGCCAGAGGGTGTTGTGGCGAGTTTGAAGGGCTCCAAGACCACCCCTGCAAAAGGGGTGGAAAAGCTCGATTCCAGAGACAGTGCGCTGCAATTGAACCAAATAGCCATCTCTGCAACCCCAGCATCCCCTGCCTTTTGTCATGCTGGCTGGGGAAGGTGGAGGGTGTAGTCCGACAAGCTGGGAGGACTGCAGCCATGGTGGAGTGGAGTCTCTAGGGTGTGTTGTTGTATTAACCTTGCTGGATAATATTCCAGGCCCTGGAAGCTACATAAGCGCCATTAGAATGCAGTAATAAAGTTGTGGTTTTCCACATGCCCGGAAGCACAGGCTGCTTCTATGGGAAAAGCCCTGCTGGATCAGACCCAGGGATCCTGTGCAAACCGTGGCCATCCAGTTGCCCTCGGGAAACCCAAAGGAGACTGGAGCACCACAAGGCCTTCTTGGACGTAGATGTGACCGTGTAAATCCGCCTTCCTCCAGCCCAGTGTCTCAGGCTGAGGGTAACCTGGCCCCCTCCAGATGGGTTGGAGTGCACATCTGCTGGCTGGGCATGATGGGCGCTTCAGTCCAGCACATCTGCAGGGCACCAGAGTGAGGAATGGCCCCTACAACAGATGCGCATGATGCAGCCATGGAAAACGCTTTGCCCATTCAAAATGCCACTGGGACACTTGGCAGCACCGCGGTGCCCCTTTGGCCGTCCTTGGACCTCTTCCATGCGCAGGCACATTGTCCGAGTTCCTCACTTCTCGCTCCTGTACAGCTGGGACAATGCAGCGATGTCAGTTTGCTGCCGCGGATTGCGGAGACGATGCTAACATAACTCGGGAGTTCCATCAACAAGTGACGCACTTCCCTGAACTGGCTGCCCCAGACACCCGATAAGGAGTTTGTGGGCCAAGCCCTGAACCCACAGTTTTATGCCTTTAGACTGTGAGGCCCTGATCCAAAGAGCACGCTTGCAAAACTGTTCCTGGCAAAAGGAAGCGGTGCTCTATTTACACTGAGAAATGCAATGATGTCATTAAAAGCCATGCATCTTCCTCCCCCTCCTCCTGCATTCGGTGCCAGCTGCAAACTGAGAGCACAAGCCGTTCCTCATGTGGTCGTTCTCTGAGCAAACGGTAGGAGTGGGGAGACAGCAAACAAGAGAAAGTGAGAGCTATTGACGGATCTCCTTATTTATAGCTATATTTAGAGTAATTGCTCCAGGTAATCATTTAGAGACCATAGATTATCAGCTGAAGCCAAAACTAGGGCACATCAAAGCTGGCAAAAGCCCAGAAGGAGAACCTGTTATAAAGTTAGAGTGGGAGCTAAATATCAGGAAGGAAATCCAACAGGAACTGATCACTCCAGCTGCCATGCTCAAACAGATTCCCAGTTTCCAATAAACCCAATAAACCCAGGCTTAGAAAGTGGGAAAAGAGTAAGACTGGGCTTGACAAAGGTCTCTGTGCAGGCCTCGCTAGTGGAAGGACCGAGTGAAGCTGGCTACGGCTTGAGCCCAGGGCAGTCTCGGGTTTTACAGCTACAGAGATGCTCACAGAAGGAAGCTCAGGAGAAGCGACACCCCGAGTTCGAGAGTCCACGCCATTGCCTAGTTTTAAATCACCCACAAAACAATCGGCCTTCCAAAACACAGCTCTTCGCCCGTCGTCCACCCACGGTCTGTTCCCACCCGCCACAGCCGCATCCATTGTGCTCGCCACTGAACAGAACAGAACATTTCCACGTGTAGGAGGAACAACGGACGATTCGGGTTCCCAGTCACTGGAAGCCGGGGAGGACCAGGTGTGCAGCCGCCCGCTCCCCACTTTTCAGGCAAGGCCCTCCAGTCAGATGGGCTGCAGCAGCAGCTGGATCGTGGTGCCCAGGGCTGTGCAAGGAGGCGGGCCCGGGTGCGAGCCAGTCTTCCCAGTGCGGGGTGCCCAGTGAGGAAACAGGTCAGCATCCGTGGCCTTGTCTGCACACAGGTGTGCTAGGCCACCCTGTGAGCAGGTAACTGCTATTTACTGATCTCTCTCTCTCTCTCTCTCTCTCTCTCTCTCTCTCTCTCTCTCTCTCTCTCTGTGTGTGTGCGCGCGCGCGCGCGTGCGTGCGTGCGTGCACGCCAACCCAGCTAGGGCTGTGCAAGGAGGCAGGCTTGCGAGAAAGCCAGGGTTCGGCATGTGAAGTACAAGTTAAGCAAGCATGCGAGATCCGCGACGGGGCCCGATGGCCGGGGCAGAGAATTCTCATCATCGGTAATGGTTAACAGTACACTAGTAACTAAACTAAACTAAACTAAAGTAAACTAGGAGGCATGTCTACCTCTTCTTGTAAAAAAATGTGGTTTTTCCAGAGAAACAAACCCAGTAAGCCAGTGGGGTGTGGTGGTTAAGAGCATGGGACTGGGACTCAGACGATCCGGGTTCGAGTCCCTGCTCAGCCATGGAGCCCACTGGGTGACTTTGGGCCAGTCACAGACTCTCAGCCAACCTACCTCACAGGGTTGTTGTTGTGGGGATAAGATGGAGGAGGGGCATGATGTAAGCTGCCTTGAGCCCTTTGTAGGAAAAAGGCAGGATATGAATTGAAAAATACATAAAAATAAAGTAATAAGAATTCAACCCATTTACCGAGGGCAAAGCCAGCAGAGGTGTGAGGGCCACCCAGCGGACTGCCTGCCACACTCTGCCCTCTGGATGCGTGTCCATCGCAGCGAGCTTCTGGCGGCTGGGGAACACGTTCCTGATGGCCAAGAATGCTGTCCTGGAGAAGCAAAGAGGGGACCTCCCCAGAGGGGTCCGCCTGGCACCGTCGTTATTTGTTTTTCGGCGCCAGGCTAAGACCTTTTTATTTAAAACTTATTTTAATTGTTAAATTATTGAATTAATTAGGATTTTAACATTTTTAGCCGAGAATGCACTGGGGTTTTTAATGTTTTTTTAATTGTTATATTATTATTATTTATATATGTTTTTATGTATTCTTTGTGAGCCGCCCCGAGGCTTTGTTGCGATGGGGGCGGCATAGAAATGTTTTAAATAAATAAGATTAGCTGATGAGATCTCAGAGATCACATATCAGGGCCCCAATTCCTGGGGTGGCAGCAACTCTGCTGTCATGGGGCCTTGATGAAGGAAGGTGTCATTCCAAGCAACCAGTGAAAGGTGAGTTACAGGTGAGTAAAATGGTAAAATGCCTGCTTTGCAGGCACAAGTTTTCTGGTTAGTCGCTGCCACGCCCTTCCCCAGCCAGGTGCCACCTGGATGTGTCGGCCCACAATTCTCATCATCTCTATGGGGAAGGCCGGAGCCATAGTTCGAAACATCCAAAGGGCACCGGGTTGGAGAAAGCTGCTCCAGCATCTTCTGCTGCATGGCTCAAGCAGCAGGTAGCAGAGGGCTAGGGTTCAGATCCTGCTATTTACTCCGAGGGAAACGCATGCGAGCCCAGACTCAAGTCCTCTTAAAGCCAGAATCTTGCTCCATGGTTTTCTGCATGCTCCATGTCAAAGACAATTCCGAGCTTCCCTGCACATCAATCCGGTCTGGCTACAAGGGTGTGAAAAACAGACATGTTCCATCCAAAGGGAAAATGTGGCAGTGGGACCGGGGCCCCTTCCCCCGGTCTGCCAGGGGACACGGCACGTCAGAGGCACCGGCACCGCGAGGAAGGATCGCTCTTCCCGGGGGGCCGGAGAATCCTCCCTTTCGCCTACTTACCCGGCCGGCTGTGCCCACCAGCTGCTCCCGCGTGCGCCGTCAGCACACCGGGCAATGCGAGCTATTAAGGGCAAAGGCCACACAAATCGAGTTACTCCCTGAAGTCCTGGGGGAGCCCTTCTCCGCCTGAGCCCCGGCCTGCCCGTCTTGCTCCGTTTGCCGGAGCCGCTTTCCAAAATAGCAGAAGCAGGTGTGCCACAGCGACCCCTCCTTGAAGTCCAAATTCCTGCAGTGCGTCAAAGGCTATTTTTGATGCGCCAGCTGAGGATGGCCAGGCCAGGCCAGCCCGGAGCAGCCAGGGAAAAAGGCCGTGTGGAAGGGAACACTCGGGCCCCCAAGCGAGCAGATTAAGCAGGGGGCCCAGCCTCTCACGCTTCCAGGATCCCAAGTCAAAGCAGGACGCGGTCCGCCCTGAATTAGGAAATGCAGCCTCTCCCTTTGGGAAAAGAATGGCCTCGCCCCGTCCCACAGCTGTGAGCAAGCGTCAGACACAGACGCCTGCCCTGACTTGCTGGACAAAGGCGGCGCCGGACGGAGCTTCCTCCGGAAACATTTTGCTGCAGGGCAGACCCCTTGATGCCCCAGAATTTCACCTTTCGGGATGGGGAAAACCCCAGAGTGCGTGGCTGGGAGGGGCGTGGCCAGGGCAAGGGGGCGTGGCCCTCCGGGGCACCTAAAGGGCCTGAGGCGGTCCCTGAGCCTGCGGATGCCGGAGATGCACCCGAGTGCTCAGGACCTGTTTGGCGATGTACACCTCGTGCATGCACACACGCTGCTGACGGTACACATACGAAGAAGAAAAATAAGGGTACACCCTGAGACTATTACCAAATCTAAATGGCCCGGCTCTATTTTAGGTCAGCGGCCGGCAGGAGGCTGCTGGACTGCATGACCCTGCAAGCTGATCTCTGTTTTCATCCGTCCGTCCGCGTTCTGCTCAAATGCCAGCCGGGCAGACCCTATAAATGGGGGTCCGGACAAGATGACAGGCGGTGCTCCAGCGGACACTTCCTCCGAACAGATATAACTATGCCGCTTCTGCCGCTGCCACACAGTCGGGTCTGACTGTCGATTCACTTACGATTTATCTGCAGTATTTACAGACTGCCTTTCAGCAGGGAAACCCTCAGACCGGCTCACAAGGAAGTCGTGGAGAGATTCTCCAGGGCCAAGTAAGAAATGTTTGTTTTCTTGGCGGGCGGCAGGCTCTTGGCCGGATTATCTTCAGGCAGAGGGTGAAGCTGCCGGGATTCAGGATTTTAGCTGAGGGTTTGCTTGTGCATGCAACTGGGGGCGATTTGGTGCATGTGGACGCCCCGCAAGACAGAGTGCGACCCTTTGAGTGTTTAATCAGGAAAGATGGAAACAGAGAAACAGAGCGAGTCAGAAGGGGCCTCCGGGGCCATCTAGTCTGACCCCCGGCTCCAGCCGGCTCTGCTCATGACATGCCCACCATGTGCCTGTCCTTGAGCACCCTCACCAATGGGGCCTCAACCACCTCCCATGGAAGCACATTCCACCCCCTCGGGGTCCTGACTGTCAGGAAGTGCTTCCTGGCATCCAAACTGAACCTGGGTTCCCTGAGCTTTGCTCCGTTGGAGCACATCCTGCCCTCCTCTGCAGGGGAGAACAGGTCTCTCCCACCTCCGTGTGACACCCCCTCACGTACCTGCATGTCGCCAGCAGATCCCCTCTGAGTCTCCTCTTCTCCAGGCTGAAGAGACCCAGTTCCCTCAGTCTCGCCTCATACGGCATCCCCTGCAAACCGGCCACCAACCTTGTGGCCCTGCGCTGCACTGACTATAACCTGGCTATATCCTTCCTGTAATGAGGGGCACAGAACTGAGCACAATACTCCAGTTGCGGGTGCACCAGAGTCGTGTAGAGTGGCAACAACACCTCTCTCGAGCTAGAAGCCACACTTCTGGCTATGCAATCGAGGGTGCCGTTCGCCCTCTTGGCCACCGCATCACACGGCTGGCTCATGTTCAGCCTGCAGTCACCCAGCACCCCCAGGTCCCTTTCACAAGTGCTGCTCTCCAGCCACGTGTCCCCAGATGTCCTATTATTCCCAACATTCCCCAGACTGACTTTTCTGGTCTCGAAATCCCAAATCTTTCCTGATGCTGATGAAATGTAGATCCCACTCTGCATCGGACAAGAACCAGGAGCTGTGAACAAGCAAAGGAATCAAGATACAGAACTCAAAGTTTTTAAATGTGATTATGTCAACAAACGTGCGGCTGGTGCGCAGAAACTCGCCTTCCGCAGGTGCAGAGAACACATGTTGGTGCAGGTGTTCAAGGCCAGGCTGGACATGCACATGGTGGGCATGTCGTGAGCAGAGCCGGCTGGTGCCGGAGGTCAGACTAGATGGCCGGGGAGACCCCTTCTGACTCGCTCTGTTTCTATGTTTCTATGTCCTGCATGTTTGGGGGGGCCTGGGATTGTCCCAGGATTTCTTCCAAATCTTCTCTGAACTCTCCACTTTACATTTTCAAGAGACAAATCAGAGGTTGCCTAGTTGGACTGGGAGATCAGGGCAAGAATGAACCTGCTCATGCTTCAGGGCTTCAGGAGGGGAAACGGTGCTCGGATAACTTGGATTCACTTGCTTAATGTTGAAAAGAACCCGCCAAGGATCCCCCAGCGCTTTCCCACCAGGTTTGTTGGTGCAGCGTTAATTTTCCAAAACCTGACCCTATTTGGAGTCAGAAGGGACCCCCGGGCCACCTAGTCCGACCTCTGGCACCAGCAGAGGTGACGTCCCGCCTTGACTTCTGTAACACGCTCTACGTGGGGCTACCCTTGAAGATGGTCCAGATACTTCAATTGGTTCAGAATAGAGCTGCCAGGCTGCTGACAGGGACTGGGCGTTGTGTTCACATGACTCCAGTCCTCCATCTGCTTCACTGGCTCCCCATTGAAGCCCGGGCCCAATTCAAGGTATTGGTGATGACCTATAAAGCCCTAAACGGCTTGGGTCCTGGCTACCAGAAGGAGCGCTTACGTCCATATATGCCTGCCCGCCCCCTGAGATCTGCAGGAGAGGCCCTTCTCTGGGAACCCTCCGTGAAGGAAATTAGAAGGATAGGTACTCAGAGGAGGGCCTTCTCTGCGGTGGCACCCAATCTATGGAATGCGCTCCCCAGAGAGGTCCGCCTGGCGCCATCGTTATTTGTTTTTCAGCGCCAGGCTAAGACCTTTTTATTCAAATGTAATTTTAACTGTTAATACTATTTATTTTATTCTTCGGCCAGGGTGACTTATTTTATATTGTTAACTTGTTTTATATTTTTATTGTATAATATTTTAACTGATATATTTGTGAGCCGCCCCGAGGCTTCGGCGAATGGGGCGGCATAGAAATTTTCTAAATAATAATAATAATAATAATAACAACAATAATATTTGGGCAATTGGAAAGAGTGCCCCTGCGGTCATGTAAAGATCCCCAGAAAGCACCCCCCCGCACATGAAACACAGCGGTGTCACTCAGCGGCGCCCGCACCATCCCCTGTGCATGCACCACAGCAGAGCAGTCCTCAGCTGCCATCTGGGGCATCCTCCCCTGGGGCGAGCCGAACTTGAATGCATGGGACCTGGGGCATCCCAAAGCCCCAAAAAACTGGTGCCCAGTCCAGAGGACAAAAAAGTACAAATCGGCATACAAGTAATTAATTAATGTGTGTAAAAGCTGCCCCATTCGCATTACACTGATTTACATATTATAATATTGCATCTATATCCTCCTTTTCTCCTCTTGTGGGGAACCCAAAGCCTCTTACATGGTTCTCCACGTCGCATATGCTGCAATTGCGGGATCTGGACCCAAGGAAAATCACCATCTCTCTCTTTTTTTTTTTTAAACATTTTTATGCCGCCCCATTCGCCGAAGCCTCGGGGCGGCTTACAACAATAAATTAAAAAATAATTATAATATTACATTAAAAATCTTCCCCACAGGTTCATCTGTTCTCACCACGCACAAAGTCGTTTCTCGCTTAGCAGTCCCGGGCCGAATGTAGGCTTCAGAGGGCGTTCCTCGTCCTGGGGCTGAAACTCCTCCATCAGCGAGAGCAGGATGGTCGGCCTGAAGCCCACCGACATCCCCCCGTCGGCCACCATCAAGTTTCTCAGTGCGGGGACGGCCGCATGCATTGCCGACCTGTGTACCTTCCCCCTGGACACGGCCAAAGTCAGGCTGCAGGTGAGCTTTGCCCGGGGCAGTGGCCGGCTTGCTGCCCGGCGGCTGTGCGGGGGAGGCAGGGCCAGGTGGGCCCCGGAAACCGCGCGGGTGGGTGGCCCGGCTGAGCACCTTTCAAGTAGAGCTGATGGGGCGTCTCAGTTGCCTCAGCACAAAAGCACCCACCAGAGGGAAGCTCCCAAGTTCTCCACGATAGCGGAGTCCACACAGAAGAACCTCATTCACCAAAAAGGACCATTTTGTGGATCAGCCCAAAGCCACGAGGGATCTAAGCCCCTGCACCAAGCAAAAATAGGCCCAGAATTAATCTGCGGCAGGAACGGGAATAAAATGTGGAGATCTTGGTAGCGGTACCCCATAAGGCATGAGGATATCAACAGACGTAGAGGCAGGGGATGTTTGGCCTCGACACTCCGCCCTGAGGGCACTGCAGGGCTAGCGAAATCCAAGGGTTTGTGTGAGGAAACAGGGTGGGATTTGCCAGGGCTGCAGCTTGTCATGGGCCACCCTGGGCACATTTTTAAATAGTGGGATACACATCCTAAAGCAATGCAGAATTAAAACCATTGCTACTGCAAGACATAGACTGTTTTAATATGTATTTCCTTTCTCTGGGGAACTCTGGGAACGGTAGCTTTCTGAGAGAGGCTCGGATAATCTTGCTCTGAAAACGTTTGGTACCTTCATCCAAATGCAGTTTCTAGGATGTTTGCTTTGGGGGTGGGCGTCTGCCAGGATAATTAACTGGCACAAAAACCCGATGCGTTTGTACTGGAGGTGCCTGGAGAACGGCTGTTACTCATTTCGATTGCAATTTCTTCTGCAGATTCAAGGAGAATCGAAAGCATCCAAGACAGTTAAGGATGTCAAGTACAAGGGGGTCTTCGGCACCATCACCACCATGGTGAAGATGGAGGGGCCCCGGAGCCTCTACAACGGGCTCGTGGCCGGCCTCCAGCGCCAGATGAGCTTCGCCTCCATCCGGATCGGGCTGTACGACTCCGTGAAGCAGTTCTACACGCCCAAGGGGTCAGAGAGTAGGTCAACTGCTCCACGTTCTGGCCGACGTCTCTCGTCAGCCGCTCCGGGTTCTGACGCAAGGCGCTTCCAGGCTGTCTCCTGACCAGGCGCTCCTGCCAGCCCCCCATCCTTGCCCACTGACCATCACTCTATTTAACTAGTCGCTGGACAGCCAGCAGTGAAATGACAGACGCTGGAACACGCTGTGCTTGAAATGCAACCTACACACCAAGCCGTAACAGGGAGCTGGGGCGGTGCTGGGATTCAGAGCACGGGACTGGGACTCAGGCGATCCGGGTTCTAGTCCCTGCTCAGCCCTGCGGCCAATTGGGTGGCTCTGGGCTAGGCACAGACCCTCAGCCTGGCCCACCTCACAGGGCTGTTGTTGTGAGGAGGAGTGAGACGGGGAGAATGGTGTGGGCTGCCTCGAGTTTCTTGAAAGGAAATGGTGGTGGCGGCGGCGGCAGAGGTGGCAGCGATGATGATGATGAGATCCTCTCTCCCTCTCTCCCTCCGCCAGATGCCAGCATCCTCACCCGGCTGCTTGCTGGCTGTACCACTGGCGCGATGGCTGTAACATGCGCCCAGCCCACCGATGTGGTGAAAGTGCGCTTCCAGGCACACATCAGAGTCGTCGGCGGGCCCAGGAAGTACAACGGGACCGTGGACGCCTACCGGACCATTGCGAGGGAGGAAGGCGTCAGAGGCCTCTGGAAAGGTACGGAGACCAGGCTCGCTCCCTCGCGGCGGCGTCCGGAGAGCTGCTGGGGTCCTGCGAGGGGATCCCCGCCGTGAGCCTCTCGCTTCCCCCGCTTTGCAGGGACGCTGCCCAACATCACCCGCAACGCCATCGTGAACTGCGGCGAGATGGTGACCTACGATCTCATCAAGGAGGCCTTGCTGAAATACCACCTGATGACAGGTACGGGGGCTCCCTGGCCCCAGCACTGGGAAGCGCTTCGACCTGCCCGTCCTGTAGTTTCGCAGTTTCTGAGTCTTTGGCCGAGTAGCTAATTCACACAGTCGTGAGATTCAGACTGGTGACTAGTTCCATCTGTAGGACTGAAACAAACAAGGCAACGTACACAGACTGGGGGTGAATTTATTTATTTAAAGCATTTATCTACCATCCTTCACTCAAAGTCCCAGGACGGTAGTTCAGTGACGTAAAGGTACAGCACCATACAGAACATAGGAGTCGCGAAGTATTTGCTGCTTCAGGGAGGGAACTGCTGAAAAAAGAAAACCAACAACAGGGGATGAAATGTCCAGGAACCTACGGGAAAAGCAAAGCAGCTGATAGCTGGTTTTGCAGGTCAGGACAATGCACAAAAGCGCCATCTTTGGAAAAGCAAACGCTTCTGGAAACGCTTCCCCACAGGCCTCATTAACAGGCGGTAAGGTAGTGTGGGATTTTGGGTTGTGGTCTCCCGGTGCTTGGTCCAGCCCCTGCGTGTTGAGCCTGGCCCACCTTTGGAACATGGCCTCCCAGAACCAAGGAAATGGAACTTGGTCCTCGGGTGCAGAGGTCTGGCTGCCCTGGGTTGAAGGAAGCTGGGAGAGTGTTTTGGGAACGAGAGTCCTAGAAGCAAGCGTGGAATCTGTGTAGGCTAAGCAAGCATCGGGGACAACGTCAGCTGACATGTAAGAACGGCTGTGCACGCTTTTACATGGGTGGCACCCACCCCAGTGAGACCCGCCCCACGGAAACGGAGAACCTGTCCCCTTTATACTGAAGGGAGTAATCCAGCGGAAACCAAATTTGTGCGTATCCAGAAAGCTCTCTCAGGCACGGGGGTTTTGGCTCCCTCAAGCCTTTAATCTCCCGGGTCCACCAACAGATAATTTCCCATGCCACTTTGTCGCTGCCTTCGGAGCCGGCTTCTGCGCGACGGTGGTGGCGTCTCCCGTGGATGTCGTCAAAACGAGATACATGAACTCCAGGCTGGGACAGTACAAGAACGCCCTGAGTTGTACGCTGACCATGGTAGTGGAAGAGGGCCCCACCGCTTTCTACAAAGGGTAGGCGAGGTTTCTTGCTGCTCTTCTGCCCTGGTGCAACCTGAACTCTGCCTCGCGATCTTCGCCTGGGATGAGAGCTCAGTCCGTGCTCTGCAGGGTCCCCCACTTTCAACTGCCCACCGAAAGGGTCGGGCGGGGAGCACCGGCGCCTCTTGGGCCCATCCAAGCAGGCAGGTTTTCCCACCATGTTAAACTCTGCCTTCCATTTCCATTTCAGCCATAGCGATCATTTTGGAACGTGCGTTTGCACATAGATGCTTGCAAATGAAACTGCTATAGAGGTGGACATCCCCGACTTTTGGGGATGCGGTTTCTCCATTTTGGCAATGCGCCGCCATTGCCAGTAACGAAGAGGCGTGTGGTCCCTCTCACTGGGTTTCTGGGGTGCTGCTTCTTCTTTTTCAGTTTCATTCCATCCTTCCTGCGGCTGGGATCATGGAACGTGGTGATGTTCGTGTCTTTTGAGCAGCTGAAAAGGCTGATGGTCCTGGCCCAGGCAGCCTGGGAATCCCCATCCTGAAGCCAGACCAAGTCTCTGTGACGTCTCTGTGACGGGAAGGTGAATCACGCCAGGGATTCCCCAAGAGAGATGCAGAAGAGGAAAACGGAAGAAGCAGCTCGGACGAGACGCTTTTATGAACTGTTCTTGTCATGGTGGCAGGAAGCGAATATCAATTATATTAATTGCTTCACTTTGGGCTGTATCGAGCCCCGACGATGCCTAACATTTAAAAAGGGAGACTTCAAAAAGCACCAACGAGGCCCGGCTGACAAAAAAACAGGAGGGATTTCAGGTGGACTCTTATGCACTTTAGCCCAGATTTGGAGATGCCAAAGGATTCTAAGGGACGGATAAATATTGGTACTTATATTCAGAGGTGAATCTGAGTAGTGCTGTACTTTGAAGTTTACACAGAAGGGGAGAAATTCGCTGGATCTTACTCCAGAAAAAGATGCACATAATTATGTTTATGTGGTTCAAAGACTGTCTATACTGCTTTCAATTTTTTTTTTAAACGGGCAAACCACAAAGTGGTTTGTCAGATAAAATCATGATCAACTTCAATAAAACCAGTCATTGAATCCATAAAGCAATTTTAAAAATCGTTATTATTCCTATTGCTATCTGCATATCTATTAGCTGATTCTAGTTGTGAACACTGGCATCATTCACAGTATTCAGGTTCCCCAAGTCTCTGTGTTGTCTGTGTGGTAACGAGGACATTCATGTCACGGCTGCCGATAAAGTGGGAGCAATCCCAGGCAACGGACAAGGGAAGGTCTCTCTCTCCTAAAGCAGCGATGCCTGACTTCTTTCCACCCATGAGTCAAATTCTGAACCAGGGAAAGCATAACCTGTATTTTTATGTGTGTAACAAGTAGGAAATGAGACCAAGGTTACAGTTCTATGCCTACTTCCTTGGGAGTAACCCCCATTTAATGCATTGGGCATACTTCTGAGTAAGCACGCAAGATCAGGCTAAAGGGTTCAGAGAGGATCACAACAGCAGCTGCAAAGCAACCTGCTGCATTGATTGCTCTTCTCAGGGATGGAGGAGGAACTGAAGGAACAGACTAAGGTTACATTTATGTATTTAAAGCTTTTATAGCCCGTCCATCTACTGGCATCTCGGGACAATTTACCACAGAAGACTCTGACCAGTTCCAATGTCTTAATTTAATAGATCTCTTTCAAAGGTAACTTCAGGACCCCCTAAAACGCTGCCAGTAGCATTTCACAATTGCAAACGCACAAGGGGGAGAGGAAGCACTAAAGCCGCGCCACCAGGAACAATTTTCCTAAAAGACCTGCAGGATTCAAGGAAATCTCCCCTGCTAGAGCTGGCTGGGATTTTTGGCTGGAATTTTTCCAAAATCCTCCCGAGTATTACGAGGAGGCAGCATCCCTCAGCAAAGCAAGCCAGAGTCTCTGCACAAGCAGTTGCTATGAGCAGCACAAACCTTCGTGGGACTACTCAGAAGTCAGTCCTTTACCCTACGCCCAGAGAAACAGAGCAGCTGGGCCGATGGAGTCAGGGCGGGGATTTGGGATAGCGGCAACCTGATGCCCCGCAGAGGTGGGCGAGCTGCAGGCTCACACCTCCACGGGCACCAGGTTGGGGACGGTCCACGAGGGCCTGGAAGGACGCAGCTCTCTGGGCCACCCCATTGGGCGGTTCTCGTCTCCTGATGGTGGGGAGCTTTTTGGCGGGTCTCCTGGGGGTCTGCACACTCAGCCCTGGCCCATGATTGGTTCGCCAGCGTGGCCTGAGAATAAGCAGCTTAGCAAGGGCCAACGGGGAGAGTTGCAGTTCGCCCTGTCCTCTTGCCACCTTGATGGGTGCGAACACAACACCCACCATCCCCGGCCAGCACATTTGGGGGCAGCAGCGTCAGGCAGGGCTGGAGAGACCTGCTTTCCTCGGTTTGCCCATAGACCGAACGGTGGATCTTGCATCCGCCCTGGCTCCGTTAACAGCACCGAAAAGAAAACCGGGTGCCATGCCGAGGTTTTAGATAATGCATAAATCATAAATGTGGGGAAATAGTCTCAAAATAACCGGTTGCGTTCGCACTCACGGCACCTCCCAGGGCAAAAGCTCCGAGAAGGAGAACTGCAGAGCTTCTGATGCAGAGATCTTAGTCATTGTTTGCTGTGCCAAACAGTTGCTGTTACTATTACACTGCATTTATACCCCGCCTCGTTTTCCTCTTTGGAGGAACTCAGGGCTGCACATAGTCCTCCTGTGTGCCCTCTTATCCACACAACAACCCTGTGAGGTAGGCGAGGCTGGCCCACAGTCCTCCAGTGAGCTTCATGGCTGAGTGGGGACTAGAACCCGGGTCTCCCAGAGCACCATCCAGCACTCTAACCACTTAGCCACATTGCCCCCGACATTAATAGCAGAACAAAGGCCTGCCTTACTCAATTTTTGAAAAAATAATATATGGCTCGACTTTATTTTTGCACAAGACAAGAATTTTGCAGCAATATTTGTCAGAGACTTTCCTCAAATTTCTCTCTAAACAGGCATAGGATTGGGCCCTAACAGAGAATCAGTTCTGATGATGTCCCATAAAAACCTCCATGCAGCTAAGGGTCTCTACCTTTGTTTTTGTCAACAAAGAAAAAGGAAGGGAAACATTAAATGCAGCCCTTTATGTTGACTGTTAAATTAAATTTTCATTCAGCATGTGTATTTACCTAACACTGTAAATAAATAAAAATATCAGCATTTTGAGCATACTCAGCTCTTACTGGGTTATTTTGGAGGAATTGTTATTAATTATTATGAATTGCATTTCAATACCACCGGTAGCTGAAGTTCTCTGGGCAGTTTACAACAAAGTAAACCCCCCCTCACCTAAAAATTGTACCCCTGACAAACTCTTCTTCCATGCTTGCCCACGTGTCTCCTTTTGAGTAGATTCTGGAGTGCAGAAAGATGCACTATCAGGGAATGTGTGCCTCGTCGATGCACAGGGGCCTGGTCGGGGAGGCCAGGAATGATCGCAGGTGGAGGGCGAACAAGTGCAGGAAAATTGGCTGATTAGGAGAAAAACCCGGACAGCTGCATAAAAAGCTCTCGGGGGAACTGCCCGCTCCGTGGCTCCTTGTACGTGAGCGTGGAGGACGGAGGTCGTAAGGGAGACGACGCGGAAATGCCAAGTAAGAGGAAGCTGGGGTGGGCGACCCCGCTGCAGAACGGGCCAACCGTGGCCCCCAGAGCGAAGTCAGGAGGAAAGAGTGTTTCTGAGCACGTGCAGTTGCCAGAGGGGCAGGCATGGCGCGGGGGGTGAGCGTAGCCTTGGGGCACCTTCGGGGTGACGCGGCCGCGGCTCGGAGCCCGCCGCGCATGGAGGGCGCAAGGGGCGAGCGCGGGAGGGGCAGAGGCGGGGAGCGGGGCCGTTCCGTCCATGTTTGCAGGGGGAGAGCAGCGATTGCGCCCCCCGCGCTGCAAAAAGGGGAGCGGGCTGCCACGCTCGTCGCGCCGACTCGGCCTGCGGGGGGCGCTGCGCTGCGGGGCGCAGCCTCTGGGGCCGCTGCCAGGCGAAGGGCCGGGGGGCGCGGCTCGGGGCGCGGCGGTGCTCCTGCCTTCCCGGGGGCGCCCGTCGCTTGCCGGCCCGGCCCCCTTTCTCCTGTGCATCTTCGCCCTTGGGCGTGCTGAAGCAGGGACGCCGCCCGTCTGGGCAGGGAGAGCGCGCTTACTCCGGAGTAGGCCGTAGTAAATGACACGGGGCCCGCCCATTCCGCCCCCGAGCTCGGCGCGTGAAGGCGGCTTCCTCGAGAGTAAGCCTGTCGAAGGCGGTGGGCTGGCCAGCCAGCGTGGAAGTGCGGCGCAGCGGGTTTCCGGGCCTCGGGGAAGGCGAGGGCACGGCGCTCTGTGCATGCCCCGAGGAGCGGCCGCCTGCTCTCGCGCCCAGGCGCTCTCCGGCCTCTCCCCGCCCGCAGCGCCAGAGCCGGTCCGCTCCCGCCGGCGCGCAGCCTCCCGGGCCGGCCGTGGGCGCGGCGAGGGCGGCGCGCGGCGCAGCGCAGTGCTATAAAAGGCGCCGGCGGCGCGCCCGGCGCTGCTGCTGCCGCCCGGCTTGGCTTCGCTTCACTTCGCTGCGCTTCCCTTCCCGCCTCGCCTCGCCCGCCGCAACCGCGCCCATCCCGCTGCATCCGGCCCGCTGCGCTTGCTTGGTTCTCCGGTGTCAGGTGAGTCCCGATGGGGGGGCTCTCCCTCCCTCCCTCCGGGGTGCAGGGCTCTTCGGGGGCCGCCTCTCGCTTTCCCTTTCCCCGCTCGCCTCCCCTTCATTCGACCCCACTGCGGCGTCCCCCGGGGTCATTCCGGGTGACTGCCTCGGGAGGCGCCGTGCCCGCGGGGGGTTTTCCTCCGCCGCCCCCGATTTTGCAACCCCCCCCCCGTGCCTGCCTCGGGGCTCGACTCCCCTTCCCGGGGGAAATGACCCTCTCGGCGTCTGCCCGGCCCCGGGCCCTGCGGAGGTGGGGACTGCAGCTGCCCTGTTCTGGCCTCCGACGCATCGGAGGGGCGCCCGGTTGGGAGTGGCTTCACCGAAGACCCATTCAGATGGGAGTGCGGGGGGGGGCGACGATCGGGGCGCCCCACCTGCCTCCTTTCCAGCCCCTCGCACTCGCCCCTCTGCAGCTGGAGCTTCACCCTCCAGCGGATTCTGCTCCTCCTCTGCCTGCCGTTTCTGGGGGCAAGGTGTATTACTGGGGTACCTGTCCTGGATGCTTTGCAGCCGGCAACCCCAAGTACGGGCCCGGTCCCTTTGGGCCAGAAAACCCCATAGGGAGGGCAGGGACTCGAGCTCCTCCGTGCCCTCCTGGTTGACACCTGCCAGTCACCCCTTGTTTGCCGTGACCCCAGCCGCCGCCCGTTCCCGCAGCCCTGGGCATCTGATGCCGTCCGGAGACCTCGGCTGCAGCTCCCGTTGTGCTCTGGATGGGCATGATGGGCGTTGAAGTCAGAGCAAGCTGGGGGGAACCGGACTGCCTCTGTGCTCGGCCTCCAAGGGGAGCTTTCACGGGATTAGTGGGGCCGGCATCTTTCATCCCTTCTAAGTGGGCAAAGGGGACTTATTTATTTTTATTTATTTATTAAAACATTTCTGTGCCGCCCCTTGGGGTCCCCTGTTCATACCGAGTCGGATGGTTGGTCCATCTAGCCCAGGGCTGCTCTGCGAGATCTTGGAGCCGGCTGGCTCAGTACCACCTCAAGCAGCACGAGCCAGTTTGACCTGGAGCAGAAGCGACTCCCGCTGCTTTCCGAAAAGCAAGTGTGGCAGGTTCCTTCTGATTTGGGTGGGTGCGTTGCTCTAACCACAACACGCCAGTCCGCCTTGTGCCCCATTTCCACCGCTGCACACGGGCACGGCGTCTCTCACCCGAGCTCCATGTGTGTCAGTGGGTCTCCTCTAAGTAGGAGTAGGACTTTCGATGCATGCCACAGTAACCCCTGTGTCACGACTACGCAGCAGCGTCCCGACCGAGGGAATGGAATGCGCTTGTCGGAGTTGGTCCGGGCATCCCTTTCGCCTTCTCATTCCTCCTTGCTCCCCTGTTTCAGCTCTGCTAACCCTTGACCTGCTTTAAGTGTTGATTCGGGCCTTTGTTCCTCACAGATGAGCAGATCATCTGCAACACTTCAACGCCCCCCCCAAAAGCCCCCCCACTCTCCGAGGAGCACAGGAGCGGCCTCTCGTGGGCCTGGCTTTGCTCTGCCTGGCCCACTGTTACAGACGCTGGCCAGCAGCCAGAGCTTCCAGGGAGCTGGGCACACGTCCTTCCCAGTCCCGCCTGGAGATTCTGTTGGGAACTCAGCCCTCCAGATGTAACTTGGCCTTGAGCTGCAGCCCGTCCTGCATCCAAATCCATGGATGGGCAGTATTTTTAGGACCAGCCGGAATGCCACGAAAGTGTGCCGGCTTCAGGCCTTTCCAAATTCTTCTGTTTGGCTGGCTTGAGCACAAAGCACAAAGGGGGGGAGAGAGAGGCAAAAGCCGGAGAGTAGACCTCAAATTGGGCTGAACGTCGGACACCTGTGCGGCGACATTTCTGCCCAGCAACGCCGCTTGCGCATGTCTTTCTCTGTCGAAGGAGCGTGGCTTGTCCTAGCCTGTTCTCCTTTCTGAGTAATAATCTGGTCTGAGTGCAGATTACTTCTGGGCTATTAACGTTGCGCACGGAGCGTGATCTTGTTTGCTGTTGATGCCAATTGCTTGTCGTAAATGGTGCCAAAGGGTGACTAGAACAGCCTCTTTAACAAGCTCTTGCGAAAGAGATTACCTTCGTGTAGGACATCTCTTGCTGTACCCAAAGGCGTGTTAGGGGGCAGCCCGCTGGAGCTGAAGCCCCACATCTTTCCTCTGGAACCCCGAGTCTCTGGGAGGTTGCCTGTCCTCCAGCCCTGCTCTCCAGAGGCGCCCCTGGAAGTCAAGGACTACTGAGCCTGCTTTACTCAACCTGCTGGAGGGTTATTTTTTTCTGAAATCAAATGCCCCCCTCCCTTGTCCAGGCATCTCTCTTCACAAACGGGGTTGTCCTTAAGAGAAGGGTCCTTTAACCCCACACAGATTTGCAAGCACATGTAAATCTCCAAATGCAAATCCTGACTTCCCTTTGTCCTGTAACGCTGAGCCCCTGAGTTCCCCGGCATGGGCATTACTTGCTCTCTTAAGTCGGAGTTGCAGAGTTTGCAGAAAAGGCCCGTCCGGGTGCCTGCTGAGCGTTTCCTTGCGTGGGTTGCTGTCTCTGCCATTTATTGCTAGTGCAAAGATGGCCCGTCAGTCTCTGGGCTGCTGCTGCTAAAATGGGAATCCGGTGCCAGTGCAAACAGGCTCCTGCTTTGGGGAGTGCAGGGAAGCCGTGAGCTGCCAGTGCAAATCAGCTTTGCATGCAAATCAGCAGATGTGGGAAGGCCCGATCCGGCTTTAGCGTGGGCCAAGGCCTCAAAGTGTGGCTTTGCATCATTTCTGTAATCCTGGAACTGCAAGTCTGAGCTGGTGCCCCTGTATTCAGACGTGTTTGTCTCTTCCCTTTTGCTCCCCTAGGATAAGTATTATGATTATTAGGTGTCGTCCTTCAGCTCATTTTTCTATGGAAAGTCAAGGGAGCCGGACTGTGGGGGCGTTGAACAGCTTTGACGAACGGGACACTTTTAGAGAATCCTGATCAAGCTGCAGCGATCCTGACATACTTGACTAAGGTAATTCTGGCTTTGGAGGAGTGGGAAGGGTCCAGTCACATCTTGGTTTGCTGTAATTCCATGCGGTCATGGGGAAAGAGCGTATCTGATTCCGATTCAGTGCAGGGAAGAAAAGGTAACCATTCACTTGTAGCCAGATCATGCTTTTCCACTTCTTCATTCTTCTTTCCCCTTTCTGCAGAACGGTCAGTTAAGGGGAAAAGAAAGGCTGCAGAATGTGCTTTAGTCAGTAGCACCCTCTGCATGGATGCTAGAAGCCAGGGACCTACGCAACAGAATTTTTAAAAGCCTCAAAGCAAGAATTGGCCAAACCTATGTGCTGTGCTTTACTAGGCGGTCTGTTCTGCAGTTCTAGTAGTGCTCAGCAGAATTGCACTACTTAGGCTGCAATACATTCTGCATCCTAAATTCCTTGATTTCCGTTTTGAACAAGGGAGTGAGTTTCTAGACCCTGGGGATGCAGAGCTAGGGCTGAAAACGTGTCGGTGACACCGGTTGTGCCCTGGTCCCAGGCATTGTCACCAGTGAGGGAAGGGGTCAGATCGCCCTAGAGAACTTGTACCTTTCTCCATGAAAAGCACAATGTCTTGAACAAGCAGTTCTTGATCCTCGCTGTGACTTTTGCAGGATAAACAGTTCAGGAGTTTCTTGGCATCTGATCAGCCCCAGGTGTTTAATCTGGTTTACCATCTGTGGCATATTCAAGCCGGTATTTCGCCATACTGCTGTGATTTCTGGCTACAGGCCTAATTTCTTTTTCTCACCAATCCTGCTAGTTCCCTTCTTCTCAGAAAAGAAAAAAAAAAAAAGCATCCAAACCTTTGGGAATGAGAAATCCGCCCTCAGGACTTACAGGCAGTAATTCCAAAAACCTACTCTGGCAAGCTGCAGAGGGAGCCATAAGGGGTGGGGGTGGGATGGGAATCCCCAGACCGTGCGCCCATGGCTAGAGGCTTTCTGGAGAGCCCTGGAGGTTCCCGGCAGGCTGGGTCTGGCCCAGAGGCCTGTCGCTCAGTCCAGTCACCTTGATGTGCCTTAAAGAAAAGCAGATTCCTCAGGTTATGGAAAAGCCATCCAGCGAGGCCGGGATGCAAAGCTCCCGTTGTGGGGCTCACCCTCTGGAGCGAACCATTTTCAGCAATCAAATGGTGCACTCACCCCAGAAGCCATGCGGGGCCTCTGCCGACTGTTGCTTAGCAACAACCAATCGGGGAGCTGCTTCAGCCGCACAAGATGCATCTTCTCCTGTTGCTGGGGCACGAGGCCTAGCATCCAACGCAGCCTGGGAAAACGCCGTGGCGAGTCCTTGGTGATTCTCACAAGAAAGGGGAATGCTTCATGCGTGGCCTAAACTTGCTGGCTTCGTACCGTGCCGCAGCTTTCCCAAGCTGGCCTGCCAGCCTTGCTGGCTGGGGACAATGGGAACTGGAGGCCTGGACCCCCGGCAGGCGCCGACTTGGAGTATGGAGTGTGCCATAGAAAGAACGGAATGGCTCTCGGCCTGGAGGGCGCTCAGCGTGCCGTGTGGTGCTGCGCGCGAAGCGGGTGAGAGGCGTCGCACCGCCCTGCAGCTGCTGGGGAAGCCCGAGGCTACCCAAGCTGCTCCCAGGCAGCTGCGGAGGGCACGTTCCTTCCTGTTGCTTCCAGAATCCGGAGCGTGCAGCATCCAAGTCTCCTCCAAACGAGGCATTTGGCCAGCAAGGGGAAATGCAGAAGTGAGGCAGGGGAGGAGCAGGGGCTAAAAGTCCTGGATAGGACCCCCTGCCCTTGCACTTTCCTCCTGTTCAGCATTTAGCAAAAACGGCTTGCGTGCGGGAGGCCACGGGAGCAGCCCGGGCGCTGGATCAGGCCCAGGGTCCATCCGGTGCAGCTGTTGTTCATACAGAGGCCAACCGGCCGTCTCGAATGCAAAACCCACCTATGCTGAGGGCACATATGCCGGCAGACCTGGGTTTATGGCTCTGTAACATGTGAACCTGCCCTGGGTGTTCCTGGTGAGCCTGTTCTGCTGCAGCAGTTTGAAAATGCAGAGAAGGTCTTTGGGGATCAGTGCCAGACTGTTCCTTTTCTCCGTGCGATGTGCTCGGCCTTCCCCCATATCGCGGATGAGAGGAACCTTCTGTGTTCTCCCAGACAGGGGCACAGGTCACTTGTCTCGTCCTTTCGCCACGTCGGCACGCCGCGGTTTTCCTCCCTCCTTCCTCCCTTGTGTCCACCGCATCTGTCAAGCCGGTGCGAAGCTGTCAGGATGGTTGGATTCAAGCCCACCGAAGTGCCCCCGACAGCCGCCGTCAAGTTCGTGGGTGCTGGAGCAGCTGCCTGCATAGCCGACCTGCTCACCTTCCCCCTGGATACGGCGAAAGTCAGACTGCAGGTGAGCCGCCGGGCCAGAGCAGCCGTCCACGGACGATGCACGGAAGTAGGCGTCCTGTCGCCTTGGCTGAGCATCCTCCCTCCCTCCCTCCCTTGGGGTCCACAAAAATGCAAGTTCACATTCCCCGAGTTTCTGTGAGCTCGGTCCTTTGATGTTCAGCACAGTTACTTCGTGTGTGAGTGATGCGTTTAGCTGGTCTGGCACCGTGGTGAGAGAGCTGGCCGGGCCTTGGGAGATCTGGGTCCTCGTCCCCACCTGCCTGCGACTCCCGTGGGGTGACTCTGGACCAGTTAGCCTCAGCCTAACCTACTTCACGAGGTGGTTGTGGGTGTGGAGTGCAGAGGACGGTGGTCACGGAAGCCACCTTGAGTCCGGGACAGGAAGGGAAAGGTGGAGAATAAACACAACAACATTTGTATTGTGTGTGTCTCTTCCAGCCAGGGATCTTTGCTTTCATTGCTCTTATCTTTGTTGGCTGGTGATTGGAGATAAGAGCTTTCCTATGCCAGAGGAGGGGGCAAGACCTGGGAAGGAAGCTGAGGGGCTGGGTGCGGGCCTTCAGGCTGGAGGTCCCCTGTCCCTACGCTAGAAACAAGTGCATGCAGAGGCTTCTCCCTGGACTCATGTATAATTCATCCTCCTTTCCTTAAATGATCAAGGACAGAAGTGCAGTGTATCTTTCCCTTGCTCTCCTGGGCAGAGTGAGATTGCCCTGCTCCCAACACAGACCTCTGGCTGGCCACCGTTTGTGACAGGTGCCCGGTTCGCGGTGAAATCTTCCTCCCCCACCGCACGATGCTCTCTTGCGCAGATCCAAGGCGAAGCGAAGCGGGCCGTGACAGCCAAGCCCACCAACTACAAGGGGGTCTTCGGCACCATGGCCACCATGGTGCGCAACGAAGGGCCCCGGAGCCTCTACAACGGCCTCGTGGCCGGCCTCCAGCGCCAGATGAGCTTCGCCTCCGTCCGCATCGGGCTGTACGATTCGGTGAAACAGTTCTACACGAAAGGGTCGGAGCGTAAGTTGGCCTCCTGCTCGGGGGGCAAAGGCTGAGGGGGAGGTGCTGGGGCTGAGGTCGACGGGGCAGCCCTGTTTGCTGGCCCCAGAGCCCGCTAGCTTGAACCCAAGTGCACAGGCTGACAGTGCCTACCAGGTGGAAAGAAGCAATGCTCTCTGTACTTGCTCAGAGATACCTAGAACTGAAAACAAGCTCTCTGACTGAACAGTGAGAAGGTCATTAGCATGCTTCAGTTAGCGTGGAAGTTAGAATCAGTCAGAGCCAGTGCAGCGCAGGGCCACAAGGTTGGTGGCCGGTTTGCAGGGGAAGCCGCATGAGGCGAGACTGAGGGAACTGGGCCTCTTCAGCCTGGAGGAGACTCAGAGGGGATCTGTTGGCGACATACAGGTACGTGAGGGGGTGTCACACGGAGGTGGGGAGAGGCCTGTTCTCCCCTGCAGAGGAAGGCAGGAAGTGCTCCAACAGAGCAAAGCTCAGGGAACCCAGGTTCCATTTGGATGCCAGGAAGCACTTCCTGACAGTCAGGACCCCAAGGGTGTGGAATGGGCTTCCACGGGGGGTGGTTGAGGTCCCACTGGTGCGGGTGTTCAAGGACAGGCTGGACATGCCCATGGTGGGCATGTCGTGAATGGAGCCAGCTGGTGCCGGAGGTCCCTTCTTACTCGCTCTGTTTCTATGTTTCTATGAAGTATGTGGCTCAACAGAACTGAAAAGATCATTGAAGTAATTGTGGACAACAGACTCAACATGAGCCAACCATGCAATGCAGCTGCCAAAAGGGCAAATGCTATTTTGGGATGCATTACCAGAAGTATGACTTCCAAATCACAAAAAGTAGCAGTTCCTCTGTGCTCCTCCCTAGCCAGACCTCACCTGGAATACTGTGTCCGATTCTGTGTCCGTGGCCAAGTCCTGGGCTGCAGGTTCCTCCATTCCCTACAGATGGAACTTGGAAAGTGTCTGTGGAACAGACCTGTAAATACCTGTAGGCAGCTGGGCAGGGAGACCTTTGCAAGCTGCAACAGAGCCAGTGCTTAGGTTCAGTTTCCCAGTGTGCCACAAACTGCTTGTCAAGGTGTCTGCGGGCAGCTAAACTTTGGAGACAGGCTAATTTGTGCGGGTTGTGGGAGGCAGTGGGGGGAGGGGGGCTCTGGCAGTCCAAATCCTTCTGTGGGGCTGGGTCCCGGTGGACTCTGATCTGTGGTCATTTGGCTTCTGCGGGTGCTTTGAGGGGGTCCCTCCTTGCTTTTTAACTGTGCCGCCGTCTCTTGTCGATTTTGGCAGATGCCGGCATTGGCAGTCGTCTCCTCGCGGGCTGCACCACCGGCGCGATGGCGGTGGCCGTGGCCCAGCCCACCGATGTGGTGAAGGTCAGGTTCCAGGCGCAGGCCCGGATGGAGGGCAGCCGCCGGTACCAGGGGACCCTGGATGCTTACAAGACCATTGCTAGGGAAGAGGGCCTCCGGGGCCTCTGGAAAGGTTGGTAAGGGGTGCCTGGAAAGGGCTGTGGGGGTCTGGCTTTGCGGTCCCCGTTTCAGGGTTTCCGGCTTGCGCAGAATCACGGAGAGATCTCCGACACCTGCCTTTTGTAGATCGGAAGTGGGCAGTGGCTTGACCGCCAGATGTTGGGACTACAACTCCCAGCATTCCTGGCCACGAGTCATTGTAGCAAGGGCTTTTGGGAGCTGAAGTCCCAGCCGTCTGCCCACCTGTTCTCAAACTGCATTGAACAAGATGTGTGGGGGCATCAGGTGCTTTGCTGAAGTTCCCATTTCCTCCTGAGCCCACTGGGCAATTTTCCTGCAGCCTAAATCAAATCCTAGCTCGATCGTAGGCCTTCCTGCAACGTTTTAATGCACGATGTTATAATGCAGGCATCGCTGCGGGTTCCTTGCACTCCCTCGGTGTGCTTCCTGCTCGGTTTGTAAGGCCAAAATCTGGCTTTAAAAAAGGACAGGTTAAACTTGAGGTCCACCAAAGCCCTGAATTCTCTGCAGCGAGGTCAGTGCAAGTCCTGAGCTGGTAGATGAGCTGCCTTGAACCCTCTTCAAAAAATCCGGTACCGTGGCCGCTAATGATCTAGCGATCAAGCGATGTTTTGAGACATTAATTTTGCCCGTTACTTTTCTAAAGCCCTTTACCTTTTCCCTCCCTCGTCTAGGGACTTCTCCAAATATCACCCGGAATGCTCTTGTGAATTGTACCGAGCTTGTGACCTACGACTTGATCAAGGACACGCTCCTGACGTACAACCTCATGACAGGTTGGGACAATAGAGCGAACGGAACTCTGACTCAAAGACGCTTTGAAAGTTGGCCCTGACGAAAAGTCAGGGGCCTTTGATGTGGTACAGCCCTTGCTGGGTCAGCCTGTACCAAAAGAATGCAGCAGAGGCCCCTTGTGTGAAGGTCTGTGCGCACACACACCAATCTCCCAGGAAAGCTTACTCCTGCGGTGCCGAGCCCTTTCCACCCAAGGGCCCTGCTGTGTCTTGGGGAAGCTCTCTGGAACTGCCCCCAGCAGGGGTGGAAGGAAAAAACTGACGGGCCCCGAAATGCCAGCATGTTTTAGCCGAAAGCGACTCCTGCCAGGAACCAACTCTTAGGAGAGGCGTTTCCTCTTTTTTAGAACGGGGAAAAGAAATGTGCACAAGCTGAGGAAACCCCCAGATGATGCCAGGGACGCGTGAGGGCGTCGTGGTTCAGGGTGGAATTGGCCTAGGGCCTCAAGGTTTATTCCTGTAATGTTCCCAGTCGGAGAGGATTGTCTCTGGCTGTCTGGACCATGTTTTTATACGAGAAACGTTTGCTCCAATATGTCAAAAACGTTCTCCAAAATGCTGATCGGTATGAACCTGTGGGCCGCCCCCATGGCCGGCTGTGAGTGGAGCAGCTCGACATAATCCGGCGTTGTCTCGGCCGGACGCCAGCATGGACGCCCTTGTCCAGCTCATCCCCGCCTGCTCTGTTCCCCCTCCCACCCAGATAACCTCCCGTGCCACTTCACCTCCGCGTTTGGGGCCGGCTTCTGCACGACGGTCATCGCCTCCCCGGTCGACGTGGTGAAGACCAGATACATGAACTCTGCCCCAGGTCAATATGGCAGTGCCGTCAAGTGCGCCCTCGCCATGCTCCGAAAAGAGGGGCCCCTGGCCTTCTACAAAGGGTGAGTCGGGGCTCTCTCCGTGCCCTGTGAGGCTGCCGGGAGCTCCTGGAGCCGTGCAGAGCGACAGGGCTCTTGCTCGTTCTGAATTGCCGGAGGTAATTTACACACCATGTTGGGGCAGCTGGGTAGGTTCAACCCACAGTGCTGAGCTTCTCCTGTGCGGAGGGCCAGGAAAGTGTCGTGGTTAAGAAGATGGGACTGGGGCTCAGCAGCTGGGTTGTAGTCCCCCACCCCCCGCCCGAGCCGTGGAGCCGACTGAGTGACTCTGGGCCAGTCACAGACTCTCAGCCCAGCCTACCTCACAGGGTTGTTGTTGAGGGGATAAGCGTGAGAGCAGGAGGGGGAGAACAGTGTGAGCTGCTTTGAGTTCTTTAACAGAAAAAAAGCAGGTTATAAATCTATTAAATAATGTAACTGTCTTCCTCACCTCGCTCAAGGAGGGCTCTTGGGGGACCTCCACGGTAGCAGATCTTAGGGTCTGGGCAGGCTCATATGGACGGAGATCTTCCCTTAGATTTACCCCCCAAAAGAAGCCAAAAACAAGCACTTCACAGAAGGCGAGTTTTTGTTCATGTGGCCCCCATGCAGAAATCCTAGGCAATACCCGCCCAAAGTTCAGGCTGGACACGCACCCTCTCCCCCGCCTCGCAGCTTTCCCTTTCTTCTATTTTCCAAGGATGCATCTGGAACTCACGGGGCTTGGAGGTGTTTCTGGAAATGAAGATGAGCAGTTGGCTTTTTGTTTAATTTTGAAACATCTTCAATGGGTTTCAAAGGAAATCAAGCTAGGAGGTGTTTCCAGGCCCCGTGGTACCTGCAGCCCTCATGTTGGCGATCCTGTGCGCGCAAGAACCTTTGCATTACGTTTGGGCTAGGAAATATACCAAGCAAAACGTTCCTTTAAAAGGGAGCTGACTCTGGCAGGATTGATGCATCAAAAAACTTCCTGTTTAGTTGATCTGGAAGCTCAGGAAAGACATAGAATATCCTGGGTGGGCTAGAGCTTCTGTATAGCCTGAAGGGCCTGATCCTGCCTAATTTTGGAAGCTGAGGAGGTTTTGGCCTGGCTGAAACCTTAACTATTGTGAAGCGCCCAGTGGCCTTCGGCAGCGGGCAGCATAGAAATGTAACGGAATAAAGAAATCATGGAAGAGGCTTGGTTCTGGGTGTGGAGGGCAGGTGCCGCATCCCGATCCGGGCTGGCCGGCACACGCAGCCGAGTGTGTCATGGCGGCAGCTCCTCTGCATCGGGGCTCTAACAGCGTCTCTCCCCCCCCCCCCACATCCCCGCTCTCTCCCTTCCAGTTTTACGCCCTCGTTTCTGCGGCTGGGGTCCTGGAACGTGGTGATGTTCGTGACCTACGAGCAGCTGAAACGCGGCCTGATGGCTGCCCGTGGATCGCGGGAGGCGCCCTTCTAGCCGCCGGATGGGTGCACTTGGCAGAATCTGCCTCTGCCCAGCTCTTCCCTTTCCACCCCTTCCCGGCCGACGTGTCGACATTTCTACCTCTCTGTGCAACTTTCTGCGTGTGGCTTCAAACGGCTTCTGTCGTGCCCTTGTGCTTCTGGTCCGCGACGAGCCCACTGCTTTTAGCAATGGGTTTTTAATGTGCTCTTGTTCAGCCTCTGTACTTTTCCCTTTTAAGATTGTCCTCTTTGCTGGAAGCACCTCACTGAGTTTTGAAGAATTTTAGACCGCAGAAACTCGAATTTGAGGGCTGCATGCGAGCGCTCGGTCAGCTTTTCTTTCTACGCAGACGGGCAGGCATTTTTAAAGATAGATTTGAGATATTTAAGGTGCTTTAATAAAGGCTATGCAAGAGACCAACCATTGACCTGTTTTTCGGAGCTGTTTTTCCCTCTCGGGGGAAGGAGGAGGCCGCACTCGCACTGCACAGGGGTCTGGAATCAAACCCTGGGATGTTGTTCCCCTGAGCAGACTTTTGCCCCAGTGGCAACCATTCCTCATCCCCAGCCAGCTGTGCTGGTCAGGGCTGATGGGAGTTGCAGTCCAGCGCATTTGGCGGGTGCTGGATTGAGAAAGCAGCCCTATGAAGCTGGGGATTTAAAAACCAGCTTCCTTCCACCCTTTCCCACTCAAAGGCCGTCCTCTTGGGAGCAGCCTTCCGGTTCCTTCCAGCCAAGCGGGGAGAGCCCTGCAGCACTGCTCCACCTCTGCCTCAGACGGATTGGGGCTGCACACCTGGACCGACACCTGTTCGTCCCTTGCATGAAGGCCAGAGGGAGGGCCGGCTCACGCAAACCGAGGACTTGGGAGTCCCCTGAATGTGCAAGTATATGCCTGCATCTCTGAGGAGGATTTCTATCTTAGTTACTGCGACAGGCAAATCTTGAAAGCATTTCCGTTTTCACAGGGCGCAAGAGCCGCTTCCCAGGGTGCTGAATGTTCCCTTGAGCCATAAAGTGGAAGGCGCGCTCCGGCCGTGGGCACGGAGGGCGAGAGGCATCTGGGTGCCCGCGTCCTTTCATAGTAGGATGCGGCCAGCCGTGGACACCGCTTCCCCTGGGCTGCCCACTGCTCTTCCTGCCATCTGGGAAACGGGTTGCGGCCCTCTGCATTGCTGGAACATGCTTGCCCAAAAGAGATGGGGAGGGCAGAAAGCAAGCGTGCCCCCTTGGAATCCTCTCAAGCACCCCCCCCCCCAGCTACCAGATGTGGGGCGGGAGCGCTGTGCGGATGCTGTGGCAGCTGGTCCCCAACTTGCACAGCCCAGAGGGGACGCTCCTGTGAAGGGCGAGTTGTGCGGGCGCAAGGGAGCGGAAGTGGCCTTCCCGCGTTGTGGCCTTCGGCTGAGCCACGTGCCCTCGGACGGCCCGAGCAGGATTGTGGCAGGCGCTTCCCAAGGGTCCAAGCCGGGGGGCCCCGAGGCTTGGGATGAAACGGAGGCGCTGGCCCTGCTTTCCCACCTCTGCCGAAGCAGGAGGGCAGGTGTCCAAACGGAGGCCTTGAGGAGCCCACGCCTGTGAAGAAGACAGACCTAGAGGCCCTTCCCTGTGAAGGGCTTCGGTCCCCTCAAGGGAGCGGGAGCTTTTCCTGGGCCCCAGTTCCGGTGGCCCTTTCAGGGGGCAGTCCTCTGCTGTTCCTGGCCTGGGGAGCTGCAATTAGCCACAGTCTGCAGAGTTCGATGAAGCTCTTGCAGACTGGCAGCTCCTGTTTGTAATTTTAAATGGGGAAAATGTGCCCAGGGGCTGTTCAGGTATTACCCTTTGTGAAGCTGTGTGTGCTGATGCAAAGCGGTGCCGGGGTTTGTCCTTGCCGTCCTCTTTTTATCCGTGATCTCAGTGTTTTGTCGGTCTGTTTCTAGTACAGTGAAAGGAGGCAGCTGAAATGTTGTGCTCCGTTTAGCTTCTCTCCCTGCCCCGCCAAATGGTCTAGTCCGACCTTCCTCGGCTGGACGCCCTTCAGGCTTTCTGCACTGGAATGCCCAGCTTTCCTGCCCATTGGCCATTCTGCCTGGGGATGATGGACAATGGAATCTGAAAGGCCTGCGGGGCACTCGCGTGTAGGAAAGCTGGCCTGTTATGTACGTTGCAACTTAACCAAGTGACCACGTGCAGCTGGAGGGCATTTGGACCGTGGCTGGATCGCGTCTGCGGAGCTCCTCCGCTGGAGTTGCGAGCAGCACAATCAGTCAGAAGACAAAGCAGTGAGAACGCTGCCAGGCGACAGCGTGAAACTCCTGCACGCGGGTGCAGCTTTCCGTTGATCCAGGCCAGTGACGGCGAACCTTTGAGAGGCCGAGTGCCCAAACTGCAACCCAAAACCCACTGATTTATCACAAAGTGCCAACACTGCAACAAAACCCGAAAACTGAGGTTTCCGTTTAGAAAAAACTCCTCACAGCCAGTCCAAGCCAATATATAAATGTCCTTGGCAGCGCACTGACCGGCCATGCGAAAGCTCGGACAAGTCGCGGCTCGTGACATCATTGCCTGGCGCCGCTACTCCCTTCCAAGCATGCGCACGGCCCCTGTGTGCACGGTTATCCGATGCTCGGCTGCTGGGGCGATGCTGGGGCGACTCGGCTCGTGTGCCGACAGAGAGGGCTCTGCATGCCCGCTGTGGCACATGTGCCATAGGTTCGCCACCACTGCCTAGACCCTACCCTGGGGCACTCCCCTAGCCCTAATATAGCCCACTGATCTAGGCTCTCCTGGATGAGCCGAGTCCACCTTGGAGGCTGTGCCTGCCGTCCCCAGACAATTTGTGGCAAAAGAGGCAGCGGGAACGGAGCAAAATAGCTTTATTCCTTGCTTGGGGAGGAGGGGAGCGAAGGCCGCGCGCCTCACTGCAGGAGGGCCTCCTGCAAGAGCTCCTTCTTGGCCGGCGTGAGCCTGGCAGGAAAGACGATGTCGAAGTACATCAGCAGGTCCCCCTTGCAGGTGGGGTCCGCGGACAAGGGCATCCCTTCCCCCGGCACCACTTTGAAGTACTTGGGGCTGCAAGGGCGAGATGGAGACGGGTCGGGAGGCGGAGGGGCTGGGGACCCCTGGCAATTCTGTGCAATGCTGATGGAGCGGAAGGGAAGGGAACCCGACAGCCGCCGGCTGTAGCCGCCCCCCCGCCCCAAAGCTGGAAGCGTTTCCACTGCCGCAGGGCCTGGCAGGCTCTCTGCCTCCTCCGGAAAGGCAGGACTCTGCAGGAAAGCCTTCGAGGCAGCCCTGGGGGGGCCCAGGCTGCAGGCAGGCGCTCAGAAGGGGGCCCTTCCACGCCCGGTGCTTCCCGAAAGCTCTCCCCTCGCTCCGAGCCGAGGGCCCCGCATGGCACTCACTGGACGATGTCATTGATGGGGATGTTGAGCAGTCGCTCGTCCAGCGTCCGCACGTCCACGGTGCACCCGATCAGGGCCTGCGGGAGAGCGGCGAGCTGAGGCCAGGGCACGACAGGAGGGCTGCTCGCCTCCCAGCGGCCCGGCTTTCGGCTGGAATAGCCTGCTCTTGGAGGAAGTGTTTTGAGTGGACCAGAAGCCGGCCAAAGCCAGGCCTGAGGTTCGTGCAGAGGGGCGACAGGCAGCCTCCTTGAAGAGGGACACGCTCTGCAGCTGGCGCACCTGGACAATCCACAGGTGCCCATGCGGAGAGGAGGGAGGATCATGCGAGACCTGGGGGGCAGGAGCTTGAGGTCGATCCTGGCGAGCCGCTGGCCTCGGGCACCGCTCGAGGAAGCCAGCCTGGCCCAGGCAGAAGGGCTAGCGGGCCTCTGAGAACCCCTTGTGGCTGGCAGAGCTGGAGCGAAATCGCAAGCCCGCCTCGGGGGATGGGAAAGCAGGGCGTGCGCGTTCCGCCTGGGGGTTGGAGTGAAGAAACGGGGAATCTGCCAGCCCGAAATCTGCCCGCCTTTGCTGAGCGGGGGCAGTCTATGCCACCCGACTCCCCTCCACAATTCTGCCGATAATTACCTTGTAAGTGGCATGTCAGGCAATGCAAAGCATTCTGGAACATTTGAGGGGGGGGGCTGGTTGGGTTGCCCTCCTGGCTGGCACCCCACTGCCTCACCTTCCCCAGGGGGAGAGTGGCCACATAGATCAGGTTGTCGCCCTCTCTCTTGAACCTGGGGTGGAGCTTCTCCTTCACGATGAAGATGATGTCTGCGGGGATAATATTGGGGCCCTAAAACAGAGGAATCGTGGCCTGTTGTTTCTGCCTGAGGCAAGCATGGGACTGGGCCCGCAGGAAGCCCAGGGTGGCCGTGTGCGACCCAGACAGGGCTGGGCTCAGGAAGGGCCGGAAACGGGTCCTTCCTGGCCCTTCTCCCACTCCAGTCCGAGCAGCCCAACCCCCGGGATATCTCCATCCGGGAACTGCACCCTCCCTGAACGTGGCATCAGGTCTTGCAGGCAGCCTCCCAGGTCAACCTGGGCAAGAGCACAGCCGCCTCGCCCCCAGCGCCCCACGCCACCTGGTCGCCCTCCTCTTGGAAGGTGATCCTGGTCCCTTGCTTCCACCCGGGCTGCACGTCAATCGTGAGGATCTTGTCTTTGATGGTGGACGCGTGGCCATCGGGGTTCATCACCTGCGGGGTGGAGAAAGCAGGCCTGGGAATCCACAGACACCCAGGCGAGGCACGAGAGGCGGCCCTTTAGTGAGGCTGGGGGTGATGCCGCAACACAGGATGCGGGAGGACAGCACGGGAAGGCCGCGGACACCTAAATGTCACATCGTCAGCCAGATGCAGGCTCTCACCTGCAGGCCCCACTGGCCGTTGCTGCCAATGTGAATGGCATGTCCAGAATACGAACGGCCTCCGCCCCACGGAGCATGCCAGCTAAAACTAAAACTGGAGTGGAATCTGCATGAACTTAATTTACACAAACTTTGGCTTTGAACATAGAAACTGAGCGAGTCAGAAGGGGCCTCCCGGGCCATCTAGTCTGACCCCTGGCTCCAGCCAGCTCCACTCACGACATGCCCACCATGTGCATGTCCAGCCTGTCCTTGAACACCCGCACCGATGGGGCCTCAGCCACCTCCCAGGGAAGCCCATTCCACACCCCGGGGGTCCTGACTGTCAGCATCCTTTGCCAAAGGCCGAGTGGGGAAACGGTGGGTTTTGAAGGCGGGAACTGACAGGCACATCACAAGGAATGAGGAAGTCCATTCCGGGGACGAAAGCAGCAGGGGAGATGCAGTGGCATCTTTGGTCGGAGGTGGGCACCTGGCGACAGGGATGAGCTTCTAGAAGCATGCCGAGATGAGCAGCCGGGGAGGGAAGGCGGCAAGGCCAGGAAGGCTCCATGCTCCATCCAAGAGCCTGTGCAAAGCTCCAGTTGGTTCCTCTCTTACGCAGAGAGACACTATTTGAATCCATCCCTTTTCCACTTGTGGATTCTGCGACACGTGCATTCAGAATTGCCCCCCCCCCCGAGAGTGTTGTGAAGCCCCCAGACCTGGGCACAGAGTTTCTTTCCGTACCCTGCGTGAGATCTTGATTTTCTTGGTGCATCCGTAGAAGAGGTCTTCCAGCGAAAGGTAGAGGTCTCGCTCTATGGGGGGGTCCTTCTTCCTCACCCCCCTTCCTCTCAGCCCCCCAAAAGCCATGTTAACTTCACCCCCTTCTCCAGTGTAGAATTCTAAGCCAGAGAAAGAAAGGGGCAGCATTAGGGGGTGGGTGGACTTTTTGGGGGAAAAATCACTAATTTTACTTTAAAAAGTGATACTGTTTTAGAACAAAATAAGAATGTTTGGAGGATGAAACATTTAGCAAGCCTGAGGCCCTGCAACAAAAGGAAAATTAGGCAACGCCATGGCTCAGCATCAGGTGATGCAGAAAGTGTCTATAAAGGGTGAAGTCACGGCCTGTGGGGATGGGAATGGGAAAGCTCCTGTGGGAATGGCTTTCAGCGTTTTCCACCTCTGGCTAGGGAAGGAAGCCCTTTATTTTATTTATTTATTTATTTATTAAAACATTTGTATGCCGCCCCATTCGCCGAAGCCTCGGGGCGGCTTACAACAATTAGTTAAATAATTATAATTAAAAATATAAACATTAAAATAAAATACATACAATATAAAATAAGCCACCCTGGCCAGATAAAATTCAATAATATTAACATTTAAAATGCTGCTTAAATAAAAAGGTCTTCGCCTGGCCCCGAAAAACAAATAATGACGGCACCAAGCGGACCTCTCTGGGGAGCGCGTTCCCTTTCCGCTCATCATGAGAGGAAGAGTTTTCAGTTTTGCAGGAGCTACAAAACTTGGGCGTCTGTGTGACGCCCGCCTGCAAAAAGACCAGCTGGCACTTAATACCAAGAGACGCTTTTCTGCTGCTTCCGGAAAGGCCCCTTGGAGACCTGCTGGCAACCGTGGCCCAGGCGGGCCACGTGGGGAGGACGGCAGACGAAGGAGGCCTTCTCACCCAGCGCAGCATGTGGACCTACCAGCAAAGGGGTTGTCCCCTCCAAAGAACTCCCGGAAGACTTTCTCTGGGTTTCCATGGAACACGTAGCCTTCCGTCCAGGGCGTATCGATCCCAAACTCCAGGGGAATCCCTCCTTTGAGGCCTTCTTCCGCAAATTTATCGTAGATGCTCTTCTTCATAGCTAACGAACAAGGAGATGCCATGCATTTGGTCACGGGAGGGAGAGATTCTGGAGGTAGGCAAATATATACGTGGCAAAGTTTTTCTTATTATCACATACATTTATGTAATAAATGGTAAACAAGCTGGGACCCGGGAGAGATTATTTGGGAAAAGGAGACTGGTGGGGAGGCAGGAAGGTTGTCAGTGATCAGCCTGCTCTTTTCTCTCACACACACATGTACCTGCACACACAGAAACACGTACCTGTAGAACGGCAAAATTTGCTGCGCCTTTACGTCTGCTCATGGCAGACCCTGCCACACCACCCTCAAGGGGAGCCTGGCAACGCTGGCAGCCGTGTTGAGCCAGACTGACACACCAGTCCTAGCCCTCCACGTCTCGGCCAGGAGCACATATTCTGTAAAGCGGAGAGTTCTTTGCTGCCTGTTCCAGACCGTGCCAGCACGTTTAATTATTCTGATCATCTTTGGGGGCATAACGTGAAGCGCGTAAGAGGTTTTGTGGTTTAATTTGTGTCAACAGTTGTAGCTTTTAAAATCTGGTTTTTACAGTTTGTATTACATTTTATGATCTTTTATTGCTGTTCTGTGTTCGATATTGCAGCAGGAGAATGATTTAAGCCACTTTGAGTTCATTGGGAAAAAGCAGGGTATGAATTTAATTTAAACATTTAAAATGGCAGTTTTCATGAAGTGCTGGATCTGCAAACAGGATCTTCTGCACTCCTGAAAAACCAGCCGGGCTGTGCGCTCTCTCCCTCACCAGAAGCGCCATGGCTGCATACACCTGTTGCTGAAGGCAGGGGGCCTTGCAGCCAAATGCTGGAGGGGTCCTGTGAGCAGCAGGTTCGCCACCCTGTGTAAGGCACGCTGGACTGGATGGACTTCGAGTCTGGTCCCACATGGCTGTTCTTATCAAACTATGGTCCCCAGGATTCTTTGGGGAAAGCCAAGGTTGATGCAGTGGTATAAAGAGACATCTAACTGATATTGCCTGATGTTCCTTCAAGACAGGAAGCAATCCTTCCCATGATTAGAGAGAAAAACATAGAAACAGAGCTAGTCAGAAGGGGTCTCCTGGGCCATCTAGTCTGACCCCCGGCTCCAGCTGGCTCTGCTCACGACATGCCCACCATGTGCATGTCCAGCCTGTCCTTGAGCACCCTCACTGATGGGGCCTCAACTGCCTCCCAAGGAAGCCCATTCCACACCCTCGGGGTCCTAACCGTCAGGAAGTGCTTCCTGGCATCCAAATGGAGCCTTGGTTCCCTGAGCTTTGCTCCATCGGAGCCCGTCCAGCCTTCCTCTGCAGGGGAGAACAGGTCTCTCCCCACCTGCGTGTGACACCCCCTCACATACCTGCATGTCGCCAACAGAAAAAGGCCTACAGCTTCCTTCTGTTTGGGATAAAAAGGCCTGCAGCTTCCAGCATGTCCCAGGGCAGTCCTAGGAATGCACAGGAAGCAGCCTAATGCCAGTTCTTCCATTCTGCAAATGGCGCACGCAGCACCAGAATCGCTTCCTACTTACGATCGCTCAAGACATCATACGCCTCGGCCAGCTGCTTGAACTTCTCGGGGGCCCACGGCTCCTTGTTCTTGTAAGGGTGGTACTTCAGCGCCAGCTTCCGATAACTGCAAGACACACATTGGGGCAAACCCTTTACGTGGGTGCAGCGGGGAGGGATGGGGGGCACCCTGGGAAGCAGGGTGCTGGACCGGATGGATGCGTGGACTGATCCAGCCCAGCTCGCCTAATGTGCTGGGGGCTTATGCAAGGAGAAGGACCAGAAGTGCACAACATTTTCTGCAAACAAGGAATATTAAAGATCTGGATAAAGGCCTCGTCAGATGTTGCTGGGGGAAGAGGAAGGTCTTACTCTGCTGCCAAAAGAGAAGGCTGGTTGCCGGGGGGCCTCCCAGGGGAAACTGCTGCCTCACTGGGGGCCACGACTGAAAGGCGCCTGCCTCCCCCGCCACAGCCGCCTGCAAGCAGAACCGTGTCTCTTGAGGGGATTGATTTTCATGGATGGGGAGCAGAGAGACCCACAAACGGGCCCGGCGCTGCACTGCATGCGAGGGAAGGGGGCGCAGGCAACAAAAAGCAGGCTCCTGCGGCGCGGGGTCCCTCCGGGGGGCCCGCGCTGGGGGAGGCCAGCCTAAAGTACTCATAAGCCCGTGCGGTGCTGTGGTTCAAGAGGAGGCCTGGACTCGGGCGCTTTAGGATCCTGCAGGGCTCGCTGCCTGCAGACCCGCGGCACGCGACCCTCCGTGCACGCAAGGCGCGTCCCCACGTGCGGCACACACGTGCACGCCGCGGCTCCCGCCCGCCCCCGGGGCTCACGCCTTCTTGATGTCGGCATCCTTGGCGCTGCGGGTCAGCTCCAGCACGGCGTAGTAGTCCTGCCCCATCGCGGCGCCGGCGGCCCCTTGCCCGGCCGGCCGGCCCGCCCGCTGCTCGGCCCTCCCGTTGCCAGGGACGCCGCCGGGCCCGGGGCATGCCGGGAGTTGTAGTCCTCCCCCGCCCCGCGCAAGGGGCCGCGGAGGCGGGGCCCGCTGCCGTCAAGGAGTCTGCCTTAGGCACCGCAGCCCCCATCGTTCGCAGCCGCCCGCCGCCCTTCCGGCCGGGGATGATGGGACGGCGCCCAACGCCCCGGCAGCTTGGAGGAAGGCCGGTTCCCGGTGGCCGCCGCACCGGCGGGGAGGTTGCGATCCCGGTCAAAGTTGCGCCGGCGCAGCCCCGCAGCCCACCCCGCTCTCTCGAGCTGCCTCCCTGGGATTCCCTGGGATTCAAGGATCCCGTGGGGCGGGGGGGAAGGGCTCCTCCGCACTGGAGGGCCGGGCGCCGCTTCGCGCTTGAGATGCCGCACGTGGAGATGCCGCCCTCCCGCGGACACGTGCGCCGTCTCTCGCTCCGGTGCGTGGGAGTCCGCCGCCTTTCCCTCGTGAGGAACCCCGGGCGGCTCGCACAGCCCTTGCATCCCCCACCACCGCCCCACCGCCGTGAGAGGGGGACCAGGCTGGCGCATCGCTGATACCTCCGCGTTTATGCTGTGATGTTATTATTGCATCAGATTCCTTGCATCCTCCTCTGCTCCGTGTCATCATCGCAACAGCCCTGCGAGGAAGGCCGGGCAGGGGGGCAGTAACGGGCCCAAAGTACTCGAGCATCGTGGATAAATGGGGACCAGAATCTGGCTTTCTGGAGCCCATCACTCCAACCATTGCACCACTCTGCCTTGCACTAGTTGCACCAATATTTACATACAATTACTGGTTTCAGTGTGTTTTAGATTTTACTTTGGTGAAATGCACAATAACATGAATAGGAAATAAAAAATACTATTATTTTCTGATGATCACCAAGCGTTTTCTATGTACCCAAGGCTTTGGCATGTGAAACAGATCTCCTGAACTGAATGCCAATTTTGGTGATGTTTTGGTTTTAATGCATTTGTTTTACTGTCGTTCTAATCAAGTCTTATTTGTGATTGGCTTTGAATGCCATCCTTCTTGGCAGAAAGGTGGACTACACTTCAATAACATGTCACAATATTTACAAGGCTGCTGTGGTCTCCTTCACCTTCGGATCTTAGAGTCATGTCTGTGTGACATCGGAAGCAGGTTCTCCTTTGCTTCCCGTATGCTTACTCTGCATTAAGCCGCTGTAGACCTCAAGTATGTGCAGTTTAGCTCTCTAGAAAGCTGGTTGTGGTACTCCGCTGCGAAGAAAAAGAAAGCTTGCAACAGCAGGCACAAATTTACTTTGGTGTAAGCTTCCCTAGACTCTAGACACACGAAGTGTTACCAGGACTCTCAGATTTTCATACAGGAAGTTTTTATACTTTCAATATGTTTTTTAAACCTACTGGGGGTAAGGAAGGGTAAATGGCCAAGTCAGAAAAATATGTAAGAATAACCGACCCAGGCAATCACATTACAACTGTTTATTTTGTACATCAATACACTGCTTCACAACAAAATTTTCAAATTTATCTTGCTGTGGATAATGAAAACATAAGGTAAGCCAATCAAGAACATGAAAAGAACCATAATGGATCAGACACGAGTCCGGCATTCTGATCCCAAGTGGCCCACCAGCTGGCCACAGGGGCCCCCAAGCAAGCCATGCCATAGCAGCCCCCTCTTACCCATGTTCCCCAGCAACTGGTGCCTCTGATCCTGGGGATAACACAGTCATTAGGAATCGCCTTACTCACTGTGATTTTTTCCTGATTCTTTTTAAAGCGCCCCAATGGCGGCCATTACCGCAACTTGTACTAGCAAATTCCATAGGTGAATTTTGCGCTGTGTGAACGAGTCCTGCATTTTTATCCGTCCCGAATCTCCCAACAAAGAGCTACTTGAAAATGATGGATGGCACACGAAAGGAAGCACTGTTCACACCAACTGTGGCACTCGCTGCCCCAGGAGGTAGTGACGGCCCCCTGTTTGGATGGGGGCACGCAGTATTGCCCTGCGCCTCCTCCTGCCACTGGCCAACCAGCACGGCGTAGCAGCCCACTGCATTTCGTCTGTCTGGCACACACGAGCCCTGGAAAAGATCCCTTAACCGTCTGATTAGTGGCCATGTCGAGCAGACTGACTTGGAGGCTTGTTTCGGGGGGTGTAAAAATTTGATGTCGAGGGAAAATCTAAATCCACACAGGGCAGGCTCAGCTTACTGCTGTCTCAGGCTGAAGCAGCCCTCGTCGGTAGGGTCACAGTTCTACCACGTGTTGGGAAAGTGGTCACAGGAGCTTTCATGGTCTTGTGCTGACCCTGCTCGAACGCCTGGCTAACGACATGTGCCCCCCCGTCACACCAAGCCAGCCTTGCCCACTCAGCGGCAGATCATGCAAAGCGGAGGCATGGGCTTCCTAGGCGAATGTCTTTTCCTCTTCTGGCTGAAAACCCAAGAGGAGGAATGGCTGTTCCTCACAGAATTTTACTAGGAAAAAAAGTGCACCACTCCAAATCAGCCAAAGCTGATGGGAGAAACCACAAGCTCTGCAGGACAAGTTGCCCAGGTGCCCAGGTGCCTCTGTTCATCCACAACGCACCCTCTAGGTTAAGTCACATCTACTCCCCATTCTGTGGGTTGGATCCTGGCTGAGTCAACCTTATGACCCGAACTTTAACCCTCAACCTGATTTTTAGAGATCCCCTTTCCCACAGCACCCCTTAGTCCCGAGTAGCATTTCGAGGGGCTGAAGCAGCTCCTGGATGGGTGGGAGCCGCTCCCTTGTACAGGCCTTCCAGGCCATGCCCGACTCTGGATCAAACCCACTGCAAGAATTATTTTTGTCTGCTTCCTTTAGACTCCAGACGTGTCTTAAAAAAGAGAATGCAGAATTTTAGTCATGATTTTAAGTATTTCACTGGATTTTAACCAAGTTTTAACTGGATTCCCCCTCTTATTTCATTATCCATGTCTTTTGATTAAAACACAGTACAAATTTAGGTCAAGCAAAATACATTCCAAGACCCTACAGCCTTATCCAATAACAGCAGAAGTAGCCTACAGTTCCTACAAGGTAGTTGTTCAGCCTCCTACATAAATAAGGTGATCTTTATACCCATGTTATCCTTTAAATAAAGGGGGGGGGTCAAATTTCTCTCTACCTCTCTTTTCCACCTTTCAGAGAACCTGTTTGCTTCACCTAAGGATGATGACAGACCCAGTAACAGCTAGATTAAATTCTCTAAAATGGAAGAAACCAGCCACTGCCTGTTGCTTCATCCCCACAGTCTGGGGGAACCTGAAACCATCACAGCATTTGTCTGTCACTTCCTCTGACTGTACCAAAACGGTCACTCCAAGACTTCAACCCACCCAAACTTCCTGCCCACTGCTTTTTTTTTTTTACTGCCCTGCCCAGTGGGAGAGTTCTTGAGAATGTGAAAGCTTGAGTGCTGTCTTGAAACCTTCAGGCTGGCCTGGGAAAGGTATATGGATGCTCATGTTCAGCTGCTCAGTTGTGTCTGACTGGAAGCGATCCTATGGGCCAGATCTCGCCACACCGTCTGATCCCGTGCACCTCCTTCGACTGAACGATGCTCCGGCCCGCACCCTCTTTGATGGAGCCTCGCCACCTCGCTCTTTGGCGACCTGGTTTTCTCTTGCCGCTGAGCATTCCAAGCATTCTGTCTTTTCCTAATGAGCTTGATGGCGTGACGTGGCCAAAATATATGAGTCTCTGTTTTGTTATCTTGCCAATCAGGGACACGTGTGGCTTAATATGCTCCAGCAGCTGCTCGTTCGTCACCCCCACTGTCCATGGAATGCGCGGCAGCCTCCGCCAACACCGCAGCTCGAGTGAGTCGATTCTCCTCTTGCCTTGCCTTTTCATTGTCCAACTTTCACAACTGTAGGTTGCTAAAGGGAAAATGATCACTCGGACCAACCTGCACTTGGTTGCCAAGCTGATGTTCTTGTTTTTCCACACGTGATTCATGCCTGTCATTGCCATACGACCTAGTGAAATGCCTTGCTTTATTTCTGGACTGTATTTACAACTGCAAGGAAGCAGTGCTCCAAGGAAAGTGAATTCCTCGACACATTTGGTTCAAAGGTGTCTGGACAAGAGATGTCAAAGATGAAAGGAAGCCCAGTGGAAACACCCAAGATCTTTTAACTGTTGTGAGAGTGCAGGATTAAAAATAAACCAATACTCACCATTCCTGAGACAGTCAATTAAAACAGCTTGAAATCAAAGCAGCTTTATTTTAGATGGAAACTTACAGCAGGGGAGCAGGGCGAACCTCCACAGAACAGGTAATTCTGTGAGGAAGGCACATGATGAAAACACGGGGCTTCCGCATCTTCCAGATCCACTCCAGCGGCAGTGCACAGGCTAGTAAAACATGTTCCCTTTTTTGAAGTCTGCATCCTGGACTTCCTCACACCATTCAGCTCCTCGCCCCTCTCAGGAACAGCCACAAAATGGACAAGGGGAACAACTCCCACAAACTTCCTGTGAGGCTGAGTGCAAGAAGCTACCATAAAACTCTTCCGCTTACGCCCCTCGGCAAGAAACTTCAGCTTGGATCACAACATGGTCCCCGTCGCTCACACACGCACAACCCATTCGTGCTCCTGCACAGAATCCTGGAAACACGGCACTGGTACGGCGTCGGTCGAAGTGGTGTTTTTAAATTAATCCCTGAAATCTGTCCAGCATTTGTAGTCCAGCGTTTGAAGCTTCACTCAAGTCAGAGGTCTGAAAGCTGGTATTTCCTTACTATGCTGTCCCTGCAACACGTGTAGATTTGCTTTTCCCACACAGCCACCTAGAAAGACCACAATAAAGGAGATCAGAGTAAAGAGCTGGTTTTTTGGTAGAAATCAAATCAACAAATAAAGGGGGGATCTGGTTTAGAATCTGCCCGCTATTTGGGGAGAAAGGGAACAGTCACAAGATGGGGAGTAAAAAAAGATGGGATGCTTCATGGTTTTAAGAAAGTCACATGAAATGAGCCTAAGCAAGCAGGAAGTGGAGAAAAGAAATAAATAAAAGTGAAAATTAAAGCCCACTCGGAAGAGATGGGGGGTGTTGCATTGCATGCTGACCAGAAAGCAGCCATTTCGGCTCCTCCTGGTGGCAATGGTTCCCCTTCAGCACTCCCGGATTAGTAGAGAGACGCACTGTCACAACTAAGGGGGACCTAACAGTGGTCCTGACACGGCAATAACTCCACTCACATGACCAGACTTAGGGCCAACAGTGTTTTGTTTGGTTTGTTTGGAACGCTTATATGCCGCCCCACCCGCAAAAGTCTCGGGGCGAATGGGACGGCATATAGAAACAGAGAAGCAGAGCGAGGCGGAAGGGGCCTCCCGGGCCATCTAGTCTGACCTCCGGCACCAGCCGGCTCTGCTCGCGACATGCCCACCATGTGCACGTCCAGCCTATCCTTGAGTGTTATAATACTATACTAACACTATGTAAGTGTTAGGATAGTGCTACCACTCAGTGGTGCTGAGTTCTGACCAGGCTGTTTGGCCTGGCGAGTTCTTAAAGGCAGAATCTATAACAAGGCGGCCACTAATCTCGTGGGGTCCCGCAAGAGCAAAGAGGCCTTGGATGAGCTGGGAGGGCGCACGGATTACAGCAGGGTAGCGGACGTGAGGCCTGGATGGGACACTGGTCCCAAGTGGTCACTGCGCGTTTTCCTTTTGACAAGCTTGTGTGTGCTGTGACTTGCCCTGAGATGAAGAGCTGGGTGCACGTTTTATAAATACACCGAGCGCATTCGTCTGCAGAGGGCTGGGCGAGTCCCAGGTCAAGCCGCACCTCAGCCCTTTCACGGGGGCTCTGGCAAGCTCATTCACTCGGTCTCCTTGACAAGAAAACCGCCCTCGATCGTACGGTCTGCTGAGCTAATTTACATGAAAGCCCTGGACTTGTACAGCCCGTATTGTGGCAACTGCACTGGCTATGCATTTGGAGCGTAGGGCGCAAACTTACGCACACTGAGCGCAAAAGAAGGGCTGCGAAGTTCTTGCGTGCCCCCACTTTCCCTTTCCTGCTCTCGATCTTGGACTGAAGTACTAGTTCGTTCCTTCTCCTCTTGTGTGAAACCGATTTGCTCACCCCAAGCGGGAGCACAGCTTTTTAAACAATACCTTGTATACCGGGTCACAGTCTGGCCCAGTGAGTTCAACAACATGGTCAAGATCCTGCTGCATAATGAAACAGCTTCCATCACCTGGAAACAGGCACAGAAGGGAGGGAAAAGAGCAAGGAGTCACTGGCTTAGGAAGCGTAACGCTCTGTGCAACAAAATGCTAGTTTGAGTCTTTAGCCCTCCCGGAGAGGCAAAGCACTCAAGAGGCAAGTGAGCCAGGCCTGCTGGTTCCAAGAACAGGCCCCGCAAGGCCCCGCAAGGCCTTTGCCTGTGAGGAGCAAATAGCGGCTAAAAGCAGAAAATGCTGAACGATGGGACAGTAAACAGCAGGGCTACCTTGGCTGGCAATGAATCCGTCTTTGTACGGTAACAAGGAAAACACGGGCGCTCCTGATCTATGAACAATTCTAACTGGAGTCCTAGAAAGCAGGGAAAACAAATTTCTATCACCAAGAGGCACTCACACCATAATGCGTTGGCCAGAATCCTGCTTGAAACACCATGTGAATTGGGCCCAAAAAGCTTGGGTTTGTTCCAAACATACCTTTTCCCATTGTTTTTCTTGTAGGGAGACCTAGTGGTTCAGGGAATGCCCCAATTCTCCCCTCCCCTCCTACACAATTCCTCCCATCCCGGAGAGCACAGAAGGGTCACACTTTAATCCTACCCACTTGGTATTTCTCACATCCAGCTGGTATATGTTCCCATCTTGCGTCCCTCCCAGGAGGTAGATGCTGGACAGGAACGCACAACAGTTAAATGCATCAGAGCCAACAAAGAGAAACACCTGAGGAAGAAGGAAGGAAAGAAGTCAAGCTGAGGATGTTCCATAGATGACAAACGGATATTTTTTAAAAATGCAACCCAGACGCCTCTGACAAAGTAATGAACTTTGTACTGCGAGAACATCCACCAGGTTCCCAGACTGTCTCTGGTCAAGCAGAGACCTCAGCATTATCATGGGTCATCGTCATCCTCGTCATCATCTTTCTATCCCACCTTTCTCCTCTTGCACAGAAACCCAGGTGGTTTCCATGGTCCACTTCCTCCTGCCCATTTTATGTTTACCAGAACCCAGCAAGTAGGACTGGCTGAGAGGCAGCGACAGGCCCAAAGTCACTCAGTGGCCTTCACTGCTGACTCAGTCCAGAATCGAGGCCTCCCCCAGTGTAATACTGTAACCACTATGCCACAGTGCCTCTCATACCACACTGGCTCCCAGGTTGCTGCCTCACACAAATACAGACTATGCAGAAAGCTTAGCTGAGCTCTTTTGTAGAAAAACTGTCATAGTCTTCTTATACATTATCAGGGTGAATGGATTTAATTCTAATATAAATCAGTAAAACAACTGATTTAAATACTGATTTAGGTCAAATCTCCATTTTAAAGTTTTCCGTGTATTTTCCCAAACAACAAACCACTAAGCCCCATGTAGTTACAGCTAAATAGTTTTATTTACACTATTTCATTCTTTCAAGTAGGCTTTGATCTCTCTCTCTCTCTCTCTCTCTCTCTCTCTCTCTCTCTCTCTGTGTGTGTGTGTGTGTGTGTGTGTGTGTGTGTGTGTGTGTGTGTGGTGTGTGCTTTCCTTTTTACCTATAAAAGAAATACCTTGTTTTCACAAAAAAATGAAGTGCCTAAGAAAAATGAAATCCCTATGACTAATAGTTTGAAAGTTACAAGGTTGAAAAGGTCTGATCAAACAGTTTGACTCCAATTTTATGGCTCTGTTTGAAACATCAGTTGTCGTTCACTCTGCTGGATTTTTTTTTCTGCCTTCACTAACTCTCCATAAAACTAAATTCTGTGCTTGGGCACCACAACAACAAAAGCAGAGAACAATAACCTCTGGCTCGTGCATTTGCCAGAGAGATTGTATCAAAGAAAGAGCTGTTGTTAAGGCTGGACAGAACCATTTTCATGTGATGAAAAACTGAAGTTAATGCCCATTTTTGATTGGTAGATAATTTCATTCTTATGAAACTCTAAGTGTAGGTTTAACTTATGAAACTGTAACTGCAGGTTCACGAGGAGGTTCAATTGTTATTTAAGTTACAGAGAAGTAAGATCAATTTAAAGTTTTAAAAACCCAACTTTTAAAAAGGCGTTCTTAAAAAGGCATCCTTTAAAAAAAATCTCCTCTGTTTTCTGTTTCGGAACATGTGCAACAAAGGGTCAAAAGAAATAGTATGGTCAAGGAGAATGTTTACCGGCTGCCTGCTTTGTAACCCTACGCCTTGCAATTTTTTGTCTTCCCGAGCCAGGAGCAGGAGTTTCCCCTCGGTTCCAACTTCACGCTCACCTGTGTTAGATAAAAAGCAGCTGTTTATCTTGTGAACATCTCAGGCCAGCAACAAGGGCGACCTGGAGGTGACGGGGACAGTCATTGCTGTGCTTCATATGGAAGCACATGGAAGAGGGTGCACGGGTGAAAGGAACTGGCTCCATCTCCACCTCGCCCCCCCACGCCCCACCGTCCCCGATGCTTTATTCCTTGCCTAGTTCCAAAACTCTACTATAGCACTGAGAGAGAAGATGGCTGATGGCCCAAGATATTTACTTCTGCATCCCCCTTTTCACAGAACTGAAATGGAACAGAAACATGAATAATACAGGTACCCATATTCCAAGCTGTTCTTCAATACCTGTAAACAGCTTTATTTTTTAAATGGATACACTTATGGGGGAAGGACTCCCTGGAGAAGAGCCTGATACTGGGAAGGATTGAGGGCAAAGGAAGGAGGGGACGGCACAGGATGAGGTGGCTGGATGGAGTCACTGAAGCAGTCATCGTGAGCTTGGGTGGACTCCGGGGATGGTGGAGGACAGGAAGGCCTGCAGGAATGTTGTCCATGGGTGGGACACGACTTCGCAACTAACAACAACATGTACTTTTAAGGCACAAAGTTATGCATACTTGTATAGAAAAAAGGCCTACAACTCCCAGAGATATGTAGAGAGAGATGGAACCATGGCTACATTGGGGGAAAACAGATTAACTACAATGGATCCAACCATCACGGCCAGCTTATAAATGTCCTTTGAGATTGATGATGAGTATATGAAGCTGTAGGGGAAGGCCTCAATTATGAAATTAACTCAGAGGAAAGATTCTCCTTATGTTTAGAAAGAATAATGCCTAGAATGGCTGGCTGGGTATGCCAGGAGCTGCAGCACGTTCTTCTGACTAAACATGCAAAGGACTGTGCCTTGATTTTTTTTAAAAGGGTTACTCTTGTTCCCAACATGCTTGTTCAAATGTATTACACTGAATTTTCACCCAAGATAAAAATTTGGATTGTAAATCACATTGGTGCTGCTGACAGAAATATACACAGAATTACCCAGTGCTTCTGTCCTTTCTTAATCAGATCTTTAAAATGACATTTGTCATGCAATCATCCAAAGATGCTCCGCAGCGAGCCGGCCCAGTGGCTTACCTCGTTCTAGCCCAGGATAACTTATCCACTAAACTCTCAGGTAAAGGTCACTGGAAGAGCCCCTCCTGCCTTTCGGCCCTGTCCAATCCACAAAAACAAAAGGTTTCCTGTTCTCCCAGCAGCAAATTACACAGCAAGACCAAGATGGTGTATATTTCCAGCATGAACTGACAGATGGCAGAACAGAACAATCAGTGCCTTTTTGACTAAAAAAAGAGGCCACGCATGTCCCATTTCATTACTTACTGGGTGTTTTTTCAGGCGAGCCCAGGTTCAAGGAGTTGTCAGCTTCTCCCACAGCGATGCCGTTGACGGGGGAGCCGCAGTCTGCCACGACCCCCAGGCAAGCGGACTTCCCGCAGTCCCAGAGGCGGGCGGTGCCATCCCGAGAGCTGGAGACCACGTTCCTCCCGCGATCCACGACGGCTGTGTCCAGGATCCCTGCAACGTGGCGGGGAAAGCACACGGAGTTGCCCCCGAAGGCGAAACCAGGAGAGCCGCCACCCGGCACACTGGCCGAGTGACGCTCCAGGACCAAACCCTTCAACAGGGTGGCCAAGACAGCCGGGGGGGGGGGGGGCGCTCCCTTTGGTCAGGTCCTGCACCTGCTGGCCAGGGGACTGTTCCCCCTCTTGCCCAGACCAGAAGCCTTATGCATTGGCATGCGGGTCCAAGACACACCTCTGTTCACCTGCTCCAAGGATGGGACCGGAGGCAGAGGAGGAGGGACCATCCCTGCATCGGTGCCGGGCTTTGGAGGCCTTCTGCAGCCCAGCCCAACCACGGGGCAGTTCCCCCACTTCCGCCAGCTTCGTTTTGCTGCTCGACTGCAGAGGGTCTTGGCGCCCCGGGGCAGCCTCGCCTCTGCCCAGCTCCGGGGGGAATCTTCCAAGAAAGTGTCCTCTAGCTTTCCAGCCAAGGCGCTAGAAGACGCTTTGCTGACATTCCAGGCAAGAGCACGGAGGAGCGCTTTGTTCTCCTGGGAAACACCGCACGGCTCTTCTGGAGAGTTAGCTGGTCCTCCGGATAAGTAGCTAAGGGCAACCGGTGACCCAGGGGAGATGCTGCAGCTCTGTCACGGGTCAGAGAAGAGGGCACTGTGGGGCCTGGGAGTGTGGGCACAGTGGGATGCGCACTTTATGGGAGGTAAGGAATGCGGGGGATGACATGGCCACTTTCTCATCTCCATAGGGATGCGCCCGAGGACTCCGTGGAGCACGGGACAGAGACAGGGAAGGGGAGCTGCACACCCAGAAGCTCCAGCGAGCAAACGGACTTAACCTGCTTAGAGACAACTACGACGGTTGCGCATATTTCCACTGTCCATTCTCTGTACCTGCTCTGTGGCCCTGAAAAGTTGCAGCGCAGCGGGCATCCTCTGCCGACCAGACTTTGAGCTGGGCATCCATCCCCCCGCTCAGGACCACGATGCCGGAGGGGAAGAACCTGCAGCAGTTCACATCATACACGTGGCCTGCCAAAAACCTCTAGAAAGACAAAAGGACCCGCTGCTAGTGATGCAGTTACAAGACTCACTCTCTGCTGCGTTACTTAGCAACAAAGGCAGTGCAGATCCATCAACCGGAGCCTGATGCCGAAGACGCACACCTAAAGAAATCGAAATCCCCCCATTTGTTTTGAGTACCAGAAGTGAGCCTTTCCACGTAAAAACCCATTCCCATTCCCTCAGCTCTCTGCATTTCGGCAGTGTAATGGAGGGCGGGGAAAATCACGGTGCTGAAAAATCCCACTGCACCTTGTACACACCATTAGACGCCACTGCCTTTGTTGTGAGCAGAAGCCCCCCACATGCGGGGGGTTTATTAGCCTGGAACAAGGCTAACACATTCTAGAGTGCAGCGTGATACCCTCATGCCTCCTGACTCCAGGACTTAGTACTCACGGAGGCGCCATCCCTGACTGGGGGCTGAAGCTCTTGTTATGGGATACGCTTTCCACAAAAAATAAATCCCTACGCATCAAAAAATTAGCACGTCAGGGAAAGATATGCTAGCGCAGCTTCCCCCCAGCATATTTTCTATGCCAGCTTCCACCCAGACGTGAGTTTACTACCTCCAGAGAATTAGGCCACTGTTGCAAACTCTGCTACACAAAAAGCAGTCAAGAGGCAGTGAAATGGCCAACTTTCTGGGTTTCTCTTTAACCAGGCAGAGTGTTTGGGCTTGCTTGTGGCATAAAGATCAGTGGGCCCTCAGTCCTGTGGCCAAGTCCTGCATTCTGTCGGGGGAAGAACAACTGGCTGCTCTCTCCACTGAGAGAACCAGCAGCGATAAGGTGAATATCAGAAACTTCCTAGCCATGATTTGGCAGCAAGCAGGCACACATTTATCACGGTGTCTCTTTGCAACAGCTCTTCCTTACAGCCCTCAAACGGCTTTTGAAGCTCTTGAGTTAAATCAGTGGTTGGGGAAACGGCCTTCCCCCCACGAAGGACTTCCTTAGTTACAGATCACCAAAAGGCAAGCTTCAGGACCCAGCTAAATCAAATCTGGTTCTTACTCTTATTTCTCCATTTGCAGCTTGCCAGATTTTCATGGTCCCGTCGGCGCTGGTGGACACGCCAAGCCCCCCACCGCTGGAAATGTCAAGGCAAGTGACCTAAAGCGAGGACAGAGAAAGATGAAGTACCACAGCCTAGAAGAGCCCAGAATAAATAGGCGTTTGTGCAATTCATTACAACTCACTTCATTCCTAACCATGGGACTTCCTGTATGGGGTAGATGGGAGCTGTAGTTTAAAAAATCTGCAGGGCAACACTTTGCCTACCCCAGTATTAATCGCTGCAGTTCAGTCCAGGAGCGACTGAATAAACCGGACGACAAAGCATTTGCTTAGAAATCTGCTTCATATAATTAGCCTATCAACTCCCAGAGAAGTTTTTTGACATATAAAAATCAAAGTTATATAATCACAAAAACTATGGTCAGGTTTCTCAGTATTGCCACAAACGATACACAATCATGCATAAAACGAGCGTGGGGATTCCCACTTTGAGCTTATCTCTGCATTTTTGCACCCTGTTCTTCCACCAAGAAAAGAACACTCAAGATGGGCTTTGTGATTATAGGAACTCTTTTAAAAATAAAACAAAATAAAACCATGATTAAAACATATACATTAAAAGCACAGTTAGAGAATCAAACAGGCAGCCAACTCAAAACCACAGGCACAAGCAGGCTTCCAGCTCTCCTGACACCAATGGAGTTAGCACAGAGCTGCTGACCAGTGATCCAAGACACTGCATTTCACTGAACTGACCCGTGGCACCTTTGTCTCAAGACAGCCCATTTCAAACAGGTCAGTGAAAACACTTACACTTTTTGGATGGATTCTACAGAATGTTGTGTGGGGAGCCAGAAATTTTGTGGAGGCATTTTCACGAGGGCAGGAAACAAGCAGACTTTTCTGCAGCAGGAGGGAAAAGGGGAGAGGTAACATTCGTGTTTATCAAAAGCTCACTGGTACATTTGCTCATCATGAACTCTAACGAGACGGCATCAATTTGGTGGAAAACTCCGGGCAAGAGAGTAGAGGAAACTGCCAGAACTGCGCTTGATATTTTAAAGATGGATATAACCACATCACCTCCACACATCTGTTCTGTTCTTGTGATTTTAAGACAGACGCCTTAGGCGTGGGAGTTACTGTACTGTGTCAGTTTTAGGACATCTTTTCAAGCGGTTCTTTCACTGTCTGTATCTGAGCCTGCCATTCACCTGAGAAAAAGGAACTATTCCTCATGCATTAAAAAATTGTATTTGTTGGATCTTTTTAAGGAGGAAATTTATTTATTTGGGATTCTTGTATGCCGCCCCATTCGCAGAAGCCTCGGGGCAGCTTCCAACAAAGAAATAACAATACAAATATATAAAAACTGGAAACATCCAGGCAATAAATTAAAACCAATAAATAAACAATTAATTAAAATAACGTTTAAATAAAAAGGACTTGGCCTGGTGCCGAAAAGCAAATACCGACGGTGCCAGGCGGACCTCTCTGGGGAGCGCATTCCATAAGTTGGGCGCCACCGCAGAGAAGGCCCTCCTCTGGGTACTCACCCTCCTAATATCCTTCACGGAGGGCTCCCGGAGGAGGGCCTCTGCCGCCAATCTTAGGGGGCGGGAGGGCAAGTATGGATGCAGGCGCTCCTTTAGATAACCAGGTCCCAAGCTGTTTAGGGCTTTATAGGTGATTACCAACACCTTGAATTGAGCCCGGACTTTGATGGGGAGCCAGTGAAGCTGGAAGAGGACAGGGGTTATGTGAGAATAATGCCCCGTCCCCGTCAGCAGCCTGGCAGCTCTGTTTTGCACCATCTGAAGTATCCGGACTGTCTTCAAGGGCAGCCCCACGTAGAGCGCGTTACAGAAGTCAAGGCGGGAAGTAACCAATGCATGCGTCACTGTCATTAGGCAGTCATCTTCCAGATAGGAACACAGCTGATGAAATGCTGGTTACTTCAGTACCTTCTAGTTGAGTAAAATTACTGTAAGGTGGCCTATGCGAAGTGGCTATTGAAAAGCGTTCAGTGGATTCGACTGATGGAAAATGCTGCTGACAGATACAACAGGGACATATTACTATCAATGCACTGCATTTCTATCCTGCCTTTTTTCCTCTTGTGAGGAAGACAACTTACAGAACTCCATTTTATCGTCACATGAACTACAGTGGTACCTCATCTCACGAATGCCTCAGTTCATGACCAAATCGGGTAGTGAACAGAAATTTCAGAAAAATTTTGCCTCAGGTTGCAAACTCCACATCGGGTGACAATCACAATCGCGCCTGTTTTCCCTGCATGGGTGCGATCGCAGTCGTACTGGTGGGGGGGTGATGGCCGCGATCACGCCCTTCTCCCCCCCAGCACAATTGCTATTGCACAACAATCGTTTGGACTCTCCCTCCAAACAATAACCTCCCCCCCCCACCTAAGTTAGTGTTCTCTACTGCACTGTACTTTGTTGTTCTTTGTTACGCTTCAAATTTTTGTGATTTTAAAAAATATATACTTACAGAACGGACTAACCTTATTTACATTGAACCTTATGGGGAAATTTGACTTGGCTCACGACCAATTTGGGTCATGACCAGAATCCTGGAATGGATTAAGTTCATGAGCCAAGGTACCACTGGACCCTGTAAAGTAGTTTGGGCTGAGAGTTTGTGACTGGCCCAAAGTCATCCAGGGAGCTGCGTGGGGACTAGAACCCAGATCTTCTGGGTCCCCGGTCCAGCACCCTCAGCACCATGCCATGCTGGCTCTCCTAACACTCCAAAAGTACCAGAAAGATGCTTTCCCAAGCTCCTCTTACAAGGCTATCTTTATGCACTGATATTTATTGATAGGCATTTAGCAATTTCCTGATCTGGAGACAAACAGCTGTAATGCTATCCTTCACTTACCCCACGTGAAGCTTTGGACATCAGTTGTGGCATCTCACTGTTGTTCTTAATAGCCCATTTGATCGTTTTTCAATTTACACTTTAATGCTAAATGCTGGCATTCTGTGGAGTGATGGTATTTTAAAATGCCATTAACTCACATTGGAACCATGACAGTCAAGAGGCAGGATGTAAGTCCAATGCACAAACGAAGTTATAACAGAAGCTCAGGAAAGCTGAGTTATACTGCAAGAATGTATTGCGACCCCAAATCAGAGGATGGCAAGAGAAATACAGCAGAAGGGAAAGAAACAATTAATGTTCGGAGCATAAACAATATATGGAAAGGGTTACCCTATAGAGCTGAATAGCAACGCTATCAGTGATCAGCCTGCCTTTCAACCATATGGGCAGAAGTGACTGTACCTTAGTTATTTCACTGACAACAAAGCCTTCAGATGCGATGATTTCAGGAATTCCATCTGAGCTCACCCCCTGGCATGTCAGGGTCCCGTACAGAGTGGACTTTCCTAGAAGACAACGACACCAAGGGACAAAAGGGAAGCTTTTGGACAAAACTACTTTAAAGAAGCCATTGACAACTATTGATACTTCTAGTATTATTGCTGATTGGCTTCAGAAATACCACTTCCACGTTTCCCGTTGGTCCTCACATGCCCACACCAATTAGACACTCATACATTATCACAGCCATCTCTACAACAGTCCTGTGAGATAGGCCAATATTATTAGCCTCATTTTCAGGTGTGAGTGAGGCTGTGAAAATAATGGATGAGAAAGCTCTTAATCGTAATTTATCGTGATTTATTTATAACCCACCTTTTGCAATACAGATCTTCCTAAGGAGGACTTTTAAGTAAAATCGAAACAGAATAACACCACCGAATCATCACACTGCATCGGGGCAGGAGCCGGCTGATGGCCTATGGGGTGGAGATGGGGGCTGCCAGCAGACTGGCAGCTGGCCCCAGTGCTGACTCTGCCCATCTTCCTTGCTGTCCTGCCACAGAGCAATCAGTGACAGACCACTGGAGTAAAGGGGAGTCCCGGTGGGGCAGGCTCTGAGGATGAGCTCAGTCCCGATAAGCAAGAAGAAATGAATGCACCCATTTGCAGAAATGAATGAAAAGGATCTATTCAGTCATGGCATAGACCCATCTGCAGTTACTCAGTAAACTTGTTTTCTCCATGGCGTTTATTCACAAGTAAGCATTCATAGGCCAGCAGGATTGGAACCAAATGTAAGGAACAGGAGAATTAAATTGTAGATCTTCCAAGTAAAGAAACAGAACAAAATGTGTTTTTTTAATGGTTTTCCATGCTTCCATGCTTTTAACATCAGCCTAGCTCATGAAAATTTAGCACAGTGAATGAGAAATCTGTTCAAAACACAGCTAGCAGAAAGGTGCCATCTCAGGATCTTCTTGACAAGGCTTTTATTGTCGTGTCCAGTCTGCCTCACTTGAGGAATTTTATTGGGAGTTGAGGCATCGTGCAGCAATTCCATCTTCTTTCCCTCGGGCTGCTATCCTCTGCATGCTTAGACAGAAAAACACCAGACTGGCAGGTCACTGGGAGCTGTAGACTCTTTTGTGTCTAAACATCCACAGATGTTTGCACCTTTAATGGCTCTGCAGTGATAAGGCCTTCCTTAGAAGCAGATGTGCTGTAAGACTTTCCGGTATGGCCAATGAAATAAACTTGGAATCATGCCTCAAAAATAGTTCTCTGCCATGTTTGTCACACCATTCTTACCTCCTACAATGCTAAACTAATAAACTGTAGCATAATCAATTGTGCATATCAATGTTTTATTTGAAATCACATTTTATTGTGTCTTTACTTATGTATGCAACCCAGAGAACTTTTATTATGAGCAACATAGAAATACAGCAAATATAATCAAGCAAAAATATTCAAACAAGAAGCTTTTTCACTTGCAAATAAGGTGCTTTCGCAAGCAAGACGTAAAGTCCTCTCCCCTCACCGTAGCAACCTGCAGGCTTTTAAAGAGTTTAAACAGTTTTACAAATTATAAAATTCGCATGATCCTTTCCTGATTTAGGGAGGTCAAAAGAAAAACTTCCCAAATCTCAAATTTAAGATCTGAAGGTCTGACAGGGGCTGCCTCTTTATCACAGGTTATAGGTTCAGACAGAGGAAGGGAGGACAGAATTGGTCTGACACAAAGCTGAACTGAATGTTACTCCTGCAGAAGAGGCTGGTTTTCTTCTCACTCACCTGGGATTCTGCAGCTCAGCCATGCCTCCTCTTCATTCTTCCTATAAAGATGACAAAACCCCAGTTAGCATAAAGGGCCGCATGTGAAAGGAACATCCTTGGAGAGACAGAGATGGTCACTATGAAAACAGTATCCCAACATGAATGCATGCTGTCCCTTGGTTTATGCATTCATAAAATATAACCCGCCTCATTCCCATGTGCTAGCGAGAAGTGACAGTCCTTTGGTTGCGTGTTTCATTTGTACTGTGACTTTCTACCAAAAAGAGCACTGAACGCTGCCTTGATAAAATAATAAACCCATTTATTTATTTATTTATGTAAAGCTTTTATATCCTACACAATGTCTCAGGGCAGGATCTAAAATGCATGAAAATGCAATTAATGCAACAAACAGCATCCAGCTCAACTGACAGCCCTGTGTTCCTCGCAGCAGGGAACAAGGTGGGAAATAAAGGCGACATAATGACAATCAGCAGACAAAAACAGCTCCACGCCAGCGGAGGGGCCTTGCCTGCCCGGGGGGAGGGGCGGCGGCGGAGGGAGGCCCGGGCCTCCCCTCCCGGGGGGATCCTGAGACCAGAAGCAGCCCCGAGAAGGCCCCCCTTCCTGCCGCCGCCAAGCGGGCCCCGGAGGGTATCGGCCTCGAAAGGGGGGCTTCTCAAGCCGCTCGCTGGCGAACCCACGACCCTCGGAGCAACAGCTCCCATCAGCCACAGCCGAGGGACCGGCGCTCTTCCATCAGGATGGCAGCAGGCTCCCCGTTCTCCCCTAAGAGTCATCGGGGGGAAGGTGCGGG